TCAGTTCAAGTTGCTACAGTGACCTCACCATGGTCTTCTCGTACCATTCCCTCTCGAACTCAATTGCCTTCTTAATCGCCTCTGATGTGCGCCACCCATGTTGTTCACCATCGAAGAAATGCGCTTCAACTTGCCCCTTAGATTTAAGAATCCCCTCAACAATAGTCCAGGATTGTGCTGGCGGGACAACTGCATCATCATTGCCTTGAAGAACCTGTTGGAAAGATGATCTACCCAACAGACCACATTTCAATGACATATAAACATACGAGCAACGGGGTTTTGATGTTTGCAGAAAAATACACCGGGCTCCGGTCGTGCCAAACTTTCGGAATCTCTTCCTTCGTACCGCCGAGAAGCTTTATGACATACATGAGCTCGAACTTATGCGTATCGTTTGCAAACAGCTCCATTTCTGAAATCCCAAAGCTGTTCGTAGCACTTGCGAAAAATTTCGTCTTGCTCGCCGGAGAGGAGTCGAGGGAAACGGCGGCAAGGGTAGTATACCCACCAGCGCTCCCGCCACGGATCGCAGTGCGCTTGGTGTCGACGAGGGAACTGATTTGGGGTGATTGGACTACGTCAACGCAGTCGCTCACTTCGGTAATGCCCCAGTTCCCTTGGAGGCGCTCCCTTTGTCACGTTTTCAGCGGTGTTCCACGGGAAACATAACAGCGAATGGTAACATACACATATGCGCGTCCATAGCACGAAGAGCCGCTGTAGTTCACATCCAACCTGCAATTTATTAGTATGATGATACTGCGATAGTCGACAGGTCCTACCAAGCATATCCTCTGCTTGTGAAATACTGCTTCTGCCAGTTCAAACTCTGCGTCTCTAATCCTGTGGGACCACCGTGTACATTCAGCACGCAGGGCGGCTTCTCGCCGGGAATGCTTGAACCCGCATACGCTGGGTTGTTGGGAGCGTAATACACGGCATATACAATCTTGTCACCTGCCACTTTAAGTTCAAGCGGGGTTGGAAGCGAAATGATGCCCTCAGGGAACGGCGCGGCGGACGTCGATGCGGTAGAGCTGAGCACCCGGAAATTGGGCACGAATGATGGTCCCGTAAGAGTGCAGAGCATAGCAGCGCCAGGAGCGTTGCTTTGCCATCCTGTGAAGACAAAAGTGTAGTCCGACAGACGACAGACATTGTTTATTACTACAAAGTCGAATGATTCGTCTTTGATCTCCATGTAGGAACCTGCGGCGATATCAACCACATAAAGGACACTTCGGCCATCCCGCCATGCAACACAGATAGCTTTTGTGCCATTCTCGTCCAGGAAAGCGAATGAGTAATTGCCAAGCGTCCAGGATGGCATGCAGAAATCTTGCTGCACCACAGACGAGAGAACTGGTTTGGTGCACGTCTGGGTATACTCCCACAGGTTTGCAAACTTGCTTTCGTCAGAGGTAAATAGAAGTTTGTCGTTGGAGGCCCACAGGGGGTAACACGCGCCAATATTGTTAGCTTCGCCGGCGACCAACTTCGTATTGCTCAGGCTAAGTTTATGGGTGTTGGAATTGTAATGGACGTCAGCCACATAGATCTGTCCACCTTCCCAAGGCATGTCTGGGTGTTTCCAGAAGTTCCATGCGAGCTTATCGCCAGAAGGGGAAAATTTCGGTGCTGCATAGAACTCATTTTGTGCGTCCTCAGTGGAAACCAAGGACGTGACAGTGGCAGCTGTGGAGTTGATCATGCAAAGAGAATTGCGCACGGTACGCGGCGTGTCGTCTGTATGGTCTTCTAAGATAGCGACGAGTAGATCTGTGTGTACTGGGTGTACACAGAAATCTGCGTAGCGATAAATCTTGTTTGGATCCTCTGTGCAGGGAGCGTAAGTACCGGTTTATAGTCCGAAGAATTTACCTAGGCACCTGGTGTGATTGGTTTGATCTTCCCATCTTTCGCGGCATAGATACGGAAGTCCGTGAAGCTTGAAGAGTACACAGTCCCATTATAAGCGATCGCAGCACCTCCGCCATATTCATGAACGCGCGTGCGCGCATTGAAGTCCTTATCGAAGACTTCCTTTTGAGTCTTGTTACTGATAACAACGCATCGACCACCCTCCGATGCACGTTGTTCGATGTGGTAGATATCCTTTGTGACTGGATCTACAAAGATAGTGCTCAAGGAGACACTCTACGGTGTAGGTCAGTTTCGGATGCCGAGCGACCAGAGACGATCTGACGAACATACATCTTGAGCAATAGCGCCAGCTGTGATTGGGGACTCCCAAAGGCCATATGGTGCATATTTTTGAGCCATAGTATGACAAAACGTTAAGACAGCTAGCAGATCGGATAGTTGTGTGGGAGTAGGATTCAAGAGGGGGAGTGGGAGTGGAAGTTACATACCAGCGAAAGCTTGGGTAGTTATAATATTTATGGCACATATACCGTGCACGTTCCAGCATTTCTGTCACCTGAGTTCTTCGCTTGGGAACACGTCGATCATTTTGCATGCGGCCAAGCCTGGTGACCTTTGTGCGCACGTGATGTTTGGATTAAAAGCTCTTGACAAACAACCACTCTTGATCGGGAAACGATTTTGCATTTCTAAATTTCCTTAGTCATCTGCGGACCTGTTCTATAATGTGTGCAAATTAAATGGATCAATGCAGAGTTCGAAGTTCTGCCCGACGAGACGTTGAAAACTGCATATGGTGAGTCCACTGTCTTCGTTCAAGGAGACAGGCATCGGTGCCATTTTTACGTCCATCCTCGTTTGGAAAGTGCCAGTTGATATGTTGCCCTCTCATGCTAGCTTGAGCTCTTATCACCAAGCTCGGACTCACTGTCCTGAGCCTGCGTGCATTCTTCTGGCCTCCGGTCCCATTATTCTTTTTCTTTCTTTGTCGCTTGGTGGCGAATCCTGACAGTTTCGGTCAATCTGTGAAGAATCTAGGTTGGTACGTATGCACCTCGGGGATATATCTTATGTTTCTGAGACGACCCTGGCGAGGCGTGAAGTTTTACGGACAAAGTGCCACATAAAAGACGGGTTTTGGTGCAATGACTGGGCCCGCATGGTTAAGATGGACCTCCAAAGGCCTATGCACCGCAAAAATGTTGTCAGCAGGTTTCGAACCAACTCCAAGAGAAACAGATTTGAACTTTGTTCAGGTAACCACTTGGCTGAGACCAGTTAGACGAATGTGCGACAAATCTATTCATGACTGAATGTCAAGTTGTGTTCCGAGAGAGAAAAAACCAGTCATTCAGCAGGTTTCGAACCTACACAGTCCAAGAGAAACAGATTTTGATTCTGTCGTAGTAACTACTTGGCTGAGACAAGTTGAGGTAAGTGTCCGAGGAAACCATCCATGAGTAAATGTCGAGGTGCGCCCTGATAGAAAAAAATATCTTGTCATGGGCACGTTTCGAACCTGCGCAGTCCAAGGGGAACAAATTTCGAGTCTGGTAACCACTTGACTAACATCAGCGAAGATGAACCTTCTGAGAACTGTCCATAAGCGAATCTTCAGGGCGTGTTCCGAGGGGGAAAAATATCGTCTTCGACAAAGTTTGATTCTGTTGTGGAAACCACCTGGCTAAGACCAGTTAAGATGGACCACCATCCATGAACGAATCTTCGAAACGTGTTCCGGTAGATAAAAAACTGTTATCGCAGGTTTCGAACCTGCACAGGCCAAGGGAAACAGATTTTGACTCTGTTGTGGTAACCACTTGGCTAAGACCAGTTAGATGAACCTCCGACGAAACCATCCATGAACGAATGTTAAGGTGCGTTCCCAGAGAAAAAACCTGTTGTTTGGCAGGTTTCGACCCTGCACAGTCCAAGAGAAACAGATTTCGATTCTGGTGTGGTAATCACTTTGGCCAGGACACTTCCCAAGTTGAGATGAACCTCTGGAGTGAATGTCAAGGTGTGATAAGACGTTTGTCGGCAGGTTTCGAATTGATCCATGAGCAAATGGTAAAAAGAAAAACATTGTTGAGCAGGTCTCAAACCTGCAACAGATTGCTGTCCTAATCTCCTACCACTTGACTAAGACTGGTTAACATGGACATCTGTAGTGCCAGAGTCGAAGAACATCATGCACTGACAGTAGAATCACCTAGGATCGTTTGCCAACGCAAAATGAAACAAGGAGACTAGTTTGCGTTTAATTCAAACATACCAAGAATAAGTGAGTCGGGGGCTGGCGCCTGTGCCGTTACGATCTGGTAGGGGTGTATTGATAAATGTGTTAAGTTTATGCTGTGACCGGCGGCGGATGAGCGAACGAACGACAATTGTTATTCGAGCATAATCAGTGCATGCTTTCTGGGGGAAACAGTGGAGTGTTTCTTCAGTCTCAGTACAATATTGGTGGATAGTGATGGTTGTCAGTATTGTGTATGCAGTGAAGTGCGTATTGATGGGAGAGCAACACCGGTTTTCAGTTTGGGGGGTCGGATCAGCGAAGCCGTCGTCAGGTTATGTTAGTCACCGCCTACACCGTAATAACCCCCACGAGGCACGCAGTATGCTTGAAAGTTGACACCCTGGTGACACTCAGAAAGTTATCGTTGCTCTGTAAATTTGAGGCCTTGACTCGGAGGGTTCGTAAGTTATAGCATACGCTGGGCGACTTCAGTCAGTATGATGGCCGCAGGCTTGGATTAAACACCGGTGCGCACCACACTAGTGTATAAACCGTTGACTTCGCGTAAAACGGTGTAAATGATACGGGTTGACTATTGTGCACAGGATTGCTACAGCCTGTGGTCAGTCGACGTCAGAGTTTGCCGAATATATTACCGCCGGGCGTGAGCAAACTGATCTTGTAACAACCTGTTTACTTCTCCACGATAAGTACCAAGATTGGATGGCGCGCATCATCATGTAGTGACAAGCAGCGCTATGAGTTATGTATTACTCGCGATCAAAATCATGAAACAGAGCAGAAGTGTGTTTGAAGTCGTAGTCTAAGTCCCACTGCACAAACGACACCAAATAAGCCACACGATAAGATGTTACACCGTACAGTCTGCAGGTGACATGTCCGACATAGATATACACACGGCGATGTCAGAGTCGCGCACGTGCTGGCCCATATTCCAGAGATGGAGGTGCATGCGCGTAGCGAGAATCGCAAGGATAAAGACCTCAAAACTATATATGTAATATGTTTGAGGGTTGCTGTAAGTAGGAATTCGCAATAGAAGTTGGAGATGCATACCCTTTAGGGAGGAAGTAGGATATGGACTGGGTGTGTGCAACATCAATGGTTCCATCATGTCGAAGGCCCGTACTGTTTACGCACATCAGAAAGCGGCAACACTGGCATAACGACGTTCGCGACCGAGAGAACTTTCGAAAGGTTAATCATCACCAATAAGCACAGAAATACATGTGAGTTCTGACTTACGCAGACCACATGCATAGTAGAATATGTTATGCTTCACTAGGATGGCATACAGAGGGCCCTTGGCCGACCGCCAACGCTGCATAACACGCACGAGTGTGAGGGATATCAGTACTGGGGATAGCGTCAGTCGGTGTGTATCTGCAATGTACACTGTCAATATACGGCTGCATACCCAGTTGGAATACAAGCAAGAGAATAAACGGTATGAGGAATGAGAAACTGCCCGAGCTCCGGTCGCAGCTTGGGATCGCACTAGCTGTAGCTGTGAAACTGGAATCAATATGTGCAAATAGTAGTGAGAGCACAAACAAGAAGAGGTCGCAGTAGCAGTAAACCCAATAATGAAGGATGGTACGGTGATAGCCTGATTGATCTATCAATATTGAACTTGGGTGCGGTGAGGGCGTGTGGCTCACAAAAAGGGTGAACAGCATGGCTACGAGTAGAATTCTATTTTTGTTCCAGAGCGTATACGTTCTAAGGACAAAAAGGCCTGGATGCATCAGATCAGAAACACATGTATGTCTCGGAGGAAGGAGAGATACATTCAGAGCAAGTGAGTGAAATCAGACTCAAGGCTGTAAGAGGAATAGCAGCGCTCAGTAAGAACGTGCATGCAATATGTACCGGGCACGTACATGTGATAAGATTGATCGGTATCTGGCAATTCTGGCGAAGTCATACAGTTAGCTTCATTCGTCGGTGGACGGACGTCTATGTTCACATACATTGGTATTCTCGTTCGGGGCCAGGATCACTGAAACACAGTATGTCAATTCATTAAGTTGGGGAAATATATACTGGGATAAACGTACAATATAAGTTCATGGTGGTGATTAAAAAGGGGACATACCGTGCAGTGATATACAGGGCTTTTACTTTGGTCCAGCGCGACCGAAGTAGGAATGTCCACTTGAACAGCACATTATTAAGATCAGAGCCGAGGCACATTGCGGAACAAGTACACTACTTACCTCTTCGTGAAGGGAACAAATATAGTCATAAGTCTGGATAAACAAGTTTGATGGCGGGCAGAAATAGATCGGGGTAAACCTACCCAGAATGTCGCCATCGACGCTGAGCTGTCGAGTTAGAATGAGGAAGATGCAGCCCGGATATCACGCACTGTATAGGTACTAATGGCCACATGTGACGTATCTGTTATCATCTTGCTGTCGTGTCAAGAAAACGACGCACCGCCAAGAGCTGCAGAGTTCTGGTCGCTGTGACATCGTCCGTTGAATACTCCATCTGGATTCGTTTGAGAGGAAACAATTGGGTTTCATATACACGTCCGTTCACCTTCTTTAAATGAGCTGGGAGCCCATCAAGACCGGATACTGGGGACGCTATGCCGGCGAAGATATCGTGATGGATCATTTCACTGGCCGATTTACAGTTGGCGTGGTTACATCCTGCACTAGGCTGGGCAAAATTTAATGAAAGTTGTAGTTGGTACCAGAAACGTTCTATAGTTCCAGTGATAATATAATAAGACCTCTGAGTCCATTCAGCACTAGTGTAACCAGACACTTACATATGCTCATTGTCTGATCTTTGGTCCACTTGAAGTTTGCGACGCCATCAGTCCTTGAAACACGCAGCCTCCTCGGAGGGACGTACGTTTCTACAGCTTGTACTAACATAGCAACAAGACCTTAGCTATTGAGATGCCAACATGTACCAAATAATACACATCATTGATTTCATTTGATCATCAAAGTTGATTCGAACACACGCGCTCATTGTACTGATACCTGAAACACGCAGCCACCTCGGAGGGACCTGCTTTTCCACAGCTTAAAGGAAGGCTTAACCTCTGTAGATCAGCCTTGGCTCACACGCATCTTCTCAGTTGATGTCTTTAATACAGGTGTGATAATAATATACGTCAAGCAGGCTGGAGGAAGCTAACTGTTCTCTACATTTGATCGGTCAGTAACTGGTCTGATGCCTTGATTACTGTGTCTGTGAGAGCATGTTGGTTGATCTTCTTCGTATTTCGCTGTAAATGTGTATCAGGTCGACTGGCTGGTGAGATCAGCAACGAAGGAGGCTCTGCTGCAAGAGAGCATTGGAAGACGTAATTGTGGATCATGTGAAGTGGAATTCCGAACGAATTGTGACTCACTGATCGGGGGTCTCCTCGTTGATCTCGAATATCTACAAACCATTTACTTGGAGAGTCGATTCTGATATCAAAATTGTTAGGGATGGCTGCAGGCTGGGGACAAACCCCTGTGCGCACCACACTAGCACTGTATAAACTGTTGACTTCGCGTGAAGATTTGACGGTATATTACAGGTTAACCATTGTAGACAGGATTGCTAGAGGAACGAAGATTTGGATAGTCGGAGTTCGCCGAACATATTACCGCTAGGCGTGAGTAAATTGATCTTGTGACAACCTGTTTACTTCTCCACGATAAGTACCAAGATTGGATGGTGTGCATCATGATCATGTACTGGCAAGCAGCGACATGGGTCATGTATTGCTTGTGATCAAAGTCATCAAAAAGAGAAGAAGTGTGCTTGAAGTCGTAGTTCAAGTCCCACTTCACAAATGACGCCGAATTAGCCACGCGATAAGACATTACACCGTACGGTCCGCAGGTGATGTGTGCGACATGGATACCCACACAACAATGTCAGAGCCGTCCACGTGCTGATCCATATGCCAGAGATGGAGGTGCATGCGTGTAGCGAGGATCGCAAGGATAAAGACCTCCAAACTATGTGTGTTTAGGAGTGTTGTCAGTAGGAATTCGTAACAAAAGTCGGAGGTGCATACCCTTCGGGAAGGAAATAGGATAGGAACTGGTGTGCGCAATATCAATGGTTCCATAATGTCGAAGGGTATTGTTTACGCACATCAGAAAGCAGCAGCAAGGGCACAAGGACGTTCACGGTTGAGAGAACTTCCAAAAAGTTAATCATCACCAATAAGCACAGAAATATATATAAGTTCTGACTCACACAGACCACATGCATAGTAGAATATGTTGTGCTTCACTAGGATGGCGTACATAGGGCCCTTGGCCAACCACTAACTCTGTATGACACGCACGAGTGAGAGGGACACCAGTACTAGGGATAGCGTTAGTCGGCGCGTGTATGCAATGTACACTCCCAATTTCCGGCTGCATACCCAGTTGGAACACAAACAAGAGAGTGAATGGTATGAAGAATGAGAAACTGCCCGAGCTCCGGTGACAGCCTGGGATTGCGTGAACCGTAGCTGACGCACGATATAGGTTCATGGTGGTGATTACAAAGGGGACATATCGCGCAATGATATAAAGGGCTTTTACTTTGGTCCAGTGCGACCGAAGCAGGAATGTCCACTTGAACAGCGCATTATTAATATCAGAGCCGAGTCACGTCGCGGAACAAGTACACTCCTTACCTCTTCATGAAGTGAACAAATATAGTCATAGGTCTGGATAAACAAGTTTAGCGATGGACGGAAACAGATCGTGATAAACACACCCAGAATGTTGCCATCGACGCTGAGCTGCTAAGTTAGAACGAGGAAGGTGCAATCCAGACATTACACACTGTATAAGTACTAGTTGACACACGAGATACATCTATTATCATCTTGCTATCGTGTCAAGAATGCGACGCACCACGAAGAGTTGCAGACTTCTGGCCGCTGTGGCATTGCCCGCCGAATATTCCATCTGGATTTGTTTGAGAGGAAACAATTGGGTTTCGTGTATACATCCGTTCACCTTCTTTAAATAAGCTGGGAATCCATCAAGACCGGATACTTGGGATGCTATGCTGGTGAGGATATCGTGATGGATCGTTTCACTGGCTGATTTACAGTTGACGTGGTCACATCCTGCACCGGGCTGGGCGAAACTTAATAAAAGTTACAGTTGATACCAGAAATGTTCAGTGATAACATAACAATAAGACCTCTATTCAGATGTAACACGCACCCAACGACACACATCATTAGATTTAACTTGTTATCAAAGTTGATTCAGACACTCGCATATGCTCATTGTCTGATCTTCGATCCAATCCACTTCAAGTTTGCGACACCATCAATCCTTGAAACACGCAGCCACCTTGGAGGGACCCATGTTCCTACAACTTGAAGGAAGGCTTTACCCCTGTTAATCAGCCCCCAGCGTTCCAGACACACGCTTCTTCTAAGACTCTAAGTTGAGATTAGTTTGACACGGGTATGATGATGATATATGTAAAGCAGACTGGGAGAAGCTAATTCGTTCTCGTCTACATGAAGTAGATCGATAGAATTGATACAAAAATCTGTAGAGGGGTGTTTGTGATGACGATATATGTAAAGCAGACTGGAAGATGCTAACCTGTTCTTGTCTACATGAAACCAATTGAATCTGTGAAGGGGTGGATGTGATCGGTCACTAATTAGTCTTCAACTAACTGACGCTTTGATTACCCGGCAAATGCTGTGTCGGTAAGAGCATGTTGAATGATCTTCTTCGCATTGCGGTCTTTCGATGCAGGCATGTATCAGGTCGACTGGCCGGTGAGGATACCAGGGATGGAGGAGGCTCTGCTACAAGAGCGCATTGGAAGACGTAATTGTGGATCATGTGAGGTGGAATTCCAAACGTACGTATTGTGGTCAAGGGTTTCCTTGCTGATCCTGAGTATCTACAAACCACTTACTTGACGGGTCGGCTCTGCGATATCAAGATTGGATGGTATACACCAAGTAGTGGCAAGCAGACTAGTCATCCATTAGTCATGATCAAACCGATCTCTCACGAAGCGCGCTTGAAGCTTTTGTCGTCGCACCAATCGAACATCGTACGTGAAGAGACTGTGTCCTGTCCAGAAACGCAGGAGGATGCTTTGTCTGGGCCACAATGCTTTCAAGTTGAAAGCTCCAGTAAATATGACGACTTTCCTTAGACGAGTCGGACCGATACTCTTTCTCAAACAATGGCAGCGCTGCCCGCCCGCCCGCCCATGACCCGGGGTATATCGCGCAAGACTAGTGCAATTGCTTGGACGCACCATGTAGTGGTATTGGAAAGGTGTATTTGCGACTGTGTGCCTGTGTGTCATGAGCCAGGCACGGTCAGGCAACCATATATCATCCATCGGCATTTTGCTTGTCACTGCTCTGTTGGTTTGTGCTCTCACTTTCTCTTGCCATTATATTACTCACTATATTCACTCCACTTTCGCAGTCATAACTAGCACGATCCCAGGCATCCCAGGCTGCTTCCGGAGCCCATAACTTGTCCGATTCTTCTTACCTTTTATTCTTGTGTTTGTGTTTCAACTGAATATGTAGTCGGGAACTTGGAGCATGCATTGCAGACTCACCCCGACTGACGCTCTCTCCAGGACCAGTCTGCTCACAATCATACACGTTATACGGAGCTAACGGTCGGCCAAGGGCCCTCTGCACGCCATGCTCGTGAAGCATAATGTATTCTACTATGCACGTGTGAGTCAGGCCTTACATGTGTTTCTGTGCTCATCAGCGATGGTCACTATTTCAGGCCCTCATGTGCATTTCGGTGTCCAACATACTACCTGTAGACCGTACGGCGTGACGCCCTAGCACGTAGCTTGTTCGGCGTCGTTTGTGGAGTGGAACTTGATCTACGAGTTGGGACTAATTGGATTTGGAATTTGGGACGTGCTCGCATAACTCCCTCCTAGGAATCCATTTTTGTCATGGGAGTAAGACGCACTGAGATATGAACTCGTGAGCGGGCCGATCGAGGGCGGCGTGGGCGACGACGACGACGAGAAGCACCAGGATCTTAGCAATTGTATATGCATACAAACTACACGGGCAGTTATGTGAGGGAAATTCATCTTCCACAAAGGTATCAAACAAGCAATGTACACTATCAATAAATATACACAAGTGTTGCAAATGATGTCAAACAGCGAGGATTTCGCCAAAGGGCTTCCTCGTAGGAAGGGAAACTAGAGAATGAGACAACTAAATACGTGCCAACGAGAATATTGGAGTTGCCATGCACAATATTCGACAAAGGCATCTGACAAGTGTTACACAGCCAACACCAAAATGTTACAGTCTTCATCGTGTCCAATGACCTCAAACCCAATCTCAGATCGCGTCGTCATGATCAACGGCTTGACCATCAATTAAACTCCTCATTGACAGCTCTTCGTCAGATGTGGTGCTCGCAAAACAAATTTTTATCATGCCTGCCCGACGTAAGTTGGCCTCTGTTGGATGCTCCACATTTTGCAAAGCTTCGTGAACAGATGGTGAATGATAACCCAACCACAAGAGTTGCAGTGCGCCTATATTTGAGATGGGAGCATGACTGTTGCGGGATGGATGAAATTCTCTTGTCGTGTGTAGAGCCAATCCCAGCATGATCACCGATGCAGAGGTCGCAAACAGCAACTAGAATCAACTTCGACAAGCTATCATTGCATAGATAGTGTCCTGAACTTACAGGAAGAAGGATGATCTACAACATGTATGGCATCAGTCAAATGGAAAAATGTTCTATGCAGTTATTACTGACATTCAGGCGTAGGGTAATCACCTGCTCGTCGGCAAGGGCCATCCCCTTTCCAGGTTGAATTCCTATATTGGATGCGAGTCCCATTCGCCCCGCTGAGTTGGTGACACAGTAAGTCACGACAGAGCCATGCATACTAGTATGACCCCTTACCCATCCAAGTGAGTTGCGCAACTGTTCGTGCAATAGCAGCTTCTAGTTTATCCGGGCTCAGGGTGAAATTAGAAATGGGAGGTTCGTCGGTGGTCCATTGGAGATATTGAGCTGAGAGATTCAATCCTACCAATGACATTATATACCTAGAATAAAAGACCGTATGTAAGGCACTGTAGTAGCACGACAGTGAAGGTAAGGTCTGAACTCATCCACAATCGAGGGTTCGCTGGTATATCCAGACAGATCTGTAAATTGATACCCGCTACTGCCTGAATCAGTCAAAATTTGACCAACCTAGGGTAGACAACAGATCGTTGAACTTTGATAACCGCTAGAAACAGGTGGTGTTTAACGTACAGCTGCTGACCAAGTGGTAGATGTCCACTGAAGCATTTCCTCCCATTGCGTGGATGGCTGCGGGACGGGCATGGGATTCTCTAGAGTGTTGGTTTGCATGTTGATCACCCCTTTGGTAGTGTTGGTCGTAAGTGAGCATTGCATAAAATAGACTTCAATGGATTGGTTCGCAACTGCAGAAAGGTTTGTTATAGTGGTTACATTCGAAAAGGCAAACACACATAGAGATTCCCAAACCATCGGCACCGCAACCTCTTTTTGTACCGAAGGCTCGATCTCTAACAAGGTAGAGACCATTAGCAAGACAGTGGCCTGTGCGAAATCTCCCTAATGTGGGACAGCTGTCAATTAGCTTCAGAGTGAGCACTGAAAACCTTGGCACGAACCCCGCCAGCTACAGCACCAGTGGACCGAAGTACTTGTATCTGGTCTGCCCCTGTATGTATTTTTAATATGATGGAATAACATTTCACACCATGTTGACGTACAGGGAGGAGATGCAGCCATGAGGACAGCATTTCCATTGCCATACGGAGCGGTTGCTGTGCTGTCATTCCGAGAGTATGTGACATTTGGAAGTAGTCCGCAACTCGAGGTTATCGTCGTTACATTCACCGTTGCATGTCCGACTACAGAGCTCGTTTGCAGGGTGTCATAGACTGTATTATTGGATATCCCTGCAGAGACAAGCCCAGGAAATTGACTGATAGCCGGTAAAGATGCAGTGATAGCTCCCCAGTTCTCGACCCAATACTGGCTCGCGGGGTTGTCTTGGCCTGATATATCTACCCATCCTAGTGTCGTTGAAACATTAGTCATCATAGAAGAATTGAATGTTTGAAATTGTAGGAGAGTGGAAGAGGTGATGTGCAGCACAGAAATGCATAAAAGGTAGGTTGTCACAGCAGTGGTTGCCCACAACGATGCAGGGACACCAGTTTGTTTCCAGACACTACTGAGTGCGGAACCAAGGCCTGCCCATGCGCTGGAGATGTCGTGTATGGTAGTTAATTTTAGATAGCATACGAGCACCCTTGACATCGCAACCCGCTGGGTAAGGAAGACCAGGACAGCTGTGTAGAGCTAGACGAAGCCCGTTATTGGTGTATTAGCAAGGGAATAGTGGACATACCGTGTAAAATGCTTGTAGTGAAGCACTCAGCACCACCGGCCAAAAATCAGTGTTCGTGGGCGTGAATGGGAGAGTCACATGGTGTTCCCAGCGATATATATAAGACACGGTGAGCATGATATGTATCATGACCAACACGCCATGCAACACGTAACATGTGCATGCAGAAAATGATCCACTTTCGTTTTCTGAGGGATTCTTCGAGCGAGTCACCCAGGACGCTGGGGCAGTGAAATGTAGTATGTACTGGCATGCAGTAGCGATAGTTAACATACCAAACCAAGTCCCTGGCGGCTGCATTATGGAATCGTCGCTATTCAGAATTGAGGTCTCATGAAAATGACTAGCTGTCGAAGGGAAGAGGTGGCACTGATGTATCTGCGACGAAAGTGAACGAACGAAGCAAGGTAGAACGAGTCCATGACACCCTGTTATTAAATATTCGGGTCCTTCTCGATATTAGAATTCGACAGTATCGTTGCCTATCTTGTTCTTATCTTTCCTGGTACTGTATAGTGATTCACCTTCGAACACTCAGCCACACACTTACATAACAACTGTAATGCACATCATTAGATTTAATTTGCTCATCAAAGTTGATTCGGACACTCACATAAGTGCTCATTGCACTGATCCTTGATCCACTTGATGTTTCAGACACCATCAGTCCCTGATATACGCAGCCACCTCGGAGTGTCCTACTTTTGCAGAACTTGAAGGAAGGCTTGATTTCTGTAGGTCAGCCCTGGCCGTTCTAGACAGTGTGCACGCGAAGTTCTTCCAATTTGAGAAGACTTTATATAATACGGGCGTGATGATGATATAAAGCAAAGTGGAGGGAGCTAAATTGTCCTCGTCTATGTGAAACCGATCGGTCTAGATTGATACACAGGATCTGTAAAGCGGTGTATGTGATGGGTCACTAACTGGTCTTCATCAGAACTGATGCCTTGATTACCTAGCAAATGCTTATACATTGGACGTAAAGTATAATGCCTGTAAGAAAAACTGTCTGGTAGGTCATGCATTTCGGAATCGTGAGATCACATTGAATGATCTTCTTCACATCGCGGTCTTTCGGTGCAGGCGTGTATCAGGTCGACTGGCCAGTGAGAGAATCAGAGATGAATGAGGCTCTGCTACAAGAGCGAATTGGAAGACGTATTAATTGTGAATCATGTGAGGTGGAATTCCAAACGTATTGAGATCTGGGGTTTCCTGGCTGATCCTGAATATCTACAACCCGTTTACTTGTAGAGTCGGCTCTGCGATATCAGAGAATGGTACACACCAAGTAGTGGCAAGCAGAGTCTCTAGTCCTGATCGAACCGATGCCTCAGTAGGCGCGATATCTGCATACTTAGGCGTTGGGATGATAACATACAACCTTCCGAGTCGTCGTCGCACCGGTCGGACATTGTACTTGAAGAGATTGCATCTCATCCGAAAATGCGAGAAGATGCTTTGTCTGGGCCACAACATGTGCTTTGAAAGCTCGAGTAAGAATGTCGGCTTTCCTAGACGAGTCGGAGCGATACTCTTTCTCAAACGATGGGTATATCCTTCAATACACTACATAGCGGCGGAGAGCACTATGCTACGACAAAACCTGAAGGACTCTGGGTAGCTGACTAAGCTACGGTGCTATAACACCCTAGGGGTCCCCTACTCCAGTACTAAGCAAAGACACCAATAACTTGAAGGACCAAGGACCCAGGCAGAGCTGAGGCGAACCGCACGAAATGCCCTGATTTATACTTCAAATGACGCCAAATAAGCTACACAATAAGACGCTACACCGTACGGTCTGCAGGTGACATGTCCGACATAGATATACATACGGCGATGTCAGAGCCGTGCACTTGCTGGTCCATATGCCAGAGATGCAGGTGCATGCGCGTAGCAAGGATCGCAAGGATAAAGACCTCAAAACTGTATATGTAATATGTTTGAGGGTTGTTGTCAGTAGGAATTCGCAATAGAAGTTGAAGATGCATACCCTTCAGGGAGGAAGTAGGATAGGGACTGCGTGTGCACAACATCAATGGTTCGACCATGACAAAGGGTGTTATTTACGCACATCAGAAAGCGGCAGCACTGGCACAATGACGTTCACGACCGAGAGAACTTTCGAAAAATTAATCATCACCAATAAACACGGAAACATATGTAAGTTCTGACTCACGCAGACCACATGCATAGTAGAATATGTTATGCTTCACTAAGATGGCATACAGAGGGCCCTTGGCCGACCTGCCAACTCTGTATGACACGCACGAGTGTGAGGGATATCAGTACTGGGGATAGTGTCAGTCAGCATGTGTCTGCAATGTACATTCCCAATGTACCGCTGCATACCCAGTTGGAACACAAGCAAGAGAGTAAACGGCATAAAGAATGCGAAACTGCCTGAGCTCCGCTGACAGCCCGGGATCGTGCTAACCGTAGCTGTGAAACTGGAGTCAATATGTGTAAATAGTTGAGAGTATAGGTGAGAGCACAAACAATAAGAAGTGACAGTAGCAGTAAACCCAATGATGAAGGATGATACGGTGATAGCCTGACTGGTTTATCAACATTGAACTTGGGTGTGGTGAGAGTGTGTGGCTCACAAAAAGGGTGAACAGCATGACTACAAGTAGAATCCTATTTTTTTCCAGAGCGCATACGTTCTGAGGACAAAAAAGCCTGGATGCATCAGATCAGAAACACATGTATGTCTCGGAGGAAGGAGAGATACATTCAGAGCAAGTGAGTGAAATCAGACTCAAGGCTGTAAGAGGAATAGCAGCGCTCAGTAAGAACGTGTATGCAATATGTACCTGGCACGTACATGTGATAAGATTAATCGATATCTAGCATTTCTGGCGAAGTCATGCAGTTAGCGTCATTCGTGATTGGATGGACGCCCATGTTCACATACATTGGTATTCTCGTTCGGGGCCAGGATCACTGAAGCGCAGTATGCCAATTCATTAAGTTGGGGAAAATATATAATGGGATAAACGCACGATATAGGTTCATGGTGGTGATTAAAAAGGGGATATATCGTGCAGTGATATATAGGGTTTTTACTTCGGTCCAGCGCGACCGCAGTAGGAATGTCCACTTCAATAGCACATTGAGATCAGAGCCGAGGCATATTGCGGAACAAGTACACTACTTACCTCTTCGTGAAGTGAACAAATATAGTCATAGATCTGGATAAACAAGTTTGATCAGATGGCGGACAGAAATAGATAGGGACAAACCTACCCAGAATGTCGTCATCGACGCTAAGCTGTCGAGTTAGAACGAGGAAGATACAGTTCGGACATCACGCACAGTATAGGTACTAATGGTCACACATAACATATCTGTTATCATCTTGCTGTCATGTCAAGAAAGCGACGCACTACCAAGAGCTGTAGATTTCTGGCCGCTGTGACATCGTCCGCCGAATATTCTATCTGAATTCGTTCAGGAGGTGACGATTAGGTTTCGCGTACACATCCGTTCACCTTAAGCTCTTAAATGAGCTGGGAACCCATCGGGATCGAATACTGGGGACGTTATGCCGGTGAGGATATCGTGATGGATCATTTTCACCAGCCAATTTACAGTTGATGCGGTCACATGCTCGATCCTGTGCGCAACCTAGTAAAAGATACTAACATGCATAGCAATAAGACCTTAGCTATTGAGATAGGCTAACACGTACCCAATAATACACATCATTGACTTAATGTGATCATCAAAGTTGATTCGGATACACGTGCTCATTGTGCTAATCCTCAAAATACGCAGCCGCCTCGGAGAGACCTGCTTTTCCACAACTTGAAGGAAGGCTTAACCTCTGCAGATCAACCTTGGCTGTTTCAAACACACACGAATTCTTCTAAGTTGAAATGACTTCAATACGGGTGTGATGATGGTATACGTAAAGCAGACTGGGGGAAGCTAACCGTTCTCGTCTACATTTGATCGGGATTGATACATGGCTCTGTAAAGGGCTGGATGCGGTCGGTCAATGACTGGTCTGATGCCTTGATTATCTGGCGAATGCTGTGTCGATGAGAGCATATTGATTGATCTTCTTCACACTTCGCTGCAGGTGCGCATCACGTCGACTGGCCGGTGAGATCAGGAATGGAGAAGGCTCTGCTACAAGAGAGCATTGGAAGACGTAATTGTGGATCGTGTTAAGTGGAATTCTGAAGTGACTCACTGATCGGGGGTCTCCTCGTTGATCTCGAATATCTACAAACCAATTACCTGAAGAGTCGACTCTGGTATCAAAATTGTTAGAAATGGCTGCGGGCTGGGGTTAAACCCCGTGCGCACCACACTAGCACTGTATAAACTGCTGACTTCACGTGAAAATTTGACGGTCAGTATATTACAGGTTGACCACTGTACACAGGATTGCTACAGGAACGAAGATTTGGATAATCGGAGTTCGCCGAACATATTACCACTGGGCGTGGGTAGCTTGATCTTGTAATAACTTCTCCAAGGATTGGATGGTGCGCATCATAACCATGTAGTGGCAAGCAGCGTGTATTACTCGCGATAAAAATCATGAAACAGAGAAGAAGTGTGCTTGAAGTCGTAGTTCAAGTCTCACTTCACAAATGATGCCGAATAAGCCATGCGATAAGATGTTACACCGCACGGTCTGCAGGTGACATGTCCGACATAGATATCCACACGACGGTGTCAGAATCATCCACGTGCTGATCTATATGCCAGAGATGGAGGTGCATGCGCGTAGCGAGAATCGCAAGGATAAAGACCTCAAAACTGTATACGCGTGCTTGTTGTTAGTAGGCATTCGCAACAGATGTTGGAGGTGCATACTCTTCAGGGACGAGGTCAGTTAGGGACTGGGTGTGCACAACATCAATAGACCCATCATATTGAAGAGCATTGTTTACGCACATCAGAAAGCGGCAGCAGCGGCACAAGGACATTGATAGCCGAGAGAACTTTCGAAAAGTTAATCATCACCAATAAGCAAGGAAAAATATGTAAGTCTCACTCACGCAGACCGCATGCATAGTAGAATATGTTATGCTTCACTAAGATGGCGTACAGAGGGCCCTTGACCAACTGCCAACTCTGTATGACACGCACGAGTGTGAGGGATATCAGTACTGGGGATAGCGTCAATCAGCACGTATCTGCAATGTACACTCCCAGTTTCTGACTGCATACCAAGTTGGAACACAAACAAGAGGACAAACGGCATGAAGAATGAGAAACTGCCCAAGCTCTGGGGACAGCCTGGTATCACGATAGCCGTAGCTGTGAAAGCGGAGTGAATATGTGCCAAAAATAGTGAGTGAAGGTGAGAGCACACACAAGAAGAAATCATAATAGGAGTAAAACTAATGATGGTGCATGATACAGTGACAGCCTGACTGATTATCAACATTGAACTTGGGCGTAGTGAGGGCGTGGGGCTCACGAAAATGGCGGACAACATGACTGCAAGTATAATTCTATTTTTGTTCCAAAGCGTATACGTTCTGAGGACAAAAAAGCCTGGATAAATCAGATAAGAAACACGTGTATGTCTCGGAGGAAGGAGAGATACATTCAGAGCAAATGAATGAAATCAAACTCAAGGCTGTAAGAGGAAATAGTAGCACTCGGTGAGAACGTGCATGCAATATGTACCGGGCACGTACATGAGATAAGATCGATCAATATTTGGCATTTCTGGCGAAGTAACACAATTAGCATCATTTGTTGGTGGATAGATGTCCATGTTTACATACATTGTTATTTTCGTTCGAGGCCACGGCAACTGAAGCACAGTATACCAATTCATTAAGTTGGGGGAATATATACTAGGAAGAACGCACGATATAGGTTCATGATGGGAATTAAAAAGGGACATATCGTGTAATGACATAAAGGGCTTTTACTTTGATCCAGCGCGACCAAAGTAGGAATGTCCACTTGAACAGCATATTATCAATATCACAGTCTAGATATATCACGGAACAAGTACACTACTTACCTCTTCGTGAAGGGAACAAATATAGTCATAGATCTAGATAAACAAGTTTAACGGCAGACTGAACATGGATCGAAATAAACATACCCAGAACGTCGTCATCGACGCTGAGCTTTCGAGTCAGAACGAAGAAGATGCAGTTCAGACAGCACGCACCGTACAAGTACTAGTTTCCACCCGTAACATATCTGTTATCATCTTGCTGTTGTGTCCAAAAAGCGACGCACCGCTAAGAGCTGCAAACGTCTGGCTGCTGTGACATCGTCCGCCGAATATTCCATCTGGATTTGTTCGAGAGGAAAAAATTGGGTTTTGTGTACATATCCGTTCACCTTCTTATATGAGCTGGAGATGCTATGCCGCTAAGGATATCGTGATCGGATCATTTTACTGGCTGCTTTACTAAGTGTGGTTGATGCGTGCTCACAATTTGGGAGCACCGCAGCAGTGGCGCAGCATGTCACGATGCCCAAATAATACGCACTAGGGGCTCGCGTTGCGAACTTCTGACCTTGCTCCGATACGCAGGCAATTGACCGGTGTTTTAGATTTCTGTAATTGCTACAGTTTTGAGTTTCTAGATGTTAGATCTAGGTTACCTGTTTTCTACGATGAATCTTTTATCTCACGTGATTACACAGCATGATGTCACCTTGCGGAGCAAGTGACACAAACATCATCCTGTGCAGTCATGCGATCTTAAACAGTTCTGCCTTGACACGCACGGCGAACCCCTAGTTTATATCAGGTGACTGACAGATTATCCCCCAACGTGACCTGCAAGTGCTCCGCAAGCTGTGAGATCTTGAGATTAACATAATTTGCTCATCAAAGTTAATTCAGACACTCACATAAGTGCTCATTGCACTGATCCTTGATCCACTTGATGTTTCAGACACCATCAGTCTCCTTGAAATACGCAGCCACCTCGGAATGTCCTACTTTCGCAGAGCTTGAAGGAAGGCTTGATTTCTGTAGGTCAGCCTTGGCCGTTTTAGACAGTGTGCACGCGAAGTTCTTCTAATTTAAGAAGACTTTATATAATACGGGCGTGATGATGATACAAGGCAAACTGGAGGGAGCTAAACTGTCCTCGTCTACATGATCTGGATTGATCCACGGATCTGTAAAGCGGTGGGTGTGATTAGTCACTAACTGGTCTTCATCCAAGTGATGCCTTGATTAACCGGCGAATGGTGTGTCGATGAGAGCATGTTGAATGATCTTATTCACATTGCGGTCTTTCGATGTAAGTGTGTATCAGGTCGACTGGCCGGTGAGGATGTCACGGATGGAGGAGGCTCTGCCACAAGAACGCATTAGAAGACGTAATCGTGGATCATGTGGGGTGACATTCTGAACATACTTATCATGATCGGGGGCGTCCTTACCTACAAACCAATTACTTGAAGAGTCGGCTCTGCGATATCAAGATTAGATAGTACGCACCAAGTAGTCGCAAGCAGACTTACTGGTCATGATCGAACCGATCCCTCACGAAGCGCGCTTGAAGTTACATTTTCTCCAGGATATCTGCATCGAGACGATAACATACAACCTTTGTCATCGCACCAGTCGAACATCGTACGTGAAGAGACTGTGTCCTGTCCGCAAACCCAGGAGGATACTTCGTTTGGGCCACGATGCTTTCAAGTTGAAAGCTCCAGTAAAGATGTCGGCTTTCCTAGACGAGTCGGAGCGATACTCTTTCTCAAACGATAGGTAGATCCTTCAAGACTGATGCAATTGCTTTGTATCTATGACCATGTGCCTGCATGTCGTGAGCCAGGCAAGAAGTGGTGGAGACCACGACACTACGATAAAACCCGAAGGCCTCTGAGTGGCTGACTAAGCCACGGACCTGCCCCAGTACTAAGCAAAGACCCCAACAACTTGAAGGACCAAGGGCCCGGCTAGAGCTGAGGCGAGCCACACAAAATGCTCGATTTATACTAGTGCTCACAAGGACTGAACCCAAAGCTATGCCACGCAGCAGTCACAACGGTGTTAGAATCTCCAAGCATTTGATGGATTAAAGATTGGCACATGAAGGATCCGTATCTGCTCGAATTTCTACTGAAACTCGTCGTCGTGCTCGTCGTTTAGTTGCTCACGGGTTCATATCCGAAAATATAGCCTCCCCAGAATACCCTAGACCCCAGGCTACATTTCAAAGATGTCAACCTGCATTTCCCACTCCTGAAATGTTTAGTAAGATAGCGAGTGAGAAAATGGGTATAAACTGGTATAGGACCTCAACACATCATACAAATGGTGCGAAAACAGGCATCACTATAACATAATATGACAATATATGTCTGGGTAAACGTCCGAAAAGTTCCGACAAGCTTATAGATAACTGATGAGCAGAATCGATACTGTGCACTGTAAACATTAACATCTAAGTCGCGGCTTCTTCTTCGTCGACTTCTTGTTGTGAAACTTGAGCCGTTGGGTCAGCCTTGTTCAGCCAGATACCCGGGTGAAAGAAATTTTGAGTGTAGATAGCGAGAGTGACCATGCCTCCATCGAGCCAATCTATCGATAGTAGAGGATTTATAAACGTGTTCCTGGCAAATATAGATGATGACGTACCAAAGTAGCGCTGAGTCGTGATCACTGGCCCGAACCACCCACCAGCGAGTTCCACAGTACGATAAATGGAACTAAGGATGAATTAAGCACATCAATGATTGCTGATAAGATGTTTTGTGCACTAACCGAATGAAGATGCAGAGGGTGCAGAATGCCATGGCATAAATCATAATTCGCAAGTTCTTACTCACGGCACTTTGACCTTTCTCCAATACGCGAGGTTGCTCAACGTGGCGGACGGGTGCATCGTATTTCAAACGCAAGAAAAACTCGGACGCCAAAGTGACGTATACCTACTATAGCAACTAGAAGCGAAGTAAGAATGTGAGCAAGAGAATTGAAAGGACCCTTGTAACGCACAGAGCTGGGCAGCAATTCCTCCTAGCATGATGTTGGCGCCCTATCTCTATGAAGTGAATGTTAAACGAAATGATGAATGATGTACATACCGTCGCAGCACTTGTCTCCTGGCTGACAGCGCGCGCAGCGGATGCGCCTCCAAGAGCTTGTACGATCAAGCAGACAACATCCTACGAGTTAGAAAGATATGAAGAATGAATACCCCTTGAATGTATGATACTAACAAAAGAACAAAAAATGATGGTATCTGCACTAGATTAGTAACTGGACATCGGCAGTATTAGGGCAACACTGACATATCTTTGGGGTCAAACGGCTGTACTGGGGTCCAGCCAGACCGATTATCTTGCCAAGGATGATAAAGTTGGCTGCAACAAGCGGAGTAGGTGCTACGACAGTGCCGACAAGCCTGCAGTGGAAACGCTTGAGTGGGCATGCGAATGATTATATCTGGATGAACACTGACTGCATCTCATAAGGGGTCAAAAGCCTTGGGCTTTTGCTCGACCATAACCTGGCACTCCATCCGATTATTTCCAGGATACCAGCCAAGGTTGCTGTTGGAATCATCCACCATAGTCTAAACTTGAGTGCCTGGCCCAAGTGGAGTACTGAAGATGTCAAGTCATGATCGCGCACTGTCGATAGTAAAAATTCATACTAGTTGAAATGCTGTACAACACGAGGAACTAAGAGAACAGCTTGAAAAGGATGTGAGACGTCTAAACAACATAACTCACAAGGATACAGATCCATTCTGTAGGATATAGTTGTACGGGCCAACGCGATTGCCAGGAGCTATTGACCACACACTCGTTGAAAGACATCACCAAAAAACAAACATAGGTAGTACTCACGAGTTTGGTTATGAGTTGCAAATACAGGGGCGAGAGTCATTTTGACAGAAGAAAACGCCTGGAGGGAGAGAGTGTTACCTGTGAGCGTGGAGCATATGCACGCCAAGTAAGCATTTCTACTCAGTTGAGTTGCGCTGGAGCCGCCGCCTAGTTCTCCGGCAGGCCATCGGAAATGAAATGGATGTGGCCGAGGTTTGCTTCGGATAAGCTAGAACATATCAGGATCAGGATTTGAGTTACTCTAAAATATCACGTTCCGCAGCTTGATCATCTAATCCAGCCCCACCTTGTTAGGTCAAATCTGAGGAGCCCGCGGTAATATGTAACTAGTAGTTGCCACCCAGCCTTAACCCTGAAATACCCTTACCTGTCATAATCCCTGACAAGATAACGGAGAGGTACGCTATGCCATTGCCAGGGATCCGAAATCCGGACATCGACATTGACATGTTGGATTTTTGATGGTACTGCCAGGGCAGCGCTATGAGCGCAGAGATCATGATAGCACGACTCGATTACAACCATGGTCATAGCTAAATTTAGAAAACTTTCTCAAGTAGTACGCAGAACTATTTTAAGACAGTTCTGCCGGCGGAACGTTGGCTTGCACTCAATTCATCCTGGCAGATGACAGCAACTTGTGACGAACGCGGTTTTTTTCATAGCACTAGAGTACTGCAGGACCACTGGTAGATAGCAACATCCAGGGGTCGCATCATGATCCGTGAACCTGTACATATGGTCGAAGAACGGATATTACTAGTGATTGCTGGCTGTGCAAAGGGATTCAGAACAAAGTCTAATTCGGGCACCACTGCCAACTGGGGACTAGGTGGCATGATGGGCATAGCAGTACTGTGTCATGAAATGCCCATATCATCATATCGACGAGTAGTTTGCCCAATTAATTATAAGTACCTCGGTCACTGGCCAGAAATAGAAGACACGTCCAGAAAGGAAGGCAGAATGGAAGTTAATTAATACCAGAAACTCACCTCAACGGTCTCTGCCATTCTCTGCCTCAGCGTTCGTATGTCCGCGCACCATCAGCTCGAAGCTTCACGTTAACCGAACGTGGCTGGCTCTGAGGGATGCTGCTTTGTCGTTTTGGGGGCTCGGTGATTAATAGCATGATTTCAGTGATCGGATGGCGGTCAACAAGTGACATTAAAGTCTCATGCCGAGTCATAGATTGTGTCCAGCTCAGCCAGACGGAATCAGGGAGCAACGAATGATATGTAAGTAGGTATGCAGGTATCACCCAATCGCAAGTATGCAAAGCATTACGCACGGAAAGACAGCACGTATCGATAAATATACGAATAGATATGATTTGTCCATCGCCGTTGGTATCAACGGGTATTACAGCAGTCGGTTCTGGTCTAATGCTTCTAGCGCTGCATTCGTCCTCATATGAAGTGCGTTCTGTAATGATGAAAGTGTAAAAGTTAGTTATTAGTCTCGTTCGTTCGTTCCTTTTTAAGACGTGTTTCGTACCTCTAGACTATATTTACCCTAAAACGGAGAGCATCCGTCAGCGATGTCACCAAACAACGAAACGTATCCGTGGGTGTCAACGTACCTTTCGTCCCGCAGCATTCACCTCAAGCGGCTTTCCTGACATAACAAGATCAAACTGTGTCCTCGCACTATCTTTGTCCCCTGATCGCGCTAGCAGCCTCCCGTACTCAAAATCTACAAAAAATGAGCCGGCAAATTCTCAACGGATGACAGAACAAAACCAACTCACGTGTATAATACACGATATAATGGTCCAACTCGATATTAGGTCCGTGCTCAAAGACAGCGCGAAACGCGCGCTCCGAGTATGTGCGCGCGTCCTCTGGTGAGAAAGGGATCTTTTCATCAGGCTCGAGTTCAGCGTCTGGGTCCTGGATCAATAGGGAAGTGTGTCAGCGAAGATAAATCGACGACCCAGAGCGAGAAAGAAGGGAGAGCCTCAAGACACCAAGGGCACGAATACGCTAATCCAAACGCAAAGATGATGACAAAAAAAGGTAAACGCACCGGATATGCAACAAATCGCCAACACACGCCCTCCAAGAAACGCGCAAGACAGACATCATCCCAATACCCACTCCGCGACTCCAGCTTCTTGTCCTTGCCTTTCTTGGCCTCATTCTCCTTGGCACCGCCCTCACTCCCTCCAGACCCAGACGAAACTAGACCCTCACTCCCAGACGAAAGCACCAAACCCAACTCCCCCAAAGCGCCTCCAACAGCAGGAATCATCTCCGTCACAATAACTTCTCTGGGCGCATGCGCAATCGCATGGAATACATAGGCAAGCTCTAGGGCGGGGAGGAGGAGTCTGCCGGACTGGGCGAGATATTTACGGGCTTTGCGAGCAACGAATTTCTGAGTGTTTGATTAGCGTTCAGTCGTTTTTTGGTGGGTGGCGAGGAGGAAGAAGCACCCAAGAAAGTAAAAACGTACCTCGACAGGAATACTCTTCCCTGCGATTTTCTGCCTCAGCCCCTGGACGCGCTCCATGAGCTTCTTCGCTTCTGCGTGCTCGCCGAGCGTGGCTAAACATGCTGCTTCGCCGTACGTATATGTTGCTTTGGACCACTAAGTGCGCCAAGATGATAATATCGAGGGATGGGAGATAATCGTAAGCAAACGGACGTGGACACGAAAGAGGGAAAGAGAAACCCACCGTAGCCTCGCCTCCAAGTTTTCCCCACCACAATCTACTTTCTGCGACTCTGCAGAAAACCAACATCAGTACCCATCACTCGTCCTGTACCACCCTCTACCAAAACTCCGCCCCACCCTAAAACGCACACGAAATACGCACCTCCAAAGCCCTAAACAAGCAACCGCACTCTCCCACCACGAAACATGGTGTAAATTCTTATACTGTGTTTGAGCTTGTGCAGCGCGTGCGTAGTAGACAAGGGCTTTTGAGGGTTGGGAACGGACGAGGGCGAGACGGCCTGCGCCGAAGAGGAAGAAGACGCCTGTTTGGTGTCGGTGGGGGGTTGAAGGAAGATTGGAGTGTGGGCAGGGCAGGGGAGAGAGAAAACACCACCCGTTAGAACACAAATCCCAACAACACAAATAGGCCACACACACACCATTCGGATACCTCTTCAAATTCCACTCCAGCACTCTCGTAGCCTTGCGTACGTCGACGCCTTCGAACGTAAACGCCGAGAGGACGAGGTGGAAAATGAGTAGCGACATATCGCAGATCGCACGTCGGACGCCTTCTGCTTCTGTGAGCGAGAATATTAACACTTCTTGCGCCCGACTCGCGATACCACGATACGAGAGTCACTCACCCTTCTCAACCACTCTCCCGTTTGCGCCCCATCCCCCAGCCCTCTCCAGCAACTCCAATCCAAACTTCCTATCGCCCTTATACCCAAACAACTCCACCAGCGCGAGAAGTTTCCCGGGCATCATACTAAGCACGAGATGGGACATACCGAGACCTAGGTACACGCCAGAGCGGAAATGGGGGTCGATGGATGGGGAGGGGAGGTATGGGTGTGTGGGGGATGGCGTTGCGTTGGATGGTGGGGAGGCGAGGTCCTGTATAGCTGTGTGCTCGGGGGAAGGGAGAGGTGAATGTGCGGCGCAGGATGAACTAGCACTTGCAAAGCTCGTGGTGCTTGATTGTGGCGGCGTTTCTTCGATATCCGTTCCTCTTTCTGGTGCAGGATTGGGTGTTGAGATGGCGGCTAGTAGTTCGGGGTGGGCGATAGCATATGCTGCGTCGACCGTCTCAATCCATTTACCGAGTTGACGGTATATGGAGATAGTGGTGCGCATGTTGAGTCTGGGCGTTTGCGGTCCTTAGGTATTAGCGAGGAAAGAGGGGAAAGGCGGAGCACGTACACCTCCCGGATAAACGCTAACCAATCGCCTGAATAGACTATCCCGAGAAGACTCTGTTGCAACATCAGCTAGCCCTCCGAAACGCGTACACCGCCCAAAATACACGGTCTTGCCGGTCGACGCACCTTTTGATAGAGACTCTCCGCATAGACGAGTTCGGCATGACGCTCCACGGACGTCATACCTGCAATCCATTCTGTACCGCTAGTGCTGAGTGAGGGAACGATGTATCCTGCAAGACGACCTGCGAGGCTGCTAGGGCGTTTGCGATGTATAGAAGCGACAGCGATACCGTGCTTGGTGTGGTTGATAGCGGCCAAAAGATCCTAGAACCCAGATTACAAATTAGCGTATAAGTAGTAGGTACTAGCTGCAGCAGTACACACGGACCTTATCCTCAAAAGACATGAGACCTTTCACACATTGAATAAGCCCAAATCCAGTCGCAAAGTACAATCTCTTTCTGCGGTGGCTCATTCTCAGCTTCTGTTTGTAGGAGCGATCAAGACAAAGTACGTACTTTTCCGGATCGCTTTGCTCGCAGAATCGTTCACTTTCGTGCATGCGAGATTGAAGGAACTCATGGAGGGCCCAGTGGAGACCTGGGATGTCGTCGAGGGCGTTTGCAGGGTCGTAGGGATTATTTACGGGCGGGGGTGAGTTGGACATGGTGGTGTGAGTGAGGAAAGCTTGCTGTGTACGGGCGTCTAGGGTATTCCAGGGAGGCTCTGTTTTCGGATATGAGCGCGTGAGCAACTACAACAGCGACGACGATACCGACAACAATGACAGGCGGCGACAACGGCGAGCACGAACTTCAGTAGAAGAGCAAACACGGATCCTTCATGTGCCAATCTTTAATCCATCAAAAGCTTGGCGACTCTAACAGCGTCGTGACTGCTGCGTAGCATAGCCTTGGGTTCAGTCCTTGTGAGCAGAAGTACAAATCGGGTATTCGGAGTCTGAGCACTACGCCTCAGCTCTGGCCAGGCCCTTGGCTCCCGTTCGTGTCTTTGGTTAATGGTGCGTCCGAGTCCAACTCATGGTTAGGTGCGGTATAATGCATCCCAAACACGTTGGCATCAGTCGTAGTCGACCAACGCACGGTCGACAATGCAGAGATATTTCTGATGCTTTGCTTTGTGATAATCGTCGTCCTCAGGCTGTGGCTAAAGCAATTCAGTCTTGAAGGATATATCCATCATTTGAGAAAGAGTATCACTCCGAGTCGTATAGGAAAGCGGCCGATATCTTTACTCGAGCTTTCAAAAGCATCGCGACCCAGACGAAGCATCCTCCTGCGTTTCCGGACAAGATGCGATAGTCTCTTCAAGTACGATGTTCGACCGGTGCGACGACGGAGACTGTATGTTATCGTCCCGATGTCCAAATATGCAGATAATGATATCCCGAAGCAAGTGCGACTTCAAGCGCGCTTCGTGACGCGTCCGTTCGATCATGACTAGTAGTTCTGCTTGCCACTACTTGGTGCGTAGCATCCAATCTTGATATCACAGAGTCGACTCATCAAGCAAATGGTTTGTAGATATCCAGGATCGGCGAAGAAGCCCTTGATCGCAATAAGTACGTTCGGAATTTCACCTCACATGATCCACAATGGCGCCTTTCAATGCGCTTTTGTAGAAGAGCCTCCTCTATCCCGGATCTTTTCATCGGCTGGTCAACCTGATACACGTTTGCAGCGAATGGAAGAAGATCATTCAACACACTCTCACCGATACGGATAATCAAAACACCAGTTGGATGAAGACTATTAGTACTGACCGATCACATCCACTCCTTTACAGATTCGTGTATCAATCCAGATCAATCGTTTCTATGTAGATAAGAATGGGTTAGCTTCCTCCAGTCTGTTTTACATGTATCATCATCACACCCGTATTAAAATCGTCTCAACTTAGAAGAAGCATGTGTCTGAAACGGTCAAGGCTGATCAACAGAGATTACGCCTCCCTTCAAGTTGCAGAAACGTAGAACCCTCCGAGGTGGCTGCGTGTTTCAAAGACTGATGGTGTCTCAAACATCAAGCGGGTTAAGGATCAGCGCAATTAGCACATGTGAGTGTCTGAATCGACTTTGATGGTCAAATTAGATCAATGATATGTATTATTGGGTGCGTGTTGCGTCTGAATAGAGGTCTCATTGCTTTGTTATCAATGAAACCACAGAACATTTCTGGCACCAATCGTAACTTTTATTAAGTTGCACCCAGCCTGGTGCACGCTATGATCACGTCAACTGTAAATCAGCCAGTGAAACAATCTATCACGATATCTTCAGCGGCATAGCGTCCCCAGTATTTACACTTCGGTCTTGATGGGTTCCCAGCTCATTTAAGAAGGTGAAGGGATGTGTACACGAAACCCAATTGTTTCCTTTCGAACGAATCCAGATGGAATATTCGGTGGCAGATGTCATAGCGGCCAGAAGTGTGCAGCTTTTCATGGTGCGTCGCATTCTTGACGCGACAGCAAGATGATAACAAGTATCTCATGTGTGGCCACTAGAGCTTATACAGTGTGTGCTGTTTGAACTGTGTCTTGTTACAGTTCTATTTCTTTTCCTTTCACTTCTTCACTTATTCACGCTTACTAATCATTCTCAGACATTCTATAACATTCTATCGTACAATTCTTATTCTCCTTTCTGATTCATCATTTACTTTCTATCTCTGACTCATTTATTAAAGCTCCGCTTTAATTCCCTTATATATACTCTATCTCTTACGATTGTATTCTTTAACTTGACCTACGCAGACCAGGGCCTGCAATATACTGCTTAACTTGCATGACTTGTACATAGGTGTATGCTTTAGACTCTTTGTGACTGTTTAGCCGTTCTCATGAACACCGAGCGTAACAAAAGGTCAAGTTACTTCTTTACTGCGCGGTTCCCTAGAACTCGCGCCCAGAAACAGACGCCATACCACCGATCGCCCTGACACCTCCTGGTTTTACCTGGGACGAAGAAGAACAAGAGTTCTATCAGATAGACGCCAAGGGCACCAGATATTCCATCAACCAGTGGGCAGCTTATTACGCTAGCATCGCCCCTAAGAACAAAGTTTGGAACTTTCACACCCAAACCTATGAACGATCTATCTCAGCCACCATACCTAAAGAGATCAGAAAGACCCCCTCACCCTTCAACGGTGATACCTGCCTTGCTCAGGGATGGACGCTTCAGGTAGAGGCGTACCTAGATATGAACAATGAAGTTTACGATAATGACAAGAAGAAAGTCATTTTTGCCCTTAGTCTCATGACAAAAGGCGAGGCTGCTAAATGGGCCGAAGGCCAGCTTAAAGCCACGGCCATGACCAAGAATTACGGAACCTGGTTAGATTTCGCTAAACAGTTCAAATCTACCTTCCCCAAGAATATTGAACAGACTGCAATCTGTCGCATCTCCTCCCTTAGACAAACTGGCAGCGTAGCCACTTATGCATCCCTATTCTGAACCATCCTCGCCGATACCAGCATCTCCGAAGAAAACACCAAGATTATGTTCTTTAGGAATGGGCTAAAGCGTGAGATAGTCTCTGCTATATATGCCTTTGAAACAACCCCCACCACCATTGAGACGTGGCTAGAGAAAGCTCTAGACGTCAAGGTACGAAGGACCTTAATAGCACCTCCCTCTTACTCCAAGGCGAAAGATCCCTATGCCATGGATATAGATAACATAGAAGTAGAAGATGAAGAAGGGGAGAAGAAGATGAGGAAAACCTATCTAACTCCTCAAGAACGGGAGTGTAGGCGCAAAGGCGGCCTATGCTTCAAATGTGGTAAGAAGGGCTTAGCCGCAGATTGCCCTAACCATCCCACGGTTGCGACCAGCACAAGAAAGGTAGTCAAGGAGTCATCTGACGAAGACTACAAAGAATTTCAAGAGTGGAAGGCATTTAAAGCGCGCCAGATGAAGAAAACCGGTAAGAAACCGGTTAAGAAGGAAGAGAGTAGTGACGAGGAGGATTTTGCATAGGGGAGACTGCCACGGTGTCAGAAACTCCCAGAATCGGACTTTTAGTACAATCTGTTGGCGATACTAATTCTATTCATTTACCATTAACCATCAGGTTGAAAAGAACCGAAAAAACCACCGTAGCCGCCGCTTTAATCGATTGCGGCGCAGAAGGTGAATTTATTGACGAGAAATTCATCCTCAAAGAAAACATTCGCACGCACAAACTTGAAACCCCAATACCTGTACGAAATGTAGATGGAACATTAAACAAAGCCGGGAGGATCACATGGTACTGTGAACTTTCTTTTCTTATCAAAGATATCCCTATGAGGAAGCGATTCTTTGTAACCTCTCTAGGAGGAGAAGACGCTATCCTGGGAATGACCTGGCTAAAGAAAGAAAACCCAGATATTGATTGGACTAGTCAAGAAGTCCGCTTAAGGGAGTGTACCCTGAAAAAAGCAACGATTGAAGAAGTCGAAGAAGATGAAGATGTTTTTTATGATGTGCTGGAAGAATTAGAACCAGAGTGGGACCCCGCTAATGAAACACTCCCACACCTTCTAGATCCCATCAATGATGATGATGACTTTTACACCCATATCTGGAAAACTGACAATATTTCACAGACACTCGCCCAGGACACCGCCAAACCAAAGAAAACCTTTGAAGAACTCGTACCAGAAGAGTTCTGACAATATAAGGACGTATTTGGTGACGTAGCTAACGGTACTTTACCCCCAGAACGAAAATACGACCACAAGATTGACCTCAAAGAATCCTTCGAACCGCGGAAATGCAAGATTTATCCGCTTAATGCCAAAGAAGATAAGGCAATGAATGATTTTATTGACGAACATCTAGCTAAAGGGACGATTGTCCCTTCCGAATCCCCTCAATCATCTCCATTCTTCTTCGTTGGGAAGAAAGACAGTTCCCTCCGACCCTGCCAGGATTATCGCTACTTGAACGAACACACAGTTAAGAATAACTACCCCTTACCGCTAATCTCTGATCTTATAGATAAGCTAAAGGATGCCAAGATATTCACCAAGATGGACATTCAATGGGGATATAACAATGTACATATGAGGAAATCTGATCAATGGAAAGCAGCTTTCGCCACTTCCCGAGGACTTTTTGAACCCACCGTCATGTTCTTCGGAATGTGTAATTCGCCCGCCACCTTCCAGTCTATGATGAACAACTTGTTCGGAGACATGATCCAGGAAGGATGGATTATCATATATATGGACGATATACTCATCTTTTCTAGAGACGAAGAAACTCACCGCATCTGAACCCACAAAGTACTCCAATGACTCTGCAACAATCTCCTTCACCTTAAACCCAAAAAATGCACCTTCAACGTAACCGACATCGAATATCTCGGCATGATCATCAAACCCGGTTCTATCGCCATGGACCCTGCCAAATTAAAGGGTATATCTGAATGGAAAACTCCCACGAAAGTGAAGGAAGTCCGATCATTCCTCGGATTCGCTAATTTCTACCGATGGTTTATTGCTGACTACTCTTCAATTGCTAGACCCCTAATCGACCTAACCAAGAAAGACAAAGAATTCTCTTGGACCTTCGAACGCGAGGAAGCTTTTAATAAGCTGAAGCGTATCTTTATGTCCTCTCCTATCCTTCAAATACCCGACAAGAATTCTCCCTTCACTATCGCAACTGATGCCTCCCTATACACCACTGGCGCAGGACTACTCCAGAAAAACAATAATGGGGATTGGCTCCCGTGTTCATTTTTATCTCAATCGTTTAATCCCGCTGAACATAATTACCAGATCTACGATCGAGAATTACTCGCTATCATCCGTGCTTTGAAAGCATGGAGACATTATCTCCTCAGATCTCCATTCCCAGTTACCATTCAGACTGACCATAAAAATCTTACTTATTTTAGGGACGTACAAGACCTTAACCAACGCCAAGCCAGATGGCAAACTTTCCTCTCACAATTCGAACTCCAGATTCAACACATACCCGGAAAAGAACTCATTATTCCTGACCTCCTTTCCCGTAGAACAGATCACCTTCCAGTCGATAGTGATGAAAAGGACAACATTAGTATTCAACTCCTTCCTGACTCGATGTTTATCAACATCATTGACACTTCTTTTACGGACAGATTACGTATCTCATCCTCCATTGACCCTGTAGTACATACCGCACTTCAAGCGCTCACAGACTCTTCAATTCCCCCTCCTCTCCGTTCTGCTCTTTCCGATTGGAAATTGAGCGACGGAATTCTTTCTTACAAAGGACTTACTTACATACCCCCCGGAGATCTCCGTTGAGAACTCACTTCCTTACATCACGATTCTCCCACCGCCGGACACCCTGGACGTTTTAAAACCCAGGAACTCCTTTCCCGTGACTACTGGTGGCCAGGTTTAGCCACATTCATCAAGAACTTCGTCGAAGGCTGTTGCATCTGCCAACAGAACAAAGTAAACACGCACCCTTCGACTCCCCCTCTATCCCCGATCCCCGCTCCCATTTCCAACTGACCCTTCGCTCATTGCTCGGTAGATCTCATTATGGACCTTGCCCTTTCAGATGGCTTTGATAGTATTATGGTCGTGGTCGACCACGGACTTTTGAAGGGGGTAATTTTCACCCCTTGTCTAAAGACAATAGACGCTGAAGGCGTCGCAAACATTTTCTTTTCTAAAGTTTTCTCTAGATACGGACTTTACGATAAAATTATCTCTGACCACGGACCTCAGTTCGCTTCCAGATTCCAGGTCAAACTTGGAAAACTCCTCAGATACAAGAACTCCCTCTCCACTGCCTTTCATCCTCAGAGTGATGGAGAGACCGAATGAGTTAATCAAGAACTCGAAGTCTACCTCCAGATCTTCTGTGCTAACAACCAAACTGGTTGGGCGCCCATGTTACCACTCGCTGAATTTGTCCATAATTTGCATCATCACTCCGCACATGGTACCTCCCCTTTTTACCTCATGATGGGTTATCACCCACGTCATCTACCCGACTCCCATCAGAAATCCGACATACCTAATTTAGAACAACGACTCTCTTTACTTAATAAAGCACGCGACGAAGCGCTAGCCGCTCACAAACTCACACGCAATACCATGCATCAACAAATTACGTCTAAATTCATACCATTCTCTAAAGGTGACAAAGTCTGGCTCAAAGCCAAGAACCTACACCTTGGATACCCGAATCGGAAGCTCGCGCCAAAACGCGAAGGACCATTCACTATCACCAACGTATTATCCCCTATAACCTATCGACTCGCACTTCCTGCGCAATGGCGCATTCACCCAGTATTCCACACTGCACTCCTTTCTCCTTATAAAGAGAACGATACCCATGGCCCTAACTATATTCCGCCTCCTCCTGACTTGATTGATGGCGAAGAAGAACATGAAGTTGAAGCGGTTGTCGGACACCGCAGATCTTCATCTAGAAGGCAATATTATGTAAAATGGAAGGGATTCCTGAGTTCTGAGAATGAATGGATGAAAGAAGCCGAACTAGGTAACGCTTCTGAACTTCTTACTAATTATAAACGATTGCATCGTCTTCTTTGATAGTAGTCAGTGCCTACTACCCTTACAATGGGGGTAATGTTACAGTTCTATTTCTTTTCCTTTCACTTCTTCACTTATTCATGCTTACTAATCATTCTCAGACATTCTATAACATTCTATCATATGATTCTTATTCTCCTTTCTGATTCGTCATTTACTTTCTATCTCTGACTCATTTATTAAAGCTCCGCTTTAATTCCCTTATATATACTCTATCTCTTACGATTGTATTCTTTAACTTGACCTACGCAGACCAGGGCCTGCAATATACTGCTTAACTTGCACGACTCGTACATAGGTGTATGCTTTAGACTCTTTGTGACCGTTTAGCCATTCTCACGAACGCCGAGTGTAACACGTCTTCCTCATTCTAACTTGACAGCTCAGTGTCAATGGCGACATTCTGGGTGTGTTTTTCCTGACCTATTTCCTTCCGCTGCTAAACTTGTTTATCCAGATCTATGACTATATTTGTTCGCTTCACGAAGAGGTAAGTAGTGGTTCTGTGATATGCCTAGGCTCTGATCTTAATAACGTGTTGTTCAAGTGGACATTCCTACTCCGGTCGCGATGGACCAAAGTGAAAGCCCTTTATATCATTGCACTGATATGTCCCCTTTTTAATCACCACCGTGCACCTGTATCATGCGTTCATCCCAGTATATATTCCACCAACTTAATGAATTGGCATACTGTGCTTCAGTGGCGGTGGCCCCGGACGAGAATACCAATGTATGTGAACATGAGCATCTATCCACCGATGGATGACGCTAACTGCATGACATTGCCAGAAATGCCAGATATTGGTCTATATTATCACATGTACGTGCACGGTACATATTACATGCAGGTTCTTACCGAGTGCTGCTAATTCCTCTTACAGTCCTGAGTCTGATTTCGCTCATTTGCTCTGAATGTATCTATCCTTCCTCCAAGACATAGACATGTTTTTGATCTGATTCATCCAGGCCTTTTTGTCCTCAGAATGTATGTGCTCTGGAACAGAAATAGAATTCTACTTGTAGCCATGCTGTCCAGCCTTTTTGTGAGCCCCACGCCCTCATCATGCTCAAGTTCAATGTTTGATAATCAGTCAGGCTGTCACTGTATTATGCACCATCATTAGTTTTACTCCTATTGTGATTGGTTATTGTTTGTGCTCTCACCTTCACTCACTATTATTGGTACATATTCACTCCGCTTTCACAGTTACGGCTAATGTGATCCCAGACTGTCCCAAGAGCTTCGGCAGTTTCTCATTCTTCATACCGTTTGCTCTCTTGCTTGTGTTCCAACTGGGTATGCAGCCTGAAACTTGGAATATACATTGCAGACACGTGCTGACTAATGCTATCCCTAGTACTGGTGTCCCTCACACTCGTGCGTGTCATACAGAGTTGGCAGTTGGCCAAGGGTCCTCTGTACGCCATCCTATTGAAGCACAACATATTCTACTATGCATGTGGTTTGCGTGAGTCAGAACTTACATATATTTCCATGCTTATCGGTATGATTAACTTTTTGAAAGTTCTCTCGATCATAAACGTTCTTGTGCCATTGCTGCCGCTTCCTGATGTGCATAAACAATTTTCTTCGACATGATCGAACCATTGATGTTGTGCACACCCAGTTCATATCCTATTTCCTCCCCGAAGGGTATATACCTCCAACTTCTGTTGTGAATTCCTACTAAACAACCCCAAACACAGTACAGTTTGGAGACCTTTATCCTTGTGATCCTTGCTACGCGCATGCACCTCCACCTCTGGCATATGGACCAGCATGTGGACACCTCTGATATTGTCGCATGGATATATATGCCGGACATGTCACCTGCAGACTGTGCAGTGTAACATCTTATCACGTGGGTTATTTGGCGTTGTTTGTGAACTTGAAGTGGGACTTTGAGCACATGGTACGAGCCCCGGAGGATTAGCCTCTGGGGAGGTTCTTTCAAGACTCTTTTCCTAATTGCACTTATGATCACCTCTTGGCACCTTCGTCACCTTATATCGTCCCTCCGGACTCATCTTTGCCGGTCGCTTCTTCCGTCTAGGACTTCTTGATATCGCATACTTGATCTTGGCCTCACGCGTAACATTATCTCAGTGTTGCTTTCACATTCGTTGAGGTATGTATGTTGTTTCTGTCACTCATTGTTAGTTTTGCTGACATGTTACCCAGACTCACTCTTGTGCTCTAGGTAGACCTCACTCAGCGTTGCCCTCACGTCCGCTGAGACTGACTCTCATGTTCTAGCTTTCATCGACTTCTTCTCTTTTTGATAATTTTGACCATGAGCAATACACTACCCATGTCGCTGCTTACCACTACATGATCATAATGCGCACCAGCCAATCTTAGTATTTATCATAGAGGAGTAAACAGGTTGTTACAAGATCAATTTATGTGTGCCTGGCAGTAATATGTTCAGCGAACTCCAATTATCTAAATCTTTGTTCCTGTATGTAGCAATCCTGTGCAAAATGGCCAACCTGTATCATACCATCAAATTTTCGCGCTGGAGTCCAGACCAGGGGTTCCAAGGGCAAGAGCTGTGTCCTTTCCCAGCTTAGTCAGCACATAGACTAGTTTTCGCAATGTTGGTATTGAATCTACTGTAGTATTTCACTTGATTCAGCACCACCTGTGACATGTGACATACTACACCACTTTGTTGCCTCGGCATTTGAGGGTGTGACACATGACAGTGCAGAGAATTTTAGCAAAAGTTAATTTCAACCATGTTAATTTTGACTGCCAGATCATGAACTCAGCAGCTCTAAGCACATCTTCTATTGCCACCCATGTAGTAAGTAAAGTAGAGATGCCTGAGCAATATCTGAGTTGTGAATGAGAAACAATTTTGCAACTGCCCAAGTCTGATCAACTTCAAGTTGAACATTTTGTAGCACTCAGGTACAACATGCTCCCCACCAAAATCCCTCACCAACTACAGCTTCCCTCAACTGTTATCAATGAGCTCCTTCCAGATCCATCCCTATCCATCATTGCCTCTTGAAATTCCCACTTCCAGTGATTTCAAAAATTGACTGTAATATCTCTGTGGGGGCCTACTTCAGCCATGATCAACCAAATGTTAAAGATCTCAACAAAATCAAATCTATACCTCTGCCACCTTCCTCACTGCTTGAAAAACTCCTTGATCAAGGCCTTTGAGCTGCCCTTGAACAACAAAAGGTCTCAGTTCAATGCCCACATACTCCAATAGACAGTAAAACTTACCTGCCATTATGGGTGATTACCTATTGGGCAGAGGTCCTTCACCTTTGAAGAGACTGCTGTCAGCACTGGATTGAGGCAGAGCACATTCTGGAGAGCTGGAGCTGCTCATGGAAAGTAGCCTATAGGTGGGACACTCATGACCTGATCAAACAAGTTTATAACTTGCTTGGAAGCTTACCCTGGTCTGGAAATGTCCTAGGCTTTGAAGATCAGGCAGCCATGCACCATCTCACCACATATATAACACATGATTGGCTATTTGATGTGCATGAGAATCAGATGTTGGATCTCCTCTGAACTGGCATCAAATGACATCTACCTGATGCCAATGTTGAAATTGAGAGTCTGTACTTTCATGCTTACTTGAAGTCAGCATATGAGGAGAGAGAGTCTGGGGCATACACACTTGGATAAAACTGTTTTGCTTAAGCTCATGGACTAGGCCATGCACTCGCCTCTGGGTCCAGAAGACAGTCGAGTATTGGTTTTGTCACCAACATAAATGGAAACCACTGGGTGACAACAGTCATTGACTTTGCAAGCTCACAGATCCTTTATGGTGACTCTCTGGAGTCACGTCCTGATAAAGCATTCATTGACGTCCTTCAGTGGTGGTCTAATCATCATACTGGACATCACTTTACATGTTGGGAGTCTAGAGATAGTCCACCAAGTGGACTCATTCTCATGTGGGCTTCTGTCTGTTAATGCACTCGCACACTTCTTCTTGCTGAGTGAATACCCACTAATGGACATGAAAAAGGTGGATGATGAGAGGCTAAAAATCTTACCCAAGGTTGGAAGACGACACCTTGACCAGGTCAGATCACTTTATGAGCCCTTGATTTCTGATTGTTGAGCTAAATGTATGTTATATAGAGCTTTGACATCAAAACTGGCTACAATTTTACCTTTTCAATGCCAAAGAATTTTGATATGGCATCACTACCTTCATTTGTGTCATCAGAAGAAGCTACCAGCGAAGAGGATGAAACTACCAAAGAGAAGAGCTCCCCTGACTCAGACTCCAATGACAATCTCCTTCAATAACCATTAACTTCGAGCATGCCAATCAAGTCCATGAAATGAACCTCTCATATGAGGGCTCCTTTGACTCTGCATCCAAGCCTGGACCAGAACAAGCCACAGAAGATCCATCAAGATTCTGCAATCCATATCGCACTCCATGAACAAGCAGAGGGATGACCACAAGGGTTGATGAGGTTTCTCACAAAATGCATGCCTGAGAAGCTTTGCCATCAGATGAAGAAAGTAGATTTGATGTTAGAGGAGGGGAGACAAGAAGCTGAGGCAATGGCTAGCTTTAAAACTCAGCATTGCAGGCTTGAAATGAGAAAGAACAACAACTTATGGCAACAAAAGCATTGACAAGCAATTTATGAGGCACAGAAGGCTTGCGGGGAGAGATCTCCTGGAGGGACAAAACTGAATTTGAAGGTATGATAACATAGCTCACATAGACTCACATAGGACTTACTTTACTGTGTCATAAGCATACAATGGTCCATCTTGAGGACAACAGCCCATGAAAACAGTCAAAGTCTTCTGTAGCAGAGCTTAGTCGGCCATATCGTGCTGCACAAGAACAGGAGCATCAACAACAAAAGAAAACCCACCTACAAGGACAAAAGAAGAAAAATGAACCAAAGGATGCTGTGTACCATAATTGGCACACACCCTTCTTGTGGTCACAGATTGTCAATGCTGCAAAACATCCTGGGGTAGGGTGGAAGATGAGCTTGACCAAGATTATTGCTCTACTTAAGAGACAAGACCCACAAAGCTTTGCAGGCCTCGCTCATTCCATCGTTGATGGCTGGATCAACCGAAGTGGTGATGAGCCAAAATGGTCAGAAAAAGCTTTGAAAATGGCTGAATATGGGCACGATCAAGGTCAGGGTAACAAAGGCAGCCAGAAAGGAATCTTTGTATGTCTCTTCCAATTATGATTAACATTGCTGTGTCTGATTATTCACAGACACAGTTTCCAACAGTCGAGAAGGCCATCATCACCTACCTCAATCAACTGCAAGATGCATCAGTTCCACTGACCCTTGTTACCATCAGGGGAATTGTTGTTGCCCTAATCATGCAGCTTGCACCAGAGATCTTCGAAATCAAGGCAGCTAATGGCTCTGAATTCAGATGTTCAGATTCATTCATCTAACAGTGGCTACGTACAACACTCAACTGGTCAGAGCAGAAGTCCACATGCACAGCTCATAAGTTGCCAGATCATTGGGAAGACCTGTGCAAAAAGTGTTGTTTCGTATTGCATATGCAATCAAAGAGGAAGACATACTGGCCTCACTTTATGTGAACACAGACCAAACTCAAGTCATCTAGCACAGGGATCTAGCTTAACAGTGGATGAAATGTGGCACTATGCAGGTGTCAACCATTGGCGATGAACAAAAATGCCTTCACAGCTGTTGTGTCTATTGCATGCTCAGGGAAGATGCTGCCACTATAGATGGTCTATGAGGGTGCTACTACAAAATCTTGTCCATGCCTGACAGCATCACACTATGGTGATTGCATTAGCAATGGGTTCCATTTCAAATTCTCAAAGACGGACACTTACTGGTCAACTCACGAAACCATGGAGTCACTCATGAACAATATTATCAGCACCCCACTTTGAGCAAGAGAAGGTTGCCCTTGGCCTGCCTCCCTCACAAAAAGCAATCTGGCAGATAGACCTGTGGTCAGTGCACCACTCAGCAAAGTTTCAGAATTGGATGAAAATACACCATCTAACAATAATTCTGGACTACGTACCAGGTGGATGCACAGGTATCATGCAGCCTTGTAATGTTGGTGTCTAGCGCATTTTCAAGCACTCATTGAAGTGGTCCTACTATGAAGATATTGTCAGATCCATATCACAACAGATGACAACATGTACCAAAAATATCTTGTTCAACAAGTGAAAGGCTGTCTTGCATGATCTCAGTGTAAAATGGATTTGGGATGGTTACAATGCTGTGAACATGCCTGAAACCATCAAAAAGGTGTGTGGTTTTCATACAAAAAATATCTTATGGACACTAACCTGAGGATTCTAGGCTTTTGAAATGTGCTGTGTTCATAAGTTTAACCTGTCATATGCGAGCCTAATGAGTTTTGCTGCCCACAAAAAACTTCATCAGCTCAAACATACAGATCCAGAGTTTTAGGCAGAACTCACAGAGAGTTGTGAGCGCACACTTGCAGCTGAACAAGCAGCATTACCTGAAGATGATACAGCAATGCAGACAGCCAATCAGTGCATCAATGATGACAGCAGCCTGTCATGTGGTGCTCTTGTAGTGGAGCTGATGGGTTCTGGAGTTGAAACCATCCATGGAATTGTGAGCACAGAGGCTGGCAGTCTAACTGCATGTGGAGAGGTTGAAGCAATGGAATTCAAGGGTGGTGAAGAGGTTGGGCTGGCAGTCAAAGAAGAACTTGGGCGTGGAAAGAGGAGGCAAAAGGCAAACATGTTGTACTCATGCTCATTTTGGCAGTATCATGACAGTGAGACAGAGCAGTAGAATTTTTGGCCATCTGTGACACTTCACAGGAATTCATCAATCCTTGATGTGACCATGCGACAAGCATCAAATTTTGACCTAGCAGAATAGCTTGTGACATGACAGATAAATCAAGTTAAATACTACAGTATAGACCAATTGGTGGAAACTTGTTGATACAATTACAAGACATGATATATCTACATCAGAATATTGGTTCTTTTGCAATACTTGTTCATTTAATACCAATATGTCATACTCATTATCAACCTTTATCTTTGTATATAACTTTATATAATTCAATGAATTTTTGATTTGATTTTACCAATGAAATCTAGGAAAAACAAGTTTGTGCCAATTTTCAGATGGCCAAGACACATCAAGGTGATATGTCTGATATAGTCATATCTTAATTCATATATGTGTGGTACCATGGTAATGATATCTAAGGCTACAACATGACATGTAATAATGATTATTGATTACCAATTATATCTAGTCATATCAACTTTGGGTTGATTTCCTGATGTACTTGCAAGTCATCTACTACTAGACTACACTCTTGTTTCGTCGCATTATCAGGCATCATACATAGTGATGCATTGGGCCTGGCTTTAGAGGGCTTGGGCCTGGAAAAAACCCAGGCTGGGCCCTTTAGGAGGGCCTGGGGCCAGGGCTTGCTGCCCCTACCCAATCCCAACAGCCACCAGTGCTTAGCACACATGCCCAGCACATGTCAGCAAGGCTGCACCCATGCAGGCATTACCCACAGGTACCATATACAAATAAGAAATTTATTAGATACAAAAACAATGAAAGAAAACAAATCTACATTACAAATTGCAAGTGCAAATGAGCATGCAGAGCAAGCACAATGAACAAGCACAAATGAGTGCAAACAAAAACAAGTGTGTGCAAATGAGCACAAGAAACAAACCAGAATGAACTGACACAACAAACAAACAAACAAACAACAAACAAACAACAAACAAACAACAACAAACAAATAATAAACAAATGATGCAAATGAATGCATGAACCACATGAACAAACAAATATAGATCATCAAATATGCACCTATACACCAGCAGACAAGCACCAGAAAACCACAAAAAACTGGTGCTGGGGATGAATGCTCAGAAGTTGTTCAAGTATGGCTGACAGACAAGTAGATACTAGTAAATGAAGTCAGTAGTACTTTGTACAAAGAATACCAACATAATTACCAATTTATGATAGCATCTACCTTCTAAACTACTGGGCATGATCATGCGATAAAGGAAAATGACAAGGATTGAGAATGAGCTTGGTGGTGAACAGAATGAGTGGTAGGAGAAGATGCCAGTAGATCAGTTGCACAAGGAATTACTCACCAGTGACATGTAAACTGTATGGAACATGCTGCCTGGTATTTCCAAACTGGGAAGCCCAGGCCTGAGCCCTAGGCTTGGACCTGTCCAACTCACTAGGCCAGGCCCAAAGCCCTATGAGGCCCTCACCTTGGGCCTGGCTTGGCCTGGCCTATGAGGGCTTGGCTCAAAGGGCCTGAGGGACTCAGGCCTGGCCCAATACATCACTAGTTATACACTACCTATTCATCAGACATGCCAAGGATGTGTAATGACCCCAATTTCAACACTTGCCCAGACTATGCATTGGATGTCTTTGCTAATACTCAAGCTCAACTTATTAATAAGAACATCAATGAAGAACAGGTGATACAGTTACTTAGGAATTTTTGGGAAGCAAATAACAATGCAGACAAGGTCGCATGGCAATGTCAGATAGCAAATGATAGGAAGAGCATGCACATTGCTGAGCAACTAGAAGAGGATGAATGCGAGAGACTTGAACATGTTCAGGCTGAAGAGGAAGAAGCAATGTGCAAGGAAGATGGAAAGAAGAACAAACACAAATTCACACCCATCCTAGCTACTGGAATCCCAGATGAACAGGCCATCATGCCATGCTTGTATGCCCTTAGAAAAATGGATAAAGGAGAGTACGTCGAGCTATGGTATTTCACTAACAAGGGTCTGGATGAAGCCAATCATAAGAAGATGGTTGATGATGATGCTATGATCATGTCAACATTAGTGGATGGCTCATCCACATGGGTATCAGCAGCATCTACTTGCAATGCTTGCACTGTCATTAGTGATGATGACTTACTGTTTGAAGAATTTTGTCAAGCCTGTCCACACATGTTGACAATAATGGAAGAGACAGACTGGCCAGAAGATAGAATCAGAATGATGGCAAAGTTCTGGAGGAACATTCAAGTCCACAAGTTCTGATCTATACTGAGTCTGATAGGACAGAAGGTGCTGCTGACTTACCAAGCAGAGCAGCACAAACACTGGCACATCGCATTGAAGATGTCGACAGGTCCTTATGATCTATCCCTCATCAACAAGGCAGTCCTGCATGAGACTAGGGAGAGAGTGTACTGGGAACAGCGTAACAAGAACAACAATGCCAGAAATTACAAGGTCAGTTCTCCTTGCTCAAAGAAATACGAGCCCGCATTCATCACTCTCCTTTATTCCTCTTTGAATCATTTTCTCTTTAACGTGTTTCGACTTGTTTGCCACATGCCACATGCCATGCTGTTGAAACACAGTCCAATCAAAGAGACAATTTGTCTTATAGGCAATGTGATGCCAAAGATGCGTGTAAATGCTCAGCCTCCCCTGAACATGCCAACAGGGAAAAGAAAGTGAAGCAGGATTTTCAGGCAGGCACAAGCAGAAACATCCTTGTGGCTTGTGTGGTCTGCCTCAGATGGAACCCACACAGGATTATTGAGTGCAAAACCACTTGAACATGGGATGATGCTGGCAATACCCTCTGCTCAAGAATTGGCAGAATTCTTACAATGCAAGACAGGAAACCTGTTTGCAGTGACTGGCAGCGAGTCAATGGCTATGCCAACATCATGCATGACTGGAGACACTTCTGCTCAGGATGTGGAGTATCCTCTCATAGAGCTCAGACATGTCCTTGAGCACAGAAGGCTCAAGGCACTCATGCCCTATGATCTGGAGACTTGGGAGGCTGGACTCATTTCAGCTGGTCTCTTTGACAGATACTCTCATGTACCAGAAGGGCTCTGGCAAGGTTTCCTTCTTGATATCCCTAATATTAATTGCATGCAAGTGCCACCGAACAAAGAATCCATTAGTACATACCAACAAGAATTTCACTTGATTGTACAGACTGAACTTAAGAAGGGAAGATATATTGGTCCACTCAAAGCAAATGAAGTTGAAGACCTCATCAGTCCCTTTCAATCCTCCCCATTCTCAATTATACCCAAACCAGGTCGGCCTGGACATTATCAGTGTCATTCAGAATTATTCCTTTCCTCATCTTACATCTACCAGATTCCCTAATGCTTCAATCAATTTGCACATTGACCCAGACAATTTTCCTAGCACATGGGGCACTTTTCATGTGCTTGCTCTTACAATTAGTCACTTACCACCTGGGTCACAATTTGCCATTAGGGACGTTTCAGAAGTGTACAGTATGGTACCAATCCACAAGTCCCAGTGGCCAGGATCTGTTGTTAGGATATTGGAAGACCATTTCTGCATTGACATGCATGTGTTTCAGGTTGTGACCATCAGCAGGAGATTACAGAAAACTCGCAGATGCAGGACTGGATCTATTTCAGTCCAGAGGCATTGGTCCAGCTTCAAGATGGGTCAATGACCATTTATTCATATGAATCCTCAAAGAACACATCACATCCTACAATGAAAAGAGGCGCCAATGGCACCAAGAAATCACCAGGAAAAGTCAGCACCAGGACAAAGGGAGGATATGGTTTGGAGGACACATGTTCAATGATGGAACATTGGAAGAATTTAATGAGGATTGCCACTTTCCCATCAGAGACTTATTGGGAGTGTTGCCAAGATCAGAAGAGGATGCACTTTTCTTGTACAACCTGGCAGACATTGATGAAGTGTCCAACAATCTCAACATTCCTTGGGAAATTCTCAAGGATAAGCTATTCACATGCATCAATCCTTACATTGGTCTCATGTAGGATCTTGCACAGAATGAAGTCTTCCTGGCAGATGAGAAAAAGAATAAGTATCTCCAGGCCATCAGAATCTGGCATGAATGCATCATGCATGTTCTCATTGACATCCAACAGCTCTATGGAAAACTACTTCATGCCACCCTCATTGTCCCAAAAGGGTGTGCATATCTCACATCTTTGGAGGCAATGTTATGCCTTGCAGCAGATAAGCTCTTTCTCCCATGGAGATCAGTTAAGAGCCTCACAGCAGACCTTAACTGGTGGAAATCCCTGCTTGAAAAGTCCTTTGTTGGTCAAACGATTCCCAGCCTGCACACATTATACGATCCAGCAGCTTTTCAGATGCAAGTTCCAGTGTTGGAATTGCAATTATCATTGGGGACAGATGGAGAGCATGGAGACTGCATAAAGGATGGCAGATGCTCAATGGGCAAAAGACATTGGCTGGGCTGAAGCAGTTGGTTTTAAACTCCTCATGCAACATCTTATTTGGATGGGAGGATTAGAACAACACTTCAGAGTCTATGGGACAACAAAGGAGTTATTGAAGGATGGAGGAATGGCCAGTAGTAGGAACTGGGCAGTCAACTCAGTTTTCAGATAAGTCTTCTCTCTTATTGATGATTCCTCAGAGTCTTACTATTTCCACCTGACATATGTTGCAAGCAAATGCAACCCAATGGACGACCCATCCAGGGGGGTCTACAGTAGCACAGATCTCCTCCTATCAACCTTACCCATCCCAAGTGCCCCTCCAACCATTTATCCTTGATCCATTCATCATCTCCACAAACCCAGCAGATTATGACATGAGTGGGACTCACTCAACCATCATCAAGAGAACTCCTATCAGCCATTCAGATAACTGTTCTAGCCCAGAAAATGACATCACTGCAGATGCACTCTATCCCATCCATGAACTCCAACAACACGACTGTCAATAGCAATCAATTCAAAGCTACTCTCCCACCAGATCAAACAGCCATACCCCAACCATATAAACAGGGTCTAGTACCTCTGTTGTCCAAATTGTGACTGCATTGTCTGGCCAGAGATCGATTGAAACAATGGTTTCTGCTGGAATCAAGGTTAGCGAATATGCAAGATGGAAACTTGTTAGCAATTTCAGATGAAGAGCTGCAAAGAGTACTAACAGTGATGAACATGTCATGGGCACTGAGCACAAGAGAGTGCTATGGAGCTGGTCTCCTAGTCTTTCATGTTTTTTCCAACAAAAGGAACATACTGGAAGAACAGTGCTGTCCAGTCGATACACAGACAATGCTGAATTTCATATCAAGCTGTGCAGGTTCATATTCTGGAAAAACATTAGCAAATTACATCTATGCAATCAAGGCATGGCATACCTTGCATGGTCAACCATGGAAGGTACAACAAGATGAGTTGAAAGTGGCACTAGATGGAGCATCACAGTGCACACCTGAAGGGTCCAGACAGGAAAAATGCAAACCCTTTTCAACAGATCTCATTTTAAAGATTTGGTCATACCTTGATCTATCAAAACCACTTGATGCAGCAGTCTATGCATGCTTAACGACTGTGTTCTATGCTCTATGCTGGTTAGGAGAACTCACCATCAAAGCTCTGAAAGCCTTTGATCCTATCAAGCACGTCAAGTGGTCTGACATGCAGATGGATGTCAAAGATTGGCACAATCTTCTGGTCACTAAGATCTTCCTTCCTTGCACCAAAATGTTGAACATGTGGTCAAGGCATATACTGGGCACATCAAGGCAATCTCACAGACCCAAAAACAGCCCTGCTCAATCACTTTGAAATCAACAATCCAGAACTGAATGCACACCTTTTTGCCTGGAGACATGTAAAAGGGATGAGGCCCTTAACTCGGATGGAATTTTGGAAGAGAGTAAGTGGAATAGTGAAGAGAGTAGGATTAGGCAACCTGAAAGGACACAGGTTGCACATTGGAGGAATGTTAGAATATCTGCTGCACAGAATTCCCTTTGATGTTGTCAAAACCATGGGGAGATGGTCAAGCAAAGCATTCACAAGCTACCTGCACAAGCATGCATTGATACTAGCACTGTATTTGCAAGACTCTCCTGCTCTGGAACCTTTCACTAGGTACACCATGCCCCCAGTGTATTGACAAGGTATGTCATGGCATCACCCCTCTCCTTGGAAGCAGGAGTCCATGCTGTGCCTGATGCATCACTGGGCTCCTTCATTTTGGGAATCATGGCTCATTCTGGACTCTCCACAGGTTCGAAATGATGTTTCGGGTTGCAAACCCTTCAGGTTTGAGCCCAAATAGCTACAAAGCTTCATTGATACTATTTGTATAAATCAGAGATATTCAACAGACAATAGATCTGATTTCTTGAATTGGTACCTCAAAAACAGTTAGCAACGCATAGACAGGGCTAATTAGCAGAGGCTATCATGGAGGTCAAATTAACCTATGTAAATTAGCATAAATTTGCAAGTCTGCTGATTAGCACTAATTTACTTGTAAATTTGACAAATTTAACTGTTAATTAGGTAATGGTTCTATGGCCATACATCCCAGGTTTTTGCATCAGGAATGCCTCTAATGATTATGACACAACAATGGATAATGTTGTTAACACCTTGGCATGGAGATTCACATTTCAGGGTGTTTCATCCAGGAAGCCCAGAGATAGGGAGAGGCACAACTCAATATCTGCATTTGCCCCTCCAAGCAAGAAGTATGAGTTGTCAACCTTTTCAAGCTCACTTGGCAGTCCTTGCTCATCATTCAGCCACTCAACACCAGCATTTGGAAATTTGGGATCACCAGCATCGTTGGGTGGATTGGAGTTGAAGGGTCTCAGTTGAGGTGGATGTGCCTTGTGGAAAATGGTTTCATTCATGTCTCACCATCGAACAAGCAATTTTTTTGGTGGGATTTGCATTCTGCATAGTACTGAGTGTGATTCACTGATTTGAGGTTGAGGTGCTAGCCAGAAACACATACCTCAGGTTTATAATAATGCCACTGTTAAATTTTGATATGATCTTGAAGTGTCCTAAGATTTTGATTAGCACAACATGAGAGTTCAATCATGCAATGGTGGACATGGTGTATTCATGTGCAAGTGCTGTCTCTAAGTCAACCATTGGTGACCCTTGGCCAGTGTTTGACATTGGCTAATGGCTTGCCTCAAAAATCAAGCAATATTGCAACATTCTTATTCCAGCAGATGAACACTTCAAGCAGATTAGCCAACATAGCATATCAAGCAGATTACCTATAACAGGGCATTTTGGGCCTCTCAGATTAACACAGTAAATTAGCGCTAATTAGCACACACCAAATTTACAGGACACTATGAATCTGCAACTTTAAGAAAGATGGTTTGACTTTGCATTGAACTTGGAGCAGGGCCAGTAGCCTAAGGTGGCCCAGAGCAAGGCAGACAAGCTGTGATGATACTGTAGTATTTCACTTGATTTGTCTGTCATGTGTCACAAGCTATTCTGCTGGTCAAAATTTGACACTTGTCATGGGTCACATCAAGGATTGATGAATTCCTGTGAAGTGTCACAGATGGCCAAAAATTCTACTGCTCTGTCTTGCTGTTGTGATGCTGCCAAAATGAGCATGAGTACAACATGTTTGCCTTTTGCCTCCTCTTTCCATGCCCAAGTTCTTCTTCGACTGCCAGCCCAACCTCTTTGCCACCCTCAAATTCCACTGCTTCAACCTCTCCACATACAGTTAGACTGCCATCCTTTGTGCTCACAATTCCATGGATGGTTTCAACTCTGGAACCCATCAGCTCCGCTACAAGAGCACCACATGACAGGCTGCTGTCATCATTGATGCACTGATTGGCTGTCTGCATTGCTGTATCATCTTCAGGTAATGCTGCTTGTTCAGCTGCAAGTGTGCGCTCACAACTCTCTGTGAGTTCTGCCTAAAACTCTGGATCTGTATGTTTGAGCTGATGAAGTTTTTTGTGGGCAGCAAAACTCATTAGGCTCGCATATGACAGGTTAAACTCATGAACACAGCACATTTCAAAAGCCTAGAATCCTCAGGTTAGTGTCCATAAGATATTTTTTGTATGAAAACCACACACCTTTTTGATGGTTTCGGGCATGTTCACAGCATTGTAACCATCCCAAATCCATTTTACACTGAGATCATGCAAGACAGCCTTTCACTTGTCGAACAAGATATTTTTGGTATCATTGTTGATCTGTTGTGATATGGATCTGACAATATCTTCATGGTAGGACCACTTCAATGAGTGCTTGAAAATGCACTAGACACCAACATTGCAAGGCTGCATGATACCTGTGCATCCACTGGGTATGTAGTCCAGAATTATTGTTAGATGGTGTATTTTCATCCAATTCTGAAACTTTGCTGAGTGGTGCACTGACCACAGGTCTATCTGCCAGATTGCTTTTTGTGAGGGAGGCAGGCCAAGGGCAACCTTCTCTTGCTCAAAGTGGGGTGTGATAATATTGTTCATGAGTGACTCCATGGTTTCATGAGTTGACCAGTAAGTGTCCGTCTTTGAGAATTTGAAATGGAACCCATTGCTAATGCAATCACCATAGTGTGATGCTGTCAGGCGTGGACAAGATTTTGTAGTAGCACCCTCATAGACCATCTATAGTGGCAGCATCTTCCCTGAGCATGCAATAGACACAACGGCTGTGAAGGCACATTTTTTGTTCTCGCCAATGGTTGACACCTGCATAGTGCCACATTTCATCCATGTTAAGCTAGATCCCTGTGCATAGATGACTTGAGTTTGGTCTGTGTTCACATAAAGTGAGGCCAGTATGTCTTCCTCTTTGATTGCATATGCAATACGAAACAACACTTTTTTGCACAGGTCTTCCCAATGATCTGGCAACTTATGAGCTGTGCATGTGGACTTCTGCTCTGACCAGTTGAGTGTTGTACGTAGCCACTGTTAGATGAATGAATCTGAACATCTGAATTCAGAGCCATTAGCTGCCTTGATTTCGAAGATCTCTGGTGCAAGCTGCATGATCAGGGCAAAAACAATTCCCCTGATGGTAGCAAGGGTCAGTGGAACTGATGCATCTTGCAGTTGATTGAGGTAGGTGATGATGGCCTTCTCGACTGTTGGAAACTGTGTCTGTGAATAATCAGACACAGCAATGTTAATCATAATTGGAAGAGACATACAAAGATTCCTTTCCAGCTGCCTTTGTTACCCTGACCTTGATCATGCCCATATTCAGCCATTTTCAAAGCTTTTTCTGACCATTTTGGCTCATCACCACTTCAGTTGATCCAGCCATCAACGATGGAATGAGCGAGGCCTGCAAAGCTTTGTGGGTCTTGTCTCTTAAGTAGAGCAATAATCTTGATCAAGCTCATCTTCCACCCTACCCCAGGATGTTTCGCAGCATTGACTGTTTTTGTGGGCTGTTGTCCTCAAGATGGACCATTGTATGCTTATGACACAGTAAAGTAAGTCCTATGTGAGTCTATGTGAGCTATGTTATCATACCTTCAAATTCAGTTTTGTCCCTCCAGGAGATCTCTCCCCACGAGCCTTTTGTGCCTCATAAATTGCTTGTCAATGCTTTTGTTGCCATAAGTTGTTGTTCTTTCTCATTTCAAGCCTGTGGTGCTGAGTTTTAAAGCTAGCCATTGCCTCAGCTTCTTGTCTCCCCTTCTCTAACATCAAATCTACTTTCTTCATCTGATGGCAAAGCTCCTCAGGCATGCATTTTGTGAGAAACCTCATCAACCCTCATGGTCATCCCTCTGCTTGTTCATGGAGTGCGAAATGGATTGCAGAATCTTGATGGATCTTCTGTGGCTTGTTCTGGTCCAGGCTTGGATGCAGAGTCAAAGGAGCCCTCATATGAGAGGTTCATTTCATGGACTTGATTGGCATGCTCGAAGTTAATGGTTATTGAAGGAGATTGTCATTAGAGTCTGAGTTAGGGGAGCTCTTCTCTTTGGTAGTTTCATCCTCTTCGCTGGTAGCTTCTTCTGATGACACAAATGAAGGTAGTGATGCCATATCAAAATTCTTTGGCATTGAAAAGGTAAAATTGTAGCCAGTTTTGATGTCAAAGCTCTATATAACATACATTTAGCTCAACAATCAGAAATCAAGGGCTCATAAAGTGATCTGACCTGGTCAAGGTGTCGTCTTCCAACCTTGAGTAAGATTTTTAGCCTCTCATCATTCACCTTTTTCATGTCCATTAGTGGGTATTCACTTAGCAAGAAGAAGTGTGCAAGTGCATTAACAGACAGAAGCCCACATGAGAATGAGTCCACTTGGTGGACTATCTCTAGACTCCAAATGTAAAGTGATGTCCAGTATGATGATTAGACCACCACTGAAGGACGTCAATGAATGCTTTATCAGGACGTGACTCCAGAGAGTCACCATAAAGGATCTGTGAGCTTGCAAAGTCAATGACTGTTGCCACCCAGTGGTTTCCATTTATGTTGGTGACAAAACCAATACTCGACTGTCTTCTGGACCCAGAGGCGAGTGCATGGCCTAGTCCATGAGCTTGAGCAAAACAGTTTTGTCCAAGTGTGTATGCCCCAGACTCTCTCTCCTCATATGCTGACTTCAAGTAAGCATGAAAGTACAGACTCTCAATTTCAACATTGGCATCAGGTAGATGTCATTTGATGCCAGTTCGGAGGAGATCCAACATCTGATTCTCATGCACATCAAATAGCCAATCATGTGTTATATATGTGGTGAGATGGTGCATGGCTGCCTGATCTTCAAAGCCTAGGACATTTCCGGACCAGGGTAAGCTTCCAAGCAAGTTATAAACTTGTTTGATCAGGTCATGAGTGTCCCGCCTATAGGCTACTTTCCATGAGCAGCTCTAGGCTCTCCAGAATGTGCTCTGCCTCAATCCAGTGCCGACAGCAGTCTCTTCAAAGGTGAAGGACCTCTGCCCAATAGGTAATCACCCACAATGGCAGGTGAGTTTTACTGTCTATTGGAGTATGTGGGCATTGAACTGAGACCTTTTGTTGTTCAAGGGCAGCTCAAAGGCCTTGATCAAGGAGTTTCTCAAGCAGTGAGGAAGGTGGCAGAGGTATAGATTTGATTTTGTTGAGATCTTTAACATTTGGTTGATCATGGCTGAAGTAGGCCCCCACAGAGATATTGCAGTCAATTTTTGAAATCACTGGAAGTGGGAATTTCAAGAAGGCAATGATGGATAGGGATGGATCTGGAAGGAGCTCATTGATAGCAGTTGAGGGAAGCTGTAGTTGGTGAGGGATTTTGGTGGGGAGCATGTTGTACCTGAGTGCTACAAAATGTTCAACTTGAAGTTGATCAGACTCGGGCAGTTGCAAAATTGTTTCTCATTCGCAACTCAGATATTGCTCAGGCATCTCTACTTTACTTACTACATGGGTGGCAATAGAAGATGTGCTTAGAGCTGCTGAGTTCATGATCTGGCAGTCAAAATTAACATGGTCGAAATTAACTTTTGCTGAAATTCTCTGCACTGTCATGTGTCACACCCTCAAATGCCGAGGCAACGAAGTGGTGTAGTATGTCACATGTCACAGGTGGTGCTGAATCGAGTGAAATACTACAGTACTACCACTGCTTGCATGATATTGCACTACAGGAGTCATGTCACATGATGCTTATGTAAGTTGTGGTTCACATTTTTGAGACTTGTCTTCTCTCATCTCATGCACACTCTAACTGTGCACCTTTTCTAGCCCTTCAAGCTAACATCCTCCTCTCCCTACTATTCATGGCTCCTTCCTGGTATTTCATGGCTCTTCCTGGCCCTCCTTCAAGTTGTTGGCCCTCTTTCCTGGTCCTCTTCCTTCCTGGCCCTTCATGGTTCCTTCCTGGTCCTTCCTGGTCCTGTATGGCTCCTCCCTGGCCCTCTTCCTCCCTGGTTCTCCCTCCTGGCCCTTCCTGGCTCCTCCTGGCCCTTACCTGGACCCTCTCTGGCCCTTCCTGGTTCCTTCCTGGCCCTCCTTCCTGGCCCTTCCTGGCTCCTCCCTGGCCCTCCTCTCTGGTCCTCCCTAGCCTTTCCTGATGGTTCTTTTTCTCTCTCTTGAGGCAGGTACCTGACATCTCTCTATCTCTCTACCTTATGTTCTACTATGTCTCTCTTCTCTCCTGTATTAATACCACATATGTACACCCCAACCCCAATTAAAATTTGATTTGATATATAAAATGATAAAATGAGTGTCAATGTTAAGACTTTTGGCAATTTCATGGCAGTTTTGTTTAAAGCAGCCTGGCATTATAAACCTTTGTCAAGGATGGCAGATGTTTGCAATGTGTATCATAATTGTATCTTTGGTGGTTTTCCCCAGCATAGTCTGACTATCTAAAGCTTTGTCAGGCTGACTGCAATTATGATAAAGATTATATGAATTTTATGTTAGATAAAGCTTTATAATGCTATGTTATTTTCAGGTCAATTTCCTGATGTAGTACTATGTGGGTGAGAAACTCGAAAAGCTGTGCCGCCGCATAGACCTCATTCTATGTCCGTCCTCGTGCCTCGGACTTACTTAGAATATAATTAATCTGGCCTCAGACCAGATTTACAGGACACTATTGCAGAAGCGTAGGGCCCTCCGAGGTGGCTGCGTGTTTCAAGGACTGATGGTGTCTGAAACATTAAGTGGATCACGGATCAGTACAATCAGCACATGTGAGTTTCCGAATCAACTTTGATGATAAATCTAAATCTAATGATGCGTATCATTGGGTACATGTTAACATCTGAATAGAGGTCCTACTGCTATGTTACCAATGAAAATACAGGTCATTCCTGGCACCAACTGTAGCGTTTATAAAGTTTCGCCCAGCCTAGCGCAGGCTATGACTACGTCAACTATAAATCAGCTAGTGTAACAATCCATTACGATACCCTCAGCGGCATGGCATCTCCAGTATCCGGGCTTGACGGGTTCCCAACTCATTTAAGAAGGCGAACGGATGAGTGCGTGAAACCTATTTGTTTCCTCTCGAACGAGTCCAGATGGAGTATTCAGCAGGCGATGTCATAGCGGCCAGAAGTCTGCAGATATTCGTGGTGCGTTACTTTCTTGACACGACAGCAAGACAATAACAGATATATCACATGTGACAACTAGTACTTGTACAGTGCGTATTGTCTGAACTGCATCTTCCTCGTACTAACTCGATAGCTCAGCGTCGATGGCGACATTCTGAATCGGTTTATCCCGACCTATTTCTGTCCGCCACTAAACTTGTTTATCCAGATCTATGACTATATTTGTTCGCTTCACGAAGAGGTAAGTAGTGTACTTGTTCCGCGGTATGCCTAGGCTCTGATATTAATAATGTGCTGTTCAAGTGGACATTCCTACTTTGGTCGCGATGGACCAAAGTGAAAGTCCTTTATATCATTGCACGATATGTCCCCTTTTTAATCACCACCGTGCACCTGTATCGTGCGTTCATCCCAGTATATATTCCCTAAACTTAATGAATTGGCATACTGTGCTTCAGTGGCGGTGGCCCCGGACGAGAATACCAATGTATGTGAACATGAGCATCTATCCACCGACGAATGACGCTAACTGCATGACATTGCCAGAAATGCCAGATATTGGTCTATATTATCACATGTATGTACACGGTACATATTACATGCAGGTTCTCACCGAGTGCTGCTATTTCCTCTTACAGCCTTGGGTCTGATTTCGCTCACTTGCTCTGAATGTATCTCTTGTTCCTCCGAGACATAGACGTGCTTTTGATCTGATTCATCCAGGCCTTTTTGTCCTCAGAACGTATGCGCTCTGGAACAAAAGTAAAATTCTACTCGTAGCCATGCTGTCCAGTCTTTTTGTGAGCCCCACGCCCTCATCATGCTCAAGTTCAATGTTGATAAATCAGTCAGGCTGTCACCGTATCATCCTTCATCATTAGTTTTACTTCTATTATCATCTCTTATTGTTTGTGCTCTCACCTTCACTCACTATTATTTGCATGTATTCACTCCGCTTTAACAGCTACGGGTAGCGCGATTCCAGGCTGTCACCAGAGCTTCGGCAGTTTCTCATTCTTCATGCCTTTTACTCTCATGTTTGTGTTCCAACTGGGTATGCAGCCTGAAACTTGGAATATACATTGCAGACACGCGCTGACTGACACTATCCCCAGTACTGGTGTCCCTCACACTCGTGCGTGTCATACGAAGTTGGCGGTCGGCCCGGCGCCCTCTGTACGCCATCCTATTGAAGCACAACATATTCTACTATGCATGTGGTCTGTGTGAGTTAGAACATACATATATTTCCGTGCTTATCGATGATGATTAACTTTTCGAAAGTTCTCTCGGCCGTGAACGTCCTTGTGCCGCTGCTGCCGTTTTTTGATGTGAGTAAACAATGCCCTTCGACGTAATCAAACCATTGATGTTGCACACATGCAGTCTGTATCCTACTTCCTCCCCGAAGGGTATGCACCTCCGACTTCTATTGGGAATTCCTACTAAACAACCCCAAACTCACGTACAGTTTTGAGACCTTTATCCTTGCGATCCTCGCCACGCGCATGCACCTCCATCTCTGGCATATGAATCAGCACGTGGATGGCTCTGACACCATTGTGTGGATATCAATGTCGGACATGTCACCTGCAGATCGTACGGTGTAATGTCTTATCATGTGACTCATTTGGCGTCGTTTGTGGAGTAGGACTTGGACTACGACTTCAAGCGCACTTCTTCTCTGTTTGATGATTTCAATCACGAGTAATACACGGTCCATGATGTGCACCATCCAAACTTGGTATTGTGGAGAAGTAAACAGATGGTTAGACGATCAATTTGCTTACGCTCGGCGGTAATATCTTCGGCGAACTCCGACTATCCAATTGAGTCTTCGTTCTTGTAGCGATCCTGTATGGAACGGTCCACCTGTATTATGCCGCGAAGTCAATGGTTTATACACCGGTGCGGTGCGCACGGAAGTTTGATCCAACTTGTCCGAGCTCGGAGCCATCATACTGACTGAAACGTGCATGCCACCCAGCATATGCTTCGCTGGACCCCTCAAACACGTCCAGGTCAAATACGCCTGGTATCCACCAGAACGAAGGCACATTAGAGCAGCAGTCACTTGATTTAATAGGTGGGGGTTCTCCATGACAATATTTTGATAGCCCGTATTTATGACAATGCCCAGCTGCCCGTAACGTTCTCGCACTGAAAACCGGTGTTGCTCTCCCATCAATAAGCACCTTCACTGCATACAGAAGACTGACGATCATCACTGTCCACACATATTGTCATGAGAATCCAGAATACGCGCAGTATCACCGAAAATGATGTCCGCGGACTCCGGAGGCTCCAGTCCGTTCTATCAAGAGATGCTTCTGACAGAAGAATGGGAAGCAGTGGAGCTTGGCGGCTTATCAGAATAGATCGATTGTGCGTATCTTTTTCCGCAATCATGTACACGTTTTCATCCACGGTCGTCTTTTATTCTCCGAGCGCCTCAACGGTTTCTAATAGCCTTCTCCGGATTAAAGTAATGCTTTCTCTTAATCTTTCGAACTAAGACTGGGTTATTCCTTGCTCTTTTCTGGTATGAGCCTATGCAATTTGCTAGAGGGGTTTAAAGTGAGCTAGTTCTCTCCAAGTTGGGGTGGCACGAATCAACATAGTAAGTGACACTGAGTCTGTGCTGATCCGACCTAACCATTTATAGTAGGTATATGTATTGCGTTTGCGCCTCGTGAACACCGTGTTATGATTATGCCTACGTTGATCGGCCAGCTCCGAGTCATTCATAAAAGATAACAAAGTGCATGCTGTGGGCGCAACACGCATCCTTCTAAGTTACCTCTCGAACGAATGTAGATGGAGTATTCAGCTAGCGATATCGCGGCGGCCAGGATTCTGCAATACTTGGCGGTTTGTCGCTTCCTTGATATGATGGCAAGATCATAACTGATGTACCATGGGCGGCCACTAGTACATATGCAGTGCGTGCTGTCTTCGAACAGAATACCTTCTTCTTGACTCTAACGCAATCATTCAGCGGCGTTGATTACATTTTGGGTACGCTTGTCCCGATCTAGTCCTGTCCACCGTCAAACCCTTAAATCCAGACCTACGATTATCTTTGTTCACTTCACGATGAGGTAAGTAATGTGCTTGTTCCGCGGTACGCATCGCTTTAGATATTGAACTATGCTATTCAAAGTGGACATTCCTGCTTCGGTCGCGTTGGACCAAGGTGAAATGCCTCTATATCACTGCACGATACATACCCTTTTTCCTCATCACCTCGGACATATTTCGTGCGTTTATTCCCAGCATACGTACCACCCGACACTGAATTGACATGCTGTGCTTCAGTGACCTTGACCCCAGTTGAGAACTCCAAGGTATGTAATAGTCCAGCAGACTTCCACTAATGACGACACTTACTGCATGACCTGGCCAGGCATGCAAAATGCTCATCAGTATTTACTCATGTACGTGCATGGCGCAAGCGATATGCACGTTCTTACCGAACATTGTTCTTTCCACTCACAGGTTTTGCGGTGATATCACTCACTTGCTCTGAATGTATCTCTCCTTCCTCGCGACACAGACGTGCTCCTGATCCAATTCATCCAGGCTTTTTTGTGCTCAGAACATATGCGCTATGGAGCAACAATAGAATCATACTCGTAGCCATGCTGTCGACCCTTTTTGTGAGCCTCGTGCTCTCACTGCATCCAAGCTCTTGGTCGCTGACTCAGTCAGGCTGTCATCGTATCGTTCATCGGCATTTGGTTTAGTGCTGTTGCCAAGTCTCAATATTGTATGTGCTCTCACCTTCCCCAGCTAGCATTCGCATATATTCACTCCACTCTCACAGTTTCGACTGGCGCGATCCCAGGCATCACAGGCTGCTACCGGACCTCGAACAGTGTCCAACTGTACCTGCCATTTATTGTCTTGTTTGTGTTTCAATTGGGTACATGTTGCCAAGAACTGGCATTTGTTATAAACGCACGCTGACTGAGGCTCTCCCCAGGACTGGTCACCCTCACACTCATACGTGCAATACGGGACTGGCGGTCGACCAGATACCCTCTCTATGCTACCCTAGTGAAGCATAATATATTCTACTATGCATGCGGTTTGCGTGAGTCAGGACTTACATATGTTTCCGTGCTTATCGATAATAATCATTGTTTGGAAAGTTTTCTCGGCTTTGAACGTCCTTGTACCAGTGATATTTCCCGATGTGCGTAAACCTGCTGATACCCTTCAATATGATGGAATCATTGATGTTTCACACTCCCAGTCCTCATACCACTCCTTCCTCGAAGAGTATGCATTTCATCTTCTGTCGTGGATTCTTACTGACAATACCCTCAAACACATATATACAGTTTGGAGGTCTTTATCCTTGCAATCCTTGCCACCCGGATGCACCTCCGTCTCTGGCATATCGACAATATCGTGCGCGATCTTGATACCCTCTCGTACATTTCCATGTCGGTCATGTCACCTACAGTCTGAGACCATATGGTGTGGCATCTTATCGTGTGGCTTATTCGGTGTAGAGTGAGGTTTGGACTATGAGATGACTGGTACGGATGGCTTGACGTGATAGATACCTTAATATCGCAGAGCCCACACTACAAATCTGTTTGTAGACAATTACGACTAATGATTACGACTGGTGATGAAAACTCCCGCCAGTATACTCATCACCTACGATGTCTCCGCCTTGAACGCTGAGCTGGGGTTGGGACTGTGCACCGAAGACTGTTGTGCGTGTGCGATGTGATGAATCTGGTCTGATTAAGCTATGGGGATCACCGGCGGACTGTCTCTGGTCCATACCTCAAACCCTTGGTCCATTAATGCCATCCACCAAATCCTTCTAAAGTCAGGCTATCTCCACTTTCTGTAACCTGTTCGCCCTGCGACTCAGCAAGCGTATTCACAATCACTTTCGCTTCCCTACTCTGGCCATTCTCCATCAATGTCCATCATAATGTGGATCATTGCACGGCCTCAAACCAGTTCCGCTCATGATGATGGCGTTGCCAATCACCGGATGTCTGCAGCTCACAACAAAGGTGATATGTTCGCCTGGTGGGCAATTTTTTTGGAGGGAAGCCACAAGATATGCATGCTAGTTATACCCACTAAGCTGAAATGCACGAGACGAACGGCGTTGGACTCGCCAAGTTTGGATCCAGTGGACGTAAATTCTCCGAGCTTTCCTGTCAGTGATCACCAGCATCTTCGCAACGTGAGGATCGCCAGGCTGTTTGTATGTGAGAACACTAAAGATGATCAAGAAGAGCTGTGCGAAGGCGCTCTTGAGTAGAATGCGAATATCTCTTCTGGGGTAGCACGGTTCACCTTCGTCTCATCCCTTCGACCAAGCCTATCATCAGCCATGACTGGGACGCGTACTCTCCACGTATCAACACTGTCTGCATCAAGCCGAAGCCATGCCGACGGTGAGCAGTTGAGCTCTAAAGGCCTTCAGAGCCAGGGTAGCTGTGCGTTTCCAGAACCGGTACTGATATCAGTGATGGTGTTTCAAATTTTCAAATTTCAAGGTCTTTCCGAATCTACTTGCAATGCGTTGATCAAACCTAATTATAGATACCAGGTGCGTCTGACTCCTTGCATCAGTGTATGTAGCCTATCCACACAACTCATGTGCCTCCGATAGAACAGAGTTTGATTATTTTTTAGTCGTCTCTGACACCGGAGAACTGTTATCAAGCTGCGCCCTCAGGCCCATCTGCCACTGTGCCATTGCAGCCTGCGCCCATGACGTCAACCCTGTAGATCATGAAGCCAGACCTGCAACACGAATGCTGTCCCCGATGTCTACGCCCCCATCTTGATGTGCCTAGCTCATTTGAGAGATAAGAAGGTGAATGATGTGTGCGAGAATTCCGTTTCCTTACCCATCGAACAAATGCAGATGGTATATTCGGCTAGTGATATCGCAGCGTCCACGAGTCTGCAGTTCCTAGCGGTGCGTCGCTGTTTTTAATCTGTTGACAAGATAATGACAAATATTCCGTGTGTTACAGTATCGATGCGGTGTGTATTGTTCAAACTGCTTCTTCTTGGTTCTAATTTGACGGCTCAGCGGCAATGGCGACATTCTGGGTAGGTTTATCCCGATCTATTCCCGTTCGCAGTTGAACTCGCTTATCCAGACCTATGATTATGCTTGTTCATTTGAGGAAGAGGTAATGCACGTGTTTCGCGATATGCCTCGCTCGAGATATCGATAATTACTGTTCAAAGTGGAAATTTCTGCGTCGGTCGCGTTGGAACAAGGTAAAAGGTCTTTATACTATTGCACGATATGTACCCTTTTGTCTCATCACCACCGACCTATATCGTGCGTTCAGCTTTAGTATACACACTCTCGATATTGAATTGACATATTTTGCTTCAGTGAACTTTGCCCCGAACGAGAACCCCGATGTATGTGAACGTATGGACATATCCACCAACAAATGACGCTTACTGCATACCTCGTCAGAAATGCCGAAAGTTAATCAACATTTACTCATGTACGTACACGATATATGCTGCATGCACATCCTTGCTGAGCGCTGCTCGTTCTTCACAGGTTTCAGCCTGATATCAATTATCTCCTCTGAATGTATCTCTCTTTCCCCTACGACATAGGCTTGCTCCTGATCCAATTCATTCAGGTATTTTTGTGTTCAGAACATATGCGCTCTGGAACAACAATAGATTCGTTCTCGCAGCCATGGTGTCCGCCTCTGTTGTGAGTCCTATGCCCTCAAGACGCCCAAGCTCGCGATTGATGAATGAGTCAGGCAACTATCATAGCATCTATCAGCATTGAATTTACCACGATCACCACCTCATATGGTTCGTGCTCTTACCTTTCCTCACTATATATTAAATTACTTCACTTTCACAGTTCTTATTAGCACGATCCCCGGAATCACAGGCTGCTACCGGAGCTCGAGCGGTGTTCCATTCTTCATGCCGTTTCTTCTCTTGTTTGTGTTTGAACTGGGTATGTCACCAGGAATTCGGGGCATACATTACAGACCTGACGCTCTCCCCAGGACTGGTCTCCCTCACACTTATACGTACCATACAGAGCTGGCGGTCGGATAACGGCCCTCTGTACACTGTCCTGGTGAAGCATAACATATTCTACTATGCATGTGGTCTGCGTAAGTCAGGACTTCCATATGTTTTCGTGCTCATCGTTGATGGTTATTGTTCCGAAAGTTTTATCGGCCGTAAACATCCTCATGCCAGTGCTATTTTCCGATGTGCGTAACCCCCTATACGCTTTAATATACTCGAGTCATTGATGTTCCACATACCCAGTATGCATACCACTCCTTCTTCGAAGAGTAGGCACCTCCAACTTCTGCTGTGAACTACTACTGACAACATCCCAAATTCAACCCACATATAGTGTGCAGTTCTTTCTCCTTGCGATCCTTGCCACGCGGATGCACCTCCATCTCTGGCATATCGATCGGAATGTGCACGGTTCTGACGCCCTTGTGTATGTGTCCGACATATTACTCCTAGACCATGCGGTATGACATCGCATCGCATGGCTGTTGCGGCGTCGTTCGTGGAGTGGCTTGGATGCGTACCCTTCCGTTTTGAATCCTCATGCGGCAGAGCCAACGCTATACAACTGTTTGTAGATATTCACAATGAATAGTGAAAACCTCCGTCCATTGCGATATGTTCTGAACGTCCGCCTCCACACAACGCATCCCATCCACGAGCTCCCACTTTGTAAGTTTCTGTTCCTGCAGAGTAATATCCACACACCGAGACGAGGAATGAATTCTTTCAGCTCGTAAACTTCTCAGATGACCGATGCAGGATGACAGCCCGTAGGTGCCTAAAACTCCGCATGATCCATAGCTGACAAGGTTGGCAATTCCGAATGCATTCTGATATTTATAGTGGTCGTTCTGCCCGAAGTAACCGATAACATTAGCATGCACTCAAACGTGGTGCTGATTAATAAGTGGCTCGTTCGTTGTTGCTCGCCGTTCAGTTGGACCGGTACGAGGATGAGGCTTGTGTTTTGTCATCTCGACATGTCACGAATAGAAAGCGTGCCTTGCGCTGATAGCAACCAAGTGCGCTTACCCTTAGCCATTCGTCGAGAGGTATAGGAGCTTACTATCATTACAGATCCAGGCCAAAAACCAGAAAAAGATTCAGCATCGTGCTGGTGCACGTGTTCGGCTTTACTTTCCATGGGTTGTTTCGTGGGGGGCCCATCGCCGCACCATTCCTGTGAGATGACGGGCCCTGGGATCGTTGTCATTAAGGACGTCCGCACGAGGTCCAGTAAACCGTGAGATTGTTGGGTCATAGGTGACGAACGCTACTCTTCTAGGGGGCACGATGAACTTTGAGTCATAGTTAATGGGATACATTCAATTAAAGAGGACAGCACGAAAGAAACACTTGCACTGATACAGACGACGACTTGCTACCACTCATGGAGGAATTCAGTCCGTGCCTCGGTCAGCGTCATCCACTCTCAATGTCATTCTGAGATGGAACGCTGTAAAGACCTGTGCACACCAACCTGTACACTGTACAGCAATAGGTCTTCTTGACGGGATGGCCATAATGGTCATTTATTATTAGACGTCTTCCATCGGTTTGATGGCGTAGTTGGTTATCGCATCTGTCTAACACACAGAAGGTCGCCAGTTCGAGCCTGGCTCAAATCATTTTTTCCTTTTCTTTTCGGGCACACTGAGTAGTCTTTTGAGACATTTCAATTTCACAGGGTTTCGAAGTAAGTCACGATTAAAGAGACAAGTGTAGCGTATTCAATACAGCTTCTATCTTAACGAATGGTAATAAATATTGGAAGTTCTCCCGCTACAACCCTTATATCGTCGAGACTGTCTGCATCCTTCCCCCAGTATCCACGCAATTTGAAATGTCAAAGTCCATCCCTGTTTTCGGGGAAAATGATGGCAGACAAATCTTGTAAAACATCCGGTCAGCAAGTTTGGTTCTTCTCAGCCAAATCAATCATACCTCGCAGAAATAACTTGGATGAATATATGAGGGAGGAGGTAGAGAATAGAACATAAGCCCTTTTAGGTCGGACGAGTGTATCATAGGCTCATGGAGGTGAGTTTCCGGAGTAATGGATCTTTCGCTCTCAGAAACAGAACACGTAGAACATCGAGATAGGGGAGCCAAAGATTGACCGCCATCGTATATGCGAAGATGTGAGGACGTCCTCTCAACTCCGGTAATGTCGCCAGGCCGTTGGACTGCTGGTGCAGAACTGCGGTGATCCCACTGAGGCTGCGGGGCTCTGTTATCAGCAGAAGAGTATGATGACCAGCAGGAAACTTCAACACATGTGTAGCCAGCCATGGCTTGATGTGGGGAGTACGTAGTATACTTGCGAGTGGGTTCTCGTGCGTTCTCTGAGGCGTTGTAGAACTCGGCTTCGCTGGGGTAGAAGGTATCAAGGTTTATGATCTCTTCTCTGAGCCTCGTAAGGCTAATCCGTGCAGATTCTCGTAGGTGAAATATTCGCTTGAGGATTTCATTGAAAGATCTTGAAATAGGAAGGACCTCAAGAAGGAAGTTAGGGTTGTTAATATATTTCTGAAAATTTTGATCTGAAGGCGTCGCGGGTCCCCAAGGAGAACGACCCGAGACCATGTTCACAAGAATAACACCCAACGACCAGATGTCCGAGTGAAGCGACGAGTAATGAGGGCTCCCCGTCTCAAAGTTACATTCTGAAAAGCAAAATATCAGACGGTGACCCCATGTGAATGATGACATACCAGGACTCAAGTAATCCCAACTGCCTACGTTGAATTCTCGACTGATAAGTTTGGTGGTCGACAGTCCAAAATCTGCAATACGGACGCCCAACCCTGGCTCGACACAGAGAATGTTCTCTGGTTTCAAATCACGGTGATATACGCCAATGGAATGACAGGCTTGTACGCCATCGAGAAGCTCAATGAATACCTTCTTAATGAGCGGGACATTACCCTCATACGTTCGCAACTTGATGGCCGCAAAGAGGTCACCACCAGGGCAGTAGTCGAGTACGAAATATATGTATAGTCCCTCTTCAATGATTTGGTGAAGCTTGCATATATGTGGTGACGACGACCTGGATACCAACCAGTGACATGCGATCTCCCGTTTCTGCCACACAAGACTATCTCGGGAGAGTTCCGTGTTTAGCAAGCACTTGATGGCATAGTATACAGGATCACATGGGTCTGACTGAGTGTCGAGAGCGCGATAGACAGTTCCGGAGGCACCGAAGCCAATCAACTCAACCAACTTGAAACGACCATCACCAACAGACTGACCAGACAAGTCTGGAACTGGGAGCGCTTCCTGTTGATAGTTCATGGTTGCTGCTACTAGGTTGTGTCGGAAGGAAGCAGTTTCAAACAAGATGAGAGATAAAATGTTGAATTTAGGGGGCGGGTTGAAGAGTTATAGTGTCAGGTTGAATTAGTTTTAGGGGAAATAAGCGACCAGCATAATTTTAATACCTCGACGTTGACGTCGTGGTCTCACTAGTATGTCGGCGTATGACTCATCATGTGATGTTCTCGGATGTCGGATGGCTGTGCAAATCAATTACTTCACTTGATGCTGCCGCATCTGCTTCTCCTTGTCAATGTCGTGTTCTCGCAAACTGTCCCTGGTGCATGGTGTTGATCCATGGCAGCTATGCTGTAGCACTGTCGGCACAATCGGATGAGTTGCATAGAGTCATCTAGTTTTTCTTTGCATGCCGTCTCAGTGGTTTGAACATCAATATGCCAGATCGCTACCTGTAAATGCAGCATCATATGCCACACGCCGTGACAATCTACGACACGCAGTGGAACTCGTGGAACAAGGCCGTGGCCAGCAATGGTCGCTAGCCTCTCGACTCAAGACTCCAGTTGAAGACCTCAAGTCGACAAACCCGAAACTGGCTCACAAATATTTGGAGCTGAGCAAGCGCGTTTCTAATGCTTCCCATAGTTCTGCAACCATCACCGACAGAGCTGCTGCTGGTCGGGCAGCAACAGAGTATAGGAGACTTACAAGGCAATGGGAAGCTGCGGTAGCTGAGATACGTGATCTTCGTTCGTTCTCGCGGTTCCTGCTCCCACTTTCATGCGAAGACCTGCAAGTGGCAGCGCGCCAGGGCCCAGTCATCATCCTCATTGCCAGTCAATACTCGTGTAGCGCTGTCATTGTCCCGACATCAGGAGACCCCCCTCATGTTCCCTTGCTGTCTATTACTCTTGCAGATCCGACCAATTTCAAGAATCGTTTCGCCAGGGCAATACGACAAGCATCTCGGATGAACCCAAGGGAGTCGAGGACGGATCTAATAGTACTCTCGCGGATAATATGGGACGTGATCATGCTACCCATCGTCAACGTGCTTGAGCACGTGCTCGAACTGAAGCGCCACTCTCGAATCTGGCTGTGTCCAACTGCAGCTTTCACGTCCATTCCTCTCCACGCAGCTAACCCCTTTCAAACAAAGCCAGATCGCTCTGAGGAGCCATGCCTGGAAGATCTCTACATCTGCTCTTACACACCGACACTTTTGGCTCTGGTCAGATCTAGGCAGTTGATGAAGAAGCGTGTGCCTCCGTCCTTTGTGGCAATTGGACAGGGTCAACCTGGTACAGGGAAAGGGAAGACACTATTGGCTGTCGAGAGTGAGCTCGAGCTTGTTCATAAGCTCGTCCCCGCTACAGCCAATCGTACCACTATTTCTGGTGACGCAGCTACTCGAGCAGGTGCACTCGAAGCTTTGCAGCAGAACACCTTGGTGCACCTAGCTTGTCATGGCAAGCAGGACCGTACACAGCCTTATGATTCGCATTTCGTCATGAAAGATGAACATTTGACGCTGCTCGGTATCATGGACAAGGATATCCCGCACGCTGAGTTCGCGTTCTTATCCGCTTGTCATACCGCCGTTGGCGATGAGGAGACGCCCGACGAAGTCATTCACCTCGCAGCTGGTCTCCAGTTTTCGGGATTCAAGAGCGTCGTTGGTACACTGTGGGAGGTCGACGATTCTGTTGCAAAACACGTTGTCGAAGCTTTCTACAAATATATGTTCAAAGATTCAGAGGATGGTGTCATGGACTTTACGAAGGCGGCCTGGGCACTCAACTGTGCTACGCACGCCGTGAAGACGAAAGTGCCACTCGAGCAGAGGATGGTTTTTATTCATATTGGTGTGTAGTTTTATCTCAGATGGTTTTCATTTTGATCTTTAGTACAAGTTGTTGATCTTTTATTCCTGGTCCGTTCCTTTCTCGATGCTAGCTTTGCCATACCTCTTGTGTCATCATCTACTCTTAGAAGTATGTTTTGTAACTTCATTCATTGCACGAGAATTTGAATCAAGTTCTTTACGCAGTCACTGCTGGGGGAATGCGTCGGGAAGCAGGGAACGCACTTGTCCTTGTGACGTTCATTGACCCTTGGCTTCTACCTGCTCGTTTCGACCATAATCTCAAACGAACGACTCTTTCTTCTATTTAGTAGGCTTTGTGAGACTACTACATCTTTGCCCATTCTCATGCGATTAACCGCACCCCTCGGCCCTCAAACCACCTCGAGGTTCTTCCCCTCGACCTCCAAATTCGGTATTTTCGAACATGGAGTCCTGTTGGCACCATTCTGTCCAAATCAACTACCGTAGGATACAGCGAGATCAAATAGCTTCATTACGGACCGTGCAGGCGACTGGTATACCTTGACTGATGGTGTGAAACAAGTGATAATCCTAGAATCATACGTCTAACGCTCGACACAAGAGACATGTGACTCGACGTCTGAATAGTACACCTACCGGCCTCATCAACGCTGTTCATGGAGGGAAACCTAACGCTGACATTGAGCAAGGCACATGCACGTCAGCGAAAAGTGAACTGAGCAAGGAATTGGAGTTTTGGAGTTGCCCTTTAATTCGAGAGAGAATTCGTGCCCTCGTATCACGAAAACAGGTTCGTCTACAAACCCCTCGTGCATGTAGTCTATGTTGACGATGTTAATCTTGTGCCACTTCTGAGTAAACAAAATGTCCGGAGCTGTCAAACGATGTGAACTGAGTGGGAGTGACTTGGTATAATCTTCGGCAAACACCGAAAGCAAATACTTCGTCCGGGCTAGAACTTGTTGTGTCAGAACTCTCGGCCCCAACACTACCGGGCCCTAGTCCGCTGCTAATTACATTTGATGCCATCTGTACACCCAGTCCTGCCTTACGATCGGAGGATCTTGACCTGAGACCTTCACAACATACGAAGGCGTAGTTACTGAGATCGAGACACGTACGCATGGCTGTGCACTACTCACGTCTTTGTTCGATGCAGACTGCTGCCTAGGTAAAGATTTGATTGTCATTTTTATACGACTTGTTCTGACTCTTGTTCCAAGTCGCAGTCACCCTTTTCGTCACTCGTTGTCATCTGCTGCACGACCTATTCAATTTTCATGTCGCAACTTGTCATGTTCTCGCAGACCGTCTCTGGTGTTTCCACAATGCCCTCGATCATCCGACACTTTGAACGAGTCGTACAGAATCTAGTGGCTTGAATATTACCATCTCCTTACGAAATACACTCGATTCTACATTCTGCCTTTGTGTGCTAACTGAGTAGTGCAATACAAGTTCTGGAGCAGCAATTAACATAAGACACTCTAGCATGTCCCCTTCGACCTTGGCAGGCCATTTTCGCTGAAGACTGATCATCATATTGTCTACTTCTTCACCCCAAATTCTCCCGCTAATCCTGGTTGGCAATTCCCAGCGCTTGGTGCAATCATGTCAGCGTCTATCGTGCCGAACAGCCCTAACAATATGGAAATACACGTGCAGCATGACCTGAACCCTCAACCTCTTCTCCTCTCCCTCTCAGCCAAACTTCATCCACAGTCCCCATATTCTCACCTTCTTCCCCTCCCGTTCATTCCGTCTGCCACTCAACCCACCACTCAGCCCATCCTCAATCCTCATCATTTTGCTCCATCGCACCATCATGCCTGGTAGCTCAGAAACCCGATATATCAGACTTGAAAGTGAGTTCCTCGATATTACCTTCGTATCTGTTTTTTGATCCTCACACTCTATCTACAGTTATCAACGGAAGGAGTCTTCGAGTCCCTTCCGACCGCATTCCCGCTGGCATTTTCGTGTCCATCAATGTCGACTCGAGAAGATGCTGGAAATCGGCCATCAAAGTTCTATCATCCGACAAATCTGTAGTGTGGGGGGATATTGTGACTCTGTAAAGTCTTGGTAACTTCCAGGCGTGATGCGAGAACTGATCATCGGTTTATAGGTCTTCACATGCATCACCTGCGTTATCAGTGGAAATCAGGGCGTCTTGCGAGGTCGATCGAATGCTAGGCAATGGAGAGCTCATCGGGACACTTCAAACATCTTGGGATGAGCTACTCGATCATGGAGATGAGCCATTCAGTGAGTGACTCGTTCATCGTTCATGCGCATATACTAACGTCTCGTAGATCTATCCTTCCCATCCGTGCGCGGCATCCACCCTTCCCTCACGCTAAAGGCCACCATCGTACATACTTATGACAATCAAAACGACGCACTGTCTGATGTGAGTGATGCCGGACTCTGTCCCATTAGCTTTTGCTGACGGAACTCCGACTGCAGCCCGTTGTAGACTGTGGAATTACTCGAGACACAGATGCGGGCCACACACAATTTGCCAAGTACATGACGAGCAAGTCAGTCTCTCACCTGAACGATGCTGTAGAGCATTTTCAGTCGGTTCTGGACCAGTGTCCTGTCAGCCATCCGGACCGTGCAGCAGCTCTCACCAACCTTGCGTGGGCCCACCTTCAAGGGTATACTGAAGGTCATCTTCAAGACATTGATACTACTACCTCCCTCTTCCGCGACGCCCTCGCATTGCGTCCGCGGCACCATCCCGACCATCCTTTATCTCTATATAATCTCACTGAAGCCCTGAATTGGCGCCACAACAATAAACGTACTGCTGCCGACATCTGCGAAGCTGCGCAACTGTATCACGAGCTACTACCTCTCTGTCCAGAGGGGACCTACCTTCGTAGCATCATGACAGGGAAAGATTGTGTCGATTATGTGATCCGCGGATGCAACAAACTTCCAATAGACGCATCCGATGAAGGCATCCACCTTCGAAGAGATGTTCTCGAGCTTGTGTCCTCTAGGCCATCAACTCCATCCAAGAGTACTTAGACAGACTTTCAGGGCTCTTAGGTCACGCTTTGACCAGCACGGCAACATCGATGATCTTGACACGAGCATACAACTCCGTCGTGAAGCCCTGTCTCTGTGCCCGAGGGACATTCTGACCGTGGTGACTACCTGAACAACTTGGCCGTCTCACTTGGTCACCGCTTCCATCACCAAGGCAAACCTAATGACCTCGATGAGGCCATCTCTTTGTGCGAAGAAGCGCTGCGCCTGCGCCCTGTTGGGCACAAAGCGCGTGATACCTCATTGGACAACCTAGGGGGTGCCCTTGACATCCGTTTCAACAAATGCGGCGACATTGATGACATCACCCGAGCTGTCAGCCTCTATCGCGAGGCACTGACATTGCGCCCACCTGGGCATCCAACTCGTGACACCACGCTTAACAACCTTGCCCTCGCGCTCGAAATCAGATATGACAAATTGCGTGTCAGGGAGGATCTCAACGAGGCCATTGATCTGTATCACGAATCCCTTCGGTTAAAGCGGCTTGACGATCCAGAGCCCCACATAAGTCTTCTCAATTTGAGCTCGGCGCTCTGCTCTCGTTTCACGCATACTCAGAAGAATGAAGATGTCGAAGAGGCCATTACTCTTTGCCAGGAATCTGTGGCGGCCATGTCTTCACTGCACCCGGACAGGTATTTCAGCTACATCCGGCTGCAGGAGGCCTATGTGTCTCGTTACGAGATTCTACATGACCCTGCTGATTTGTCGCTCGCTATAGGGAACTTCAGACTGGCATCGGGGCATCCTACTCGGGGTTTTCCGGATCGTATTCAAACCGCGTTGCACTGGGTTGATAAAGCTGAGCGTCATAAACACGACTCTGCCCTCGAAGCATACCAGATATGCTTGGAGCTTTTCGACAGCCACGTGATGACGCGATCGTCCACAATTTCACGACGCGAAGCTGCCGCTGCCTTCAGTCGTGCCAGATCGTTGCCTGTAGATGCAGCATCATGGGCCATCCGCCATGACAATCTACGACAGGCAGTTGAACTCGCAGAGCAGGGTCGTGGCCAGCAGTGGTCGCTGGCATCTCGATTCAAGACTCCAGTTGAAGACCTCGAGTCAGTAAATCCGACACTGGCGCACAAATATTTGGAGCTGAGCAAGCGCGTATCCAATGCTGCACAGAGTTCTGCAACCATCACCGACAGAGCTGCTGCTGATCGGGCAGCGATAGTATATAGGAGACTTACAAGGCAGTGGGAAGCTGCGGTAGTTGAGATACGTGATCTTCGCCCGTTCTCGCGGTTCCTTCTCCCGCCTTTATATGAAGACCTGCAAGCAGCAGCGCGCCAGGGCCCAGTCATCATCCTCATTGCCAGTCAATACTCATGTAGCGCTATCATCGTTCCGACATCAGGAGACCCCCATCATGTTCCCTTGCCATCCGTTAATCTCGTAGATCTAACCAATCTCAAGGATCGTTTCGCCAGGGCAATACGACAAGCATCTCGGATGAACCCAAGGGAGTCGAGGACGGATCTAATAGTACTCTCGCGGATAATATGGGACGTGATCATGCTACCCATCGTCAACGTGCTCGAGCACGTTCTCAAACTAAAGCGCCGCTCTCGAATCTGGCTGTGTCCGACTGCAGCTTTCACGTCCATTCCTCTCCACGCAGCTAACCCCTTTCAAACAAAGCCAGATCGCTCTAAGGAGCCATGCCTTGAGGATCTCTACATCTGCTCTTACACGCCGACACTTTCGGCTCTAGTCAGATCTAGGCAGTTGATGAAGAAGCGTGTGCCTCCGTCCTTTGTGACAATCGGGCAAGGTCAACCGGGTGCAGGGAAAGGCAAGGCCCTCCTGGCTGTTGACAGCGAACTCGAGCTTGTCCATAAGCTCGTCCCTGCGACAGCCAACCGCACCACTATTTCTGGCGACGCAGCCACTCGAGCAAATGCACTCGAGGCTTTACAGCAGAACACCTGGGTGCACCTTGCTTGCCATGGCAAGCAGGACCCTAAGCAGCCCTACAATTCGCATTTCGTCATGAAAGATGAACATCTGACACTGCTCGATATCATGGAGAGAGACATTCCGCACGCCGAGTATGCGTTTTTGTCTGCGTGTCATACCGCCGTCGGCGATGAGGAGACGCCCGATGAAGTGATTCATCTTGCAGCTGGTCTCCAGTTTTCAGGGTTCAAGAGCGTTGTTGGCACGCTGTGGGAGGTCGACGATGCTGTTGCAAAACACGTCGTTGAAGCTTTCTACAAATATATGTTCAGAGATTCAGAAGAGGGTGTCATGGACTGTACGAAGGCGGCCTGGGCGCTCAACTGTGCCACGCACGTCGTGAAGACGAAAGTGCCGCTCGAGCAGAGGATGGTTTTTGTTCATATTGGTGTGTAGTTGTATCTCGCATGACTCTCATTCTGGTCTGTAGCACAAGCTGTTGATCTTTTATTCCGTTGGTATACCTGGTCTGTTCCTTCCTCGATAGTAGCTTTGCATTACCTCTTGTGTCATCGTCTACTCTTAGAAGTGTTTTTTGTAACTTCATTCATTGCTCGAGTATTCGAAGTAAGTTCTTCATGCAGTCGTTGCTGGGGGAAATGCGTTGGGAAGCAGGGAGCGCATGAGTCCTTGTGACTGGCCTCAAGTTCGTTGACCGGCCTTGGCCTCTACATGTTGGTTTCGACCATAATTTCAAACGGAAGACTCTTTCTTCTATTTGGTAGGCATTGTAGACTACTACATCACTGTTGCTTCTCGTGTGCTTGACTGCGGCCCTCGGCCCTCAAACCATCTCGAAATCCTTCTCCGCGACCTCCAAATTCAGTGTTTTAGATCATGGAGTCCTATTGGCACCATTCCGTCTGAACCAACTACCGTAAGATACAGCGAGATCAAATAGCTTCATTACTGACCGTGAAGACGACTGGTATACCTTGACCGATAGTGCGAAACGAGTGATAAGTACTTCTAGCACTCGCCACAAAAGACACATAAGGCGTGCTCAATTCTTACGATGTCAAGTTCAAGGTGTGTCAAGTCCCACCGTGCCTTAAGCCAAACAACATAGCCGACCGGTGAGACCCCATTTGGGTTGCCGAAGCCACCGAAGCGAACACACCATCACACCAATGAATTAAGTTTGAACATAGAAACTTTGCTGTGGTCCACTGACCAGTGATGAGCTATCCAGCATGGAACATAGTATACAACCCTATTAATTCTTTGCATGGCATCTATAATGCTTTACAAGACATCAATGGTGCTCAGCAGAGGACTTATAATAATGCTCCAGGTCATGTTCCAAATCCAATTGCGAGTTTGTGCACAGCTTGGAGTGGATTCGCACCTCGTGTGCCGTACCATAGGAGAAAGCATGCCAGTTGATATTGAACAGTGTGCTGTGGTCTCTTGCCAGTTGATCAGAAGATGGGGTTCTGTTCGAGCAGATGGACAAGATGGACAAAGGTGGGCTGTCCAACCCTGAAAGATGTTGGCAAAGATAATGCTGATGATTGAATAGAAAAAATACCTGTATTCGTGTCGAAAATCTCAGTCTGGCCAGCTTAGAGAAATCTCAAAGAATTTGAAACATTTTCTCCATTGATTGTATGGGCCATGCGAGACACCGGACAGCATACTTGCGAATACTTGAAGTACTGTGCTTGTTCTTGTGAGAGATGCAGCAGTATGATGACTGTGGTCATCATTGTCGTTGTCAGGAGAAATGAAGTGTTCAAGTTCAAGACGAGTGCACTGTGAGATACCTAACATAGACAATGAGGCAGAAAGGACAGTTAAGAGGTTGCAGAATTCTCATTGTTGCTGCATAAGTGTGCTGCAGCGATGGTTGTTGATAAGGCAGAGTAAGCTTGGCTTCGGCAACCCAAATGGGGTCTCGCTGGTCAGCTATGTTGTTTTGCTTAAGGCATGGTGGGACTTGACACACCTTGAACTTGACATCATAAGAATTGAGCACACCTATACTGTATCATTTCGACCTTAGGTTCGTGGGAAAATCTCCGCAACCTTATGTAATCATTTGTAGCATGTTCATTGACCATTGTGACATGTGATGAACCTAATTTAGGTTTGTCGATTGTGTCAAATGTCTGCTCTGGCAGCAATGCCTCTGTGACATGGATAATCTTGGATTCACACTACTTCTGTGTTGGCTTGAAGGCTGCTCTTTTGACAGCCAATAGTTAGCCACATTCCAGTTTGTTCTAGGTAAGTGTCCCACAGTTTGTGTCTTAGATGTCACCCATCATGTTTCCTCACTGCAACCTCGCTTTGGATGTGCCCACAAGTCTACAGGTCATTTATATTTCTACAAGCATCATTTCAGAGGAACAGAAAGATTGGCTCCTCAAACCACCCCCTCGCTTTGCCTGTTTTATTCCACTCCCAAGCCTGCCTGCCTGGGCTCTTGTTGACTCTACAACTCTTCCATGCATTCAACCTGTCATTTGAGAGTCTGACAAGTCTTGAAGCCTGTCACATGCTTTGAGACTTGCCACAAACTGCTCCAGACATGTGGGAGTGCATCCAACTACACCATCAGCCTGCCATATCAGGAAAACATCAAGTTCCTTTTTGGTCCTTAGCTTACTTAAAGTTACTTAAAAATAGTCTTAAGGCAGGTAAGGAGAATAAGGAACTAGTGAGTTCCTTAGTGAAATGTATTCTAAGGAGCAAAGTCTTTACAAGGTGGTTAAGGCATCAAAGGTAGATGTATTTGTGAAAGTAAAATAAGGTGCTGTGGGAAACACAACAAGAAGAGAACTGGAAAGTAGACTTCTAATGTTGGGCTAAATGTGCTATGCCTAGCTGCTATTCAACCCTAAAGGGTTTCTGGACTAAGCTCAGTGCTCAGAGAGGATAGGAAATCATGCTATAAACTCTCAGTCTCAGACTGGTACTGGTAGGTGGTGAAAACTATGATGATTACATAAGCACCAAAAGTGCGAACATAACACTAAGCAATATCTGCCTATACAAGCCCACAGAATATGAAATCCCTACAGCACCTGCTGAGTGCCCAAAAAAATATACATGTTATTTATGTTAGCATTTTCTTGAATAAGCACTGATAGATGCCTGACAAACAACAACTCACTTGACATCCACTCATCAACCACAGAAATCTACAAAATCTAAGAAAAAAACATCATTGTAAGTTTTAATTGATAATTGTTGCATCAATTGTTGCTTACCAGGTGCTAGTGAACCACATGGCTCCAAGATCTCACATGCAAGTGCAACAGAAGATGTGCAAGTGGGGAGATGTGACTGTCTGGGCAGAGGCTGCAATCAGAGCTGAGGTGTTGGCAGAAGAAGCAGAGGCAAGAGCAGATGAAAGGATGGTGAGAGCAGACAAAACAAAGGTGAGAGAAGATGAAACAAAGGTGACAGTGGGAGCAGGATTACTGGGCTTCTTGAAGAGGGCAAAGAGCCACTTTTGCAGGAATTGAAACAGAGCATGTGGCTCAAGCCTTGAGTGACTGTAGACCATGGTGAGTACAAGTATATCTCAAATGTGATGAGAACTTACCAATCATTTTTGCAGGAATTGAAACAGAGCACATGGCTTGAGCATAGAGTGACTGTTGACCCTGGTGAGTACAAGGATATATCAAATTTGACAAGAACTTACCAAACTTTCCAATAGTCTTGTCTTGTTGACTCAAAATTAGTACTGTCAGTTTGGTACAAGTGTATAATACAAACCTTGAGATCCATATCATCTGTGCCAAAGAGTGCCTTGAAGAATGACTCTATGAAGACAGAGTTCTGCCAGATCTCCATAGCTGCCATCATCAGGCATTTGACCTGAGTATGACAAAGATTTAGCTAGCTTTATCTTATATACAATATTGAAAATATATATCACAATTGCAGATCACATGATAAAGCCATGGATAGGTAGACTACATTGGTGGGATCTCCCAATGCTATAATATTGGCAGACCTATAGTGCCAAGTTACAATCTACTAAGCACATTGATATGTTATTATCAAATTAATCTACTCTTACATAGGCAGCTTCCAGTGGCAGGATCTGCAATTGCTGACAATGTGTCAGCACATGATACTAGATTATTGTACAGTAGCAAGGTGCTGACTATCTACCCAATATGTCTGGCTTTACATAGGCAGCTTCTTATGGCAAGATGTGTAATCACTAACAATGTGCTATGGTATGATATCCAGTTGTCATACTATAGCAAGTTGGTAAAAGCCAGCTATTGTTATATAGGCAGCTTCCAGTGGCAGGATCTGTAATTGCTGACAGTGTGCCAGTGTATGATACTAGATTATTGTACAGTAGCAAGGTGCTGATTATCTACCCAATATGTCTGGCTTTACATAGGCAGCTTCCTATGGCAAGATGTGTAATCACTAACAATGTGCCAGGGTATGATATCCAGTTGTCATACTATAGGGATGTACAATCATTAACTGCAAATCCAGCTCTTACACTGAATTATCAAACAAATCAAAATGCTCTCCATCAACTGAGCATATCTGCTGTTATAGTAGAAGCTTATGATGGCAGGATATATAATTATTGACTGCAAGTCAAGTTCTGGCACTGAGTTATCAAGTTGCATCAAAATGCTCTCTATCAGCCAAGCATATCTGCTGTTACAGGGACAGCTTCTGATGGTAAGATGTACAATCACTGCCTGAAAGTCAAGCTCTGGCACTACACTATCAAGATGCTCTCCTTCAACCAAGCATATCATGTTACAGATATGTTGTCAAACATACCTCCACTTACAAGAAGTTGTCAGGCCAAAGCAAGTTGCTGATTTTTCACTAACTGCATCTATCTGTATATAGGCAGCTTTTGATTATGAGGTCTACCATTACTGACAGTAAGTAAAGGTACTACAATGAGTTATCCCATCAAAGCATGTTGATGATATTTCGCCACACATATAGCCCTATATACATATGTAGAAGGATTTCACATAGCATCATCTTTACACACACAGCAACATTCTGCATTCATCAATTGAATAATTAAAGTTCACAGGCTGTACAGAACAATATATTATATCTATGAGACAATAAATCAATCCATACTAGCATTAGCTTGCTCTCAAAGGGCAGCGCATTTCTCTTGAATCTTCAAGAGTGCGCTGTTTTTGCTGACACTGCATTGTGATGACAAAGAATTAGGAAAAACATGACTGTACAAGGTGTTAGATTGGAGTTTGAGTTTTATAAGATGTATGATGAACTGAGTCCACCACATCATCAGGTCACCTACTTCCTCACTCTCTTCAGAATCTTCTAAGAGATCAAGAATGCTGTGATAGAAATTTTCGGAATTCATCACAGTGTCAGTATGTGAGAATACAGATGACGAACTCAACAAAAACTGAACCTTAACAAATAGTCAGGAGAGGTATAGAGTATACAATCTGCTGTGTACCTGCATGGCAATATAGGCTAAAGATCCTTTAGTTATGGACTTCATACTGTGGAGGTATGTGTTGCTGGAGCGCATTGCCTTGGGCTCCTTATCAACCAAGCTTGGAGATGTGAAGACATGTTTGAAACCCTACAAAAGGGACACCATTATGAGTAAGGCATTGCCAGTAGAATGAACTTACACAAATGAGAATCTTGCTCCTCAACAAACCCTTCCATGGATCTTCGGGATCATAAACACAGCCTGCATATAAGAACATAGGCCATTGGTCACCATGAACTGCAGTTTCACCAGTCTTGAGACTTTCCTTGGTTCTGGGTAGTGTTACAACATTTCAATTATTTCACAATGAAAAGACTTACTATGCATCCGACCAATCAAGACCTGTGGGGCAAAGCAATGTGCCAGTAACTTCATGATTAAATCCCTGGTCAGACTTAATGTTTCAGGCAAGAGGGGGAATGACTGCTTGTCCTCTGGGAACAAGCCATTCAAGGACAGCAGATTTCAGGGTTTTAGTATTGTTGCCTCGTGCACCAGAGGCCCCTTTACCCAGCTGTTACACGGTGAGTGTGATGTCCTTCCATTACTGAAAGCTTACCAATTCTCCTACATGAATAAGATCTTCTTCCTCTCCATTTGTCAGATGATCCAAGAGACCAGGATAAGAATCAATGAGTGCCATAAATACCATGTGTTCCCATTGAACACTAATTGACAGTACTGTAAGTGCTAGCGGCATCTGAGCATTAGAATTGCACTTACTCCAATGGGTAGTCCTCTATGGGAGAGTCTGGTGATTCTTCAAGTCGGAGTACACCCACTGTTAGAAGGGCAGGGTAGTTGCACAATGTGAAGACCATTCAACCAAAATGTCAACCATGGAGAACAAGGGGATTTGATGAACTCCTGATGAGGACAAGTCAGGGCAGTCCATCACCATCTGAAAGAGCACTTATGCCTTTTTATGTGGACCCATATGAAGCACTGAGCCACTACACTTGTGTGAAGTATCACCAGAGGGGTGGTTCTCATTGCTACTCATACTTGAAGGAGAGCTATGAGTTGAGTAGCAAAATGTGACACTTTATATATCCCAACATTAATAGCACATGATGAATAGCAGGTGTGCCATCCGAGCACCATCAATATTGTAACCAAAACAGCCTCGCCATCTGAGTGCCATTGATGTCATAACAACATAAAACCTGTCACATAACATAAGTATTGTAATGATAAAAAAAACTTCAATTGAATTCTAGTCTGATCGAGCACATAGATATCATAAGAGATGTCAAAAATTGTTGTCCTGAATGGACAATTGAAGCTGTGGCACATTGAGGAGTAGTTAATGACTTGCCAGATGAATGCAGAAAATAGAATTATGTACCTTTGATGTACAAGCAGAGACCAGAAATGAGTGCCTCATCCCCCAGCTTCTTGGCCTAGAATAGCAAAAGTGAAGGCTGAGAGCGGGGAGAGTATCAGGATAGTGGGATGCACTTACTACAACTTAAAAACAGTAGCATAATGGAATATGTGCTTGGCACTGGCATGCTGCTGCATTTGGCTCAAGTAAATATTGTAACATGAAATATACACTAATTATACAGTTACATTGAAACTTAATGCATACTATGGAGCAATGACCCAAATTGTATAGTGAATAGCAATATTAAAAACTCAGCCAAAAATCAATGTCAGCACCTGATGAAATTCATGCTCCTGAGAGTAGCATTCAACTCAATTGTACTACAGCAATGTCAAAATACACTCTACAGTACGTATGATACAAATCTTAAGACATATCTACAGTGGCTCAAAAAAGTGTCTCAATGTTTGTGACTTTTCATGTAGTTTCTTTATCATGAGCCAGGGTGTGAGAATATGACTAAGCCATAGGGAGGTGTGGGAAAGCTCTGCCTCTAAGCTTTAGGTTTGATCCCTATAGCGTGGAAATATTATGTCATCAAGTGAAGATATGGTTAATTTAATTTGGTGACTCATTGAGACACTTTTTTGACTTTCAGTTTGACCAACACAATTTCTATAATTCTAGTACTTGGTATTTCCTCCTGTTGCTCTAATTACTTCTACCACTCTTCTATGCATACTATCTATCAATTTGAGGCATTACTCATCAACAGTCTTGCCCCACTCTGCTATAACTCTCTCCCACAGCTGAAATAGCCCCTATCTAGAATCTTGATAGACTGCAAGTGTTACAGTGCCCCACTCTTTTTCTCATTATCACTGTGGACTCCTATATGGCTGTACTTCTAATGCTTCCTTTTCACTGTGCTGTTTCCTCATGGTCTCTCTTATCTCTGACTCATACCTTGTTTTCCCATGAACCTTCCATTTCCAGTACTAGTTACCCTTTGCCCAGCTTGGTCTGTGCATGATTCCTTTATGTATATAAACACTAGTTACCACTTGTATTTTCTCTAACTTGAATCTACTCGGTTCTCTTTCATACTTAAACTCTAGCTCCTTGGGAAGGAGGCTGGCCATTGTCCCATTTGAACTCTAGATCCTGCAGGAGTCTAGACGATCACTCCTGAGGGAGGCACTTGACTTGATAAGGCTTAGTCCTTGATCAACCTTGATCCTTGATTCCTTTATTGGAATGATGCTCTATCCGAGTTCATAACAAAAGATTCAAGTTACCTTTGAAACCCTCCATCTGTAGGGCTTTACCTTTTGAACTCACGAAACTGATTGATTGCCAAAGTGGCACCCTCCAAGAAAAGCAAGAAGGCTTTCTCTGAACAATCCAGGATCCCATACAGTCTCTATCCACCCAACTCTCCTAGATGAACCTCTTCGTCACGAGGATCCTTTGACACTCCCCACACTCCTGTTCTCCCTACTCTTGCTGTTCCAGGCCCCTCTTCCATTTCACACCACACTATCATTTCTCATTTTGAAACAAGTGCACCAGCACCTGTAGAAGACAGAGACAAAGAAATCCCTGATGCTCCACCCACTGAACCAGTAGCACCACCCAGATTCCCTACCCCTGAACCAGACATAGACACAGACTCTGACACTGACGACGACATGCCTAAACCAATTGAAAGAAAGATCTGCACCCCACCAGACTTTGATGGAAACTGAGATGGAACCTCTAGGTTCCTTTGTCTCGTCACACTTTATCTAGATACAAACAACGAAATCTATGATACCAACACTAGAAAGATTGCCTTTGCCCTTTCATTCATGAAGGAAGGCACAGCTGCAGCATGGATGGAAGATTTCATCGAACATGCCCAGCAACTTGACCCCACATCCACCCATGGAGAAAAGAACAGATATGGAACTTGGGATGAATTTGTTTCCCAGTTTGAAGAAACCTTTAACCTGATTGACTCAGCTGGTACTGCGCTTCACAAGCTCCATGCCCTTAAACAAGGCAATGACTTAAGCAAGTACATAGCCACTTTCTGACAGCTCTGTAACTGAGCTGAGATCTATAGCTTCAATGCTCAGAAAGATTACTTCCTCCAAGGCCTTAAACAGCCACTCATCACAAAACTCTGCAATTCTGGAGAGATCCCTGACACCCTTGACGGAATAGTCAAGAAGGTGATATCCATTGAGAACTCCTATCAGCTTCTCCTTGCCCACCAACCCCAGAACAACAAGAACACACAATTCAACGATCGCTGATCCACCCCATGCTTCACCCCTAGAAACAACGATCCTAATGCAATGGACATTGATTGCCTCTCTGAGAATGACAAAAGGGAGTATATGAAGCAAGGAAAATGCTTTTCCTGTGGAAAGGTTGGTCACAGATCTAACAATCAAGAATTCCACCCCCGAAACAGAGATGCCAGAAAGAATAACTATAAAAGAAAGCAGACAGTAAGGCATACAGTGCCTAAAGAAGAAGATACCAGCAAGATCGAAGATCTCGATGACAATGAAGATCTCAACACCTGAAGAATGGATTTTTGAACCAGGAACCTACCGCAATGTTAGCCACTCCTTGTATCGATGTATGTATCACACACAATGTAGGAAAAACTAAAGAATTAAGGGTCCCAGTGACTGTCTTTTCCTCCGTACATCCTGATAAATCATTGCAAACCACCACTGTTGTCAACTGTGGCACAGCTGCCACATTCATCCATTGGATGTTTGTAAGAAAACATAGAATCAAGACACATCATTTTGAAACTCCTTTCCCTATCTGAACTGCTGATGGAAAGATCTCCAAGGACCCCATCACCCACTATTGTCATCTCGCAATCAAGATTGATGATTGACTCATGATCAGAAAATTCAATGTCATGAATATGAGCGACAATGATATGATCCTCCTTGGGAAGCCTTGGCTTTCCGCTATGAACCCTGATATTGACTGGGCTAAAGATACCCTTCAACTTCCTGCTACCCCTAGATCACTTTGACTTGAAGAAGTATTTAAGAAGAAATGGGGCTTCACCCCTGCACCTCGCAGAAAAGTCACAATCAAAGAAGAAGAAGACCTGGAGCAATTTAAGCCCGCCTATGCTCCACTTCCTGTAAATGGGAAAAGAACTCTTGAACGCCGAAAAGAAAAGAAGAAAGAAGAAGAACCACTTCCACCTCTTTGGCCAGATCCTGATGAAGATCCATTACCCCAATATGACACTAAGGACGATGTCTGGGATGACATTCCCACTGAACCAACTTTCCTTCGAAAAGTTGACGACCCTATCACTTATCCCATCAATGACGATGAAGTATTAATCGAATATGCCAAAGATGGCTCCTCTATTACCTTTTTTGAAAACCTCTCCTTTGACACACCTCTCACTCGTGATGGCACTTCTGCCTCTGAGATTCGACAAGCTGCAGCCCTATCCCCTTTAAGAAACTCTTGGATCTATGCACGAAAGACAGAAGAAGACAAGGAATACTTGAAAACTAGCAATAAAGCTCAAGAATTCACTCTGAAGGGTGCCCAAGAAAAGAAGAAGAAAACTTTTGAGGAACTCGTCCCTGATTATCTCCACAACTTTGCTGATGTTTTCGCCAAAGACAGCTTAAACAAACTTCCCCCATCTCAACCAGGTGTTGATCATAGAATCAAAACCAAACCTGGATATATTCTGAAATCCACAAAAACCTATCCCTTATCTCCAAAAGAAACCAACGCTGTGAAAGCCTTTCTTGATGAACACATCACTAAAGATTTTATCCAACCTTCGAAATCTCCACAAGCCAGTGGATTCTTCTTTGTAGGAAAAAAAGATGGATCTCTACAACCCTGTCAAGACTATTGCTACATCAATGAATGAACGATAAAGAATGCTTATCCCCTTCCTCTGATTCCCCCTCTCATCGCCAAACTCAGGGATGCCAAGTATTTCACTAAGATGGACGTCCAATCTGGATACAATAATATCCTGATCCACCCTGATGATCACTGGAAAGCAGCATTCACCACCTCCTTCGGACTCTTTGAACTGAAAGTCATGTTCTTTGGCTTATGCAACTCCCCAGCAACATTCCAAGCCTATATGAATCAGACCTTCCAGAAAGAGATCGCTGAAGGCTGGATGATCATTTATATGGACGACATCCTCATTTTCTCAAAGACCCTAGAAGAACATCAGAAGCGAACACGCCATATCCTCAATATCATCCAAAAAGAAACCCTTTTCCTGAAACCCAAAAAATGCACCTTTGACACTCAGGAAGTTAACTATCTTGGAATGATCATTCACCCTGGACAGGTGGCAATGGATCCAGCCAAACTATCTGGTATCAGCCAATGGACAACTCCAACTTCAGTAAAAGAAGTCTGTTCATTCCTTGGGTTTTGCAACTTCTACCGACATTTCATCTCCCACTACTCCAACCTCACACGACCTTTGATAGATTTAACAAAGAAAGATGCTGTCTTCACTTGGTCACAATCATGCACTGACTCCTTTGAGAAACTGAAGCAATGTTTCTTATCAGAACCTGTCCTCTGTAACCCTGATGCCTCTCAACAATTTGCCCTTGCAACTGATGCTTCACTTGTCGCCACTGGAGCAGTTCTCATTCAGACTGATGAGAATGGTGCATATCATCCATGCGGCTATCTCTCCCAATCCTTTAACCCTGCTGAACAAAACTACCAGATCTATGATCGTGAACTCCTCACTATCATCCGTGCTTTGAAAGCATGGCACCATTACCTTGAAGGGAATCCTCACCCTGTCATCATATTCACCGATCACAAAAATCTCCTCTACTTCTGCTCTGCACAGAACCTCACTCGCCAATAAGCATGTTGGCAGTTAACCTTGAATGAATTTGATCTTGAACTTCACCATGTCCCAGGAAACAAACTCACTGCTCCTGATGCTCTCTCATGTCACCCTGATCACTCTTCCAACCCCTTGGATAATTCTGACATCACACTTCTCCCTGATACCATGTTTTCCCATCTTATTGACAATGACCTTGCCAACGCCCTGAAAACCACAGATCCTCTCTCTGACCCTGTTATCCTGGCTGCGCAACAAGCCCTTGATGGGCTTAACGCACCACCCATGAAATCCACTCTCTCCGACTGGAAGTTCGATGATGGCACTTTATTTTACAAAAATCGTGCTTATGTTCCCATTCATCTCCATCACTGCATTCTACACCTTCACCATGATCACCCCACTGCTGGTCACCCAGGACACTTTAAGACTGAAGAATTAGTCAAATGTGACTACTGGTGGCCTGGAATGGGTACATTTATCAGGAAATACATCAAGGGTTGCACCCTATGTCAGCAAATGAAATCTGACACTCATTCTTCTTTGCCACCCTTGAACCCTATTCCTTCCTCTGCACTTCACCCCTTCTCGCAGATCTCCGTTGATCTAATCACTGACCTGCCTGAATCAGGTGGTTTTGATTTGGTTATGGTCGTGGTAGACCATGGCCTTATGAAGGGGGTAATTCTCTCACCATGCAAGAAAACCATCACGTCAGAAGGAGTTGCTCAACTCTTTTTCAAGAAAGTCTTTCTCAGATTTGGACTTTATGACAAGATCATTTCTGACAAAGGACCCCAATTTGCCTCTAAATTCGCCAAAGAACTTGGAAGACTCCTCGACTATGAAGTCGCACTTTCCACCGCCTACCACCTGCAAACTGATGGACAGACTGAATGTCTAAATCAGGAACTCAAAACCTACCTCCGCATTTACTGCCGCTCCACTCCTCTTGATTGGGTAAAACATCCACCCATGGCTGAATTTGTCCACAACCACTGAAAGCATGATGCCCGCAATGTCTCCCCTTTCCACCTCATGATGGGTTATGAACCCCAAGGAATCCCCTATATTCTCCCAAACTCTGCCGTCCCTGCAGCAGAAGATCAAGTCAAATACCTTCAGAAGATCCGAGAAGAAGCCATCTCTTGTCACAATCTTGCCATGCAATGCATGTCTGATCGGACCTTTGGAAAGAAGTTTGAACCCTGGAAGATTGGTGAGAAAGTTTGGTTATCAGCAAAGAACCTTATCACTGGACTACCTTCAAAGAAGCTTGCCCCTAAATGCTACGGCCCTTTCACAGTAGAAGCCATTCTCTCCCCTATCACATTCAAGATCCGACTCCCTGCCTCCTGGAAATCACACCCTGTCTTTCACGCCTCTGAGTTATCCTCCTATCGGGAAACAGAAGTCCATGGCCCAAACCACACTGAACCCCCTCCTGACATCATCAATGGACAAGAAGAATATGAAATAGAAGCCGTTCTTGCCCATAAGGGAAACGTAAAAGGAAAACAACGCTTCCTCATATCATGGAAGGGTTACCCTTCTTTGGATAACTCCTGGCTCCCTGAAAAGGAACTAGACAACACCCAGGAGATCCTCAAAACCTATAAAGACCACCTTCAACTCTCTCAACTCTTTACCTAGAAACCTGATCCCAGAATATGCCTTCTTCACGATCTTCGAACTCTTCTCTTGAACTCCATCGCTCTCAGCTTGAACTTCACCACAAGTGAGCTCTTGTTGAATTGACCCTTTCTTCTCTTCCTTGCATTTTACCTTTAGACCATTTCTTTTCTGAAGATATTGATTTTCTTTCTTTGATGACCATCCATTGCAGTGCAGACCTGGCATCTAGCTATGCCCATACCATCACAGCCCCCACCAAAGAAACCACCAAATGTTCCATCATTTATCACATGACCAAGATCAAAGCACTTGCCGCAGACAGACTTATAGAAAAAGGGTTTGAGCAAGCTCTCACCCCAGATATGGTCAAACTGGAACACTCCATTTCCACTGAACCCCTTCGTTTCCCTACCCAAGAAGTCCCTAGATCCCCATCAGAATCTTCTGATGATGACACCCCTGTCCACGCTCCTTCTCAGCTCGCAGTTCACTCTGCAGGAAACCCACACCACGCTTGTGGTAAGAAAAGAAACACTGTTGCCTTTGGAATAGGCCTCTCTCATCCCATGACACCATCCCCTGCTCCACCCATCATCGTTGATGAAGACAAACCTGCCTCCTCCTCCGACTCTCATGCCCCATCTGAAGAAACTTTTTGATGTGATAGGAATGGTGTAGACTATTATGACATCATCTGCCGATACTGCCAGCAGGAAGGACACCATCAAATCCATTGCCCTCACTACTTCTGCTGAGAATGCCACCACCATGCTCCCAAGCATCTTACCACTTACTGTCCTATCCTTTGAGGACACCATATCATTAATGCCAAACCTGGCTCATGGGCCTTCCATCATCAGCTTAAGATCTACAAAGACCGAAAAGATCTTGAACAAGAGGAGCATGAGAAGCAGTTTGCAAAGGACGCTGACTTCGATCCCAACAACTATCAGAATCTTAGTGACTAAAGTCGGTGACTTTAGACATTGACAGGGGGGTAATGTTACAGTGCCCCACTCTTTTTCTCATTATCACTGCAGACTCCTATATGGCTGTACTTCTAACACTTCCTTTTCACTGTGCTGTTTCCTCATGGTCTCTCTTATCTCTAACTCATACCTTGTTTTCCCATGAACCTTCCATTTCCAGTACTTATTACCCTTTGCCCAGCTTGGTCTGTGCATGATTCCTTTATGTATATAAACACTAGTACCACTTGTATTTTCTCTAACTTGAATCTACTCGGTTCTCTTTCATACTTAAACTCTAGCTCCTTGGGAAGGAGGCTGGCCATTGTCCCATTTGAACTCTAGATCCTGCAGGAGTCTAGACGATCACTCCTGAGGGAGGCACTTGACTTGATAAGGCTTAGTCCTTGATCGACCTTGATCCTTGATTCCTTTATTGGAACGACACTCTATCTGAGTTCATAACAGCAAGTGATATCTTGAGTAATTACCAGGGCTGTTCAACAGGGTTGAGGTTTGAGGACAAGACTTGCCATGATAGAACACTGATACCATAGGTTTCAAACCATTTTATGGTCAACTTGAAGTATGCTTAGGGTTATTGTCTTGTTAGAAGGTAATGTTTTCTTCATTAATTCTTGATTCTTGCATGCTTCTGAGCAGATACTTCTCCAAAATTGATGTGCTACTCTGTATTCATCCTCCCCCCCACCTCACAGAGAATTCCTACTCCATTCCACCTCATGCAACACCATACCATCAAGTTTCCTACTCCATACTTTAGTGTTTTCTTGACTTTTCTGTCTTCTAGTAGTTCTTCTGCCTTGCATCACATATATTCCTAGCCATCTGACCCAATCCTATTGATTTTTGTCCCATCTGACCAGGTAGCTCTATTTCTGGTCCTCAACAGTCCAATATTAAGGCTTTAATGCAAAGGCTAGTCTCTTCCCTTTATAGGCTGAAGACAGGAAAGGCTTTTTCTGCCTGTTTACAGCTTTAAGATTGGCTGCTTTAGGAGTATTGCTGACTATTTGAGTGGAGAGAGTAGTGTAGATGATGTAATAAATGAATTTGGTGGCTTGAGTAGCATTGGCAGCCTGCCTAGTTGGAATATTCTGAACAAGAGATTTTTTGTTATATGGTATATGCTTGAAAGGACAAACTATTTTGATATTTGTCTTACCTGGAATGACTTTTTTATGATCCTAATGATAGTAACCCTTCTCAGACCAGTTTTAGTAGTGATCTTCCTAGTATACTGATTAGAAGAGCTGAGAATAATAATAGGGGCTATTTTAGCTGTGAGAGAGAGTTATAGCAGAGTGGGGCAAGACTGTTGATGAGTAATGCCTCAAATTGATAGATAGTATGCATAGAAGAGTGGTAGAAGTAATTAGAGCAACAGGAGGAAATGCCAAGTACTAGAATTATAGAAATTGTGTTGGTCAAACTGAAAGTCAAAAAAGTGTCTCAATGAGTCACCAAATTAAATTAACCATATCTTCACTTGATGACATAATATTTCCACGCTATAGGGATCAAACCTAAAGCTTAGAGGCAGAGCTTTCCCACACCTCCCTATGGCTTAGTCATATTCTCACACCCTGGCTCATGATAAAGAAACTACATGAAAAGTCACAAACATTGAGACACTTTTTTGAGCCACTGTATGTAGAAACTTCAGAGATGATGAAAGTTTGAAAGAAAGTGTGTCAATGAAGGATGGGCCTTATTTATAGTGAATGCTTATATTCAAACTCAGCTGGTACATGCAATTACTAAGTGGGTATTGCTGGCTGAGTCTGAATGCATAGTCATTCAGTATATCAACTGTGGCTTCCTCTAGCAGTATCCTTTTGATCTTTATTTTGCATTTCAAATACTACATACTAGTTACTTGTAAGTAGTAAGTTAGGGGTTCAAGTGAGCACAACATGTTACTGTAAATAGGTGGTCTAGACTCTGGTGGATCATATGATTCAAACAGGACATGTTGTAATAATGACTCTGAGGACTCTTCGTCATGTACTAGACATCAATCCACACTGTGACAATGGTATGAGATCCCAGGCCAGCTGTATGTGGTGTCAGATAGCCTGAAAACTATCTCATCATTCCTTCCAACTGCACATATTCTCTCCATCCGAGAATATCCTTGTATCTCAGATGAAGAGTGTGAAGCAGTTGAATGTGCATGCCCCAAACTTCCCAACCCAGGGTGGGTGCGAATCACACAAGGCAAGTACAAAGGTGACATAGACTATGCCTACGATTCCAAGCAGTCAAACAATTTTGTTGCAGTCTTGATCCCCCCACAGGACTTCCCCTATCCTGTGCTTGAGAAGTCTGCTGCGTTGTTCAACCAATCTTGACTTCCAACCAACAAGACAGTATCTGACATTCTTCATGATGGGGAAGTCATCGGATGCTTGTACAAAGGAGAACAATATTACATGGGGCTATTGCTCAAAAGATTTTGGCAGGATGGCCTAGAGATTGTTGTCACCCCTCATCCCGACTACATTCGGCTGCACCTGCAATCTGGATGGAACACACACTTTGTCAAGGCCACTGAATTGGCATTCTCTATGCAATTTCTATGCATTGGTGATGAGGCCAGGGTCATCACTGGAGAGGTTTGTTTAGAAATTGGAAAAGTAGTATTGACAAACCATGCATTTGGTAGCATGTGCTTGGAACTCATTTTCGAAGGACACTGAAAACAAATAGATTTTCGACTCCAGGATGTAGAGTGCATGTTTTGGCTTGGTGACTTGGTTTGAGTTATAGTGAGTGTATACTTAGGTTTGGAAGGTCACATCATTCAAATGTGCAATGATGTATTTCATCTTTGTCAAGAGTTGACCAAGGAAGAGGTATGTACGAACATACAATGTTTCAATCAATCCTATCTAATGCTTCAAATAGGTCAAAGTTTCCAAGTATTACTTGGATTGTCATCCTCTGATGCATGCACTGCAATCACAGCTGCCAACACAGCAACTCTGTGAGCCTCCCCCTGACACCGAATCCCTTGAAATTGGAGATTATGTAAAGGTGCTTGAGGGATATTATAAGGATAAATGTGGCACCATCAGCTAGTTTTCTCCAGGAACCTCAGTTCTGTATTTATGGGTGGATGACACTCCAATGTGTGCTTCAGCACTGGTGATGATTGAAGTTCCTTTGGCATGGGTTCAGTGGATGTACCTCACCCCAACAATAAAATACACAAAGGACAAGGGATATGATGTCAGGCCTGGAGACTTTGTGAAAGTCATTCATGGGCCAGAACATCAGATGACAGGGGTCATTCACAGCATTGACTTTCCAACAGCTTGCCTGACCCTCCTATCTCAGACTGACAAATCACTTGTAAGTGCAGAACAACTTGATTGGAACCCCTCTAACTGGTAACAGATCAACATTCCCATAAGGTTCATGGTGAAGATGCACAACGCAAGTTTGGATACTTTTAAGAACATCATTGGTAAAGAAGTGTTCATCATCAGAGGTAAGCAGAAGGGCTACTAAGCTATGCTATACTATGTCAGGAGTGAGACCTGCACAGTTGCTGTTCATAGGCAGAAATGAATAGTACTCAAACACCCTGATGTTGCCACTAGGTGAGCTGCACCACATATTTTTGCAGTGATCTAATTGCTCACTGGCTAAGTTATGGAATGTGAAATATGGTGAAAATTGTACTTGAAGCCACCACCTCGAAGCATCACTCCCCCACCTGAGAAAATAATAGCTTCCTCCAGCTCCATTGCATGTCCCAACATGCAGTCTTCCAGCATTCTGAGCACCTGGACTGCCAACCCCCAGGATATCGCTGGGGCAGTAAACCATTTATTGGCTGTCAATTCAACCACTTCATCTGAGTTGACATCTGACCCTTGGACTGTCAATCCAGAGGACACCGAGACTGGACAGGAGAATATTCAAGATAATGGTGAGTCCTCAATAAAGGCATCATAACATTTAACTAATTTTATCATAGGCCCACTACCTTGGCTGATGTGGGAGGAATTTTCTTTGACTTTCCTTATGCACCATGTGTTGTTAAAAGTCTCGCTGAACTTCATGGGGGGCAGATTACACAAACAATTTATATCAATGGCATGTCCTGACCCCTGCTGTGGTGTGAATGGGCCCACACCCAAGAATTGCATTGCAGCATTCTGCATGTCCAACAGCGCTGGCACCACAATTCAACATTATCACATTCCTGCCAATGACCTCAGCCCCGCTCCTCCATGTAAAAAGAACCAACAGTGCCTCATTTTGGATGGAGACCATCACAGGGATATCCTAACTATAGCAAAGTGTAACGCCAAAAAAAACACTGTGGAGGTGTATACAGATTTGGCAGGCTCAGCTCCCTTAACCTTGAGTTTCAACCAGATCTGTGTTGTAGAACCTAGTACAGTGGCTCAAAAAACTGTCTGCATGTTTTGACATTTTTCACTATCTATGATATTGTGTGAGAACAAACAAATGCCTCAAGGACATGCTTATACAACATTATAGTATGGCTTCAGGGCTTTCATTTGAGCCCTACACCGTGGGAATCAGTGGAGATATGGTGGAGACATAAGGCTTATAAAATGATGACTCATGTGGACAGTTTTTTGAGTGTATATTAAAACTAGTGTTACTCAAAGTAAATTTTGCTCTGTAAAACAAACTCGGTAAAGCGTGTAAAAAGCTCATTTAAGTCTTCAACAAACTCGGTAAAGCGTGTAAAAAAGCTCATTTAAGTCTTCAACAAACTCGGCATAAGACACACGGCACACAGCGGACTTGGAAACACTTAGTGAAATTTCGAGACATGTATACTACTACACAAATATGTAGATGGTAGTTAATGAGCGTGAAATAAATGCACCGTGAGATCAAAACAGAGCGTGGGAGCATGAACAGCACAAAAACCAAAAACGAGAGCAGCGGGAGGGGTAGATGGAATGAGAGCAGCCGGAGGGGCAGAAAAAGCTACAGCGGGAGGGGCAGAAGGAATGAGAGCGGGGTGGACAGAAGTAACGAGAGCAGCAAAAGTAATGGGTTCTGTGGGAGGGGCAGAAGGAACGAGAGCAGCAAAAGTAATGGGATCTGTGGGCGCTAGCAGGGGAGGAATGATTTGCGAATCTGTAAGTTGGCGGCGGCTTAGTGGAGTGATATGAGGGGGGGGGCTGAGCCCTGGCAGCACATTTGGAATGTGTGGAGGGGCCACTGTAAGATAGATGGCGGTAGTGGATGGCTCGGCGGAGTCCATCGCTCTCAGGCTACAGCGCACTGGAGGGTTGCCTCCAAGTCGTGCAGAACGATGAAGGCGTTGGTGAACAGCAGGCATATTTGGAACTCAGCCACGATGCCGGCCTGACTTCCAAACCTGCCGCATGCGGCTGTGCTTGCTTACAAGAGTTTTGACGGTGTTAGCAAGTTTGTTTTACAGAGCAAAATTTACTGTGAGTAACACTACTATATAAATCATTATTTATGACACCACAAAAATCATGCCACTATTATATAAATTATGAAGTGGTGTCATTATGTTATTTTATGACTATATCTAACTATATAAACCAGAATATCTCATGTATCATAGTCATAATCACCATGAAAGCCATCTCCTCTGCTCAAAGAGATAATATCCTCTCTCTGTCTTATGCTGGCCTCTCTGCTTGCCAAATTTCCTCTAGAACTGGAGTATGCAAGTCCACTGTGGCCAAGTTTATCAAAGAAAGCCACCCAGACAAGGAAAACTCTTGTGGAGGACATCCATCCAAGCTTACCTCTACTGACAAAAGGGCTATTATCCAACATATCACTACAGGAAAGGCTGATAATGCTGTCCAAGCCACCCATTATATCAATTCCACCATCACTACCCCTGTCTCTTCACAAACTGTGAGGAATGTTCTCAAGGCAGCTCATCTCAAGGCAGTAACAAAGAAGAAAAAGCCTCTTCTCTCCATCAAACATAGGCAGAGAAGACTAGCCTTTGCCTTAGCTCATCAACACTGGACTGTAGAGGACTGGAAGCATGTTATATGTTATATGGTCAGATGAGACCAAAATCAATAGGATTGGGTCAGATGGGAAGGTATATGTATGGAAAAAGAAGGGAGATAGCCTAACAGATAGAGAGGTTAATGGGACTGTCAAGTTTGGAGGAGGTTCTTTAATGGTATGGGGCTGTATGGGATGGAATGGTGTGGGAATGCTTGCTGAGGTTGAGGGGAAGATGAATGCTGAGCAGTATGTGGACATTTTAAATGACCACTTGCTGCCTAGCTTGGCAGAATCAGGGATTGATGAAGAAGATATCATTTTCCAACAGGATAATGATCCCAAGCACACATCCAGAAGAGCTAAGGAATGGTTTGAAGAACATAACATCAATGTTCTTGACTGGCCAGCACAGTCTCCTGATGTCAATGTCATTGAACATCTCTGGGGAACACTCAAGAAAAAGCTTCAAGCCTATGAAAACCCCCCTAAAGGAGTATGGAAGCTTTGGGAGAGAGTAGCAATGGAATGGGGGAAGATCACAGCTGAGGATTGCCAGAAATTAATTAAGAGTATGCCTAGAAGGATAGAGGCAGTAATTAAAGCCAAGGGAGGTCATACAAAATACTAGAATACCTGGTTATTATTGTAAAATACTTGAGTCAAAAAACTGTCCGCATGAGTCACCATTTTGTGAGCCTTGTATCTCCACCATATCTCCACCGATTCCCACGGTGTAGGGCTCAAATGAAAGCCCTGAAGCCATACTACAATGTTGTATAAGCATGTCCTTGAGGCATCTGTTTGTTCTCACACAATATCATAGATAGTGAAAAATGTCAAAACATGCGGACAGTTTTTTAAGCCACTGTAAGTCTGTCCTATCCATCAGGCCTAGGGATTGATTCCCTAGGCTGGAGCTCCACTTTTCCAGCACTTACCCTCTTTCTGGACTTAGGTCCAAATCCCTGTTCCTCTGACTCTACCTTAGGGTAGTCTACCTCTGCTTGTTTCCACATCAGACTTCATCCAATGTAGCCCCTGTTCCTTCCATACCTTCAGACATCCTATCCTCCTGTCCTTCAGACATCTCGCCCTCCAAACCTTCGGACATCCTGTCCTCCTAACCCTCAGATGTCCTATCCTCCTGTCCTTCAGACATCCTGTCCTTCTGTTCCTCCGTCATCCTGCCCTCCTGTCCTCCTGTCCTCCAGACCTTCAGACCTCCTATCCTTCCATCCTGTTTCCTGTAGAAGTACTACCTTGCAGTGGGAACTCTCCTGAGCACTTCCTGCATTCCTCTGGAAGTCCTCCAGACTTTGTCAGACCATCATCAGACCTCATATGAAATGAAGGGCACATACTCAGGTAAGGGGCACAGCGTATGAGCTGAGGCCAAGCCCCTCTGAGTCAGTCTCTCTCTCCCTTGAGCAACATGGTTCTTAACATGAAGATACTTTGGACCACAGGAAAAACAAGATTGCATTAACTCTCAATCACTCCACAAACAAAATGAGTAACACAGGCCCTGCTTTTTCTGTGGGTAATTGGGAGACTGATACACTTGCATACATGGAATGAATTAAGGAGCTGCCCTTCAACCACATAAAAGAAATTGTCAAACAAGCTCAGCCATACATGAAGCATGCTCACTGCAAGGGTCAAGATGAAGAGTCTAGTATTCTCGACAGTCAAAGTCAGCCCCCCATGCCAGTGAATCCACATACATGTATCTGTATTTGAAGTATTTGTTTCTTTATTCTAATTCTTCCTGCTCTAGCACAATAATTTTTGACAGAACTCACTTGGCTTTTCTATAGGCACGCTTGTCTCCCAGCCTCATATCATTTCACTTCAATCCCTGCTCTCATCAATTGCTGTCCTACACCTTTTTTAATATTTTTTGGTCATTTTCATAGAACACCTTGAACTTGTTGATGTCCTTATTTTTGCCTTAGCCTACTTGGATTATTTGGTATCTACTGAAATAATAGTATGCCTTGACTGCCTTATCCACCTGATTTTAAGGCAACCACTCCTTATTTCCTTAGGTTAAGGAAATGGATCTCCTTAGTTTCCTTAATTTAAGGACAAAATGGCCTTAAAAGTTCCTTATTGTGAAAATTAAGGCAAATAAGGAGCAGATAAGGAACTCGATGTTTTCCTGATGTAGTGAAGATGTGGAGGCTGTCACTCAAGACACAGAGGTTGTTACTGAGTTGGTACCTGAGGATACCATCAATGATGAAGAGGAACCAGGTGATGATGCTCCATTGGAGCTCCTCTTGCAGTTTGTTGCATCTGGCATCAAGTGTGCACCTGATGGGTACAGGATTGATGCAGATGGGTTGCTGGTTGTTGACTCTGCCAGTGATACATTCAAGGAGGTTGCCATTTCTACTGACCCTGATACTACATTTGGGAGGGGAAAGCACAGACATGTTGCAAACAAGCAATATGATGCATTTGAGGAGCACTAACATGTAGCATAGCTTAATATCATCATTTTTTCCTTGAAAATTGCTTAATACAAAGTGTCACACTTTTATGTTCATCTGCTGGATTTCCCTGTGACTGTCACAAAAAATAGGTTTGGTTTGTTGAGCTTGCAATGGTGTGACAAACCTAAGGTTGAAATGATACAGTAGCTGAACATCTGAATGGCATTTCCACCCTTAACAACACTGTTCATGGAGGAAAACTCAACATTGGCATTGAGCAAGGCACATACACATCAGCAAAAAGTGAACTGAGCAAGGAATTGAAGTTTTGGAGTTGCCCTTTACTTCAAGAGAGAATTTGTGCCATGAAAACAGGTTCATCTTCAAACCCCCTGTGCACTTCTTGCATTAAAGTCTATCCTGATGATGTTGATCTTGTACCATTTCTGAGTAAAGGAAATATCCAGAGGGTTGACAGTACTGTCAAATGGTATAGATATGGCGAATGGTGGGACTTGGATGGCTGGTTGCAAGGATCTCCTTGATTGAAGTTTGATGTAGAGGGACACACCTGCAGTGAACTTTGAGATTTTTGGTGCAAAAATGGAGCATGAATACAATCAAATAAAGAGCAAGAACAGATGCTGAGTGACATACCTGGATCAATTCTCCAAGCTATGATGACACAATAACATATATCATGACAAGTGGCACGGATTGACAATGAATTGAGGGGGGTATTGTGGCGGACTAGCCTAAGTGGTAATTAAATGATGAGGTGCTGAGCACGGAGTCTTCATATACGATCAAAGTAAGAACGAGAATACCTAGGGATCGATGAGAACGTGTGAGTGACGGATATTTTGACTTCCCTTGCATAGTGACTGCATGTGTAATCCTCGGCAAACACCGAGGATACTTCGTTCGGGCTATGACTTGTTGTGTCAGAACTCTCGTGAAATTTCCAGTCCCTACACTATCGGGCCCTAGTCCAGTTCTTTGCTGCTAATATTTGCATGCCATCTGTACACCCAGTCAGAGACACATGATTGGAGGATCTTGACCTGGCATCCCGAGACCTTCACAACACGCGAAGGCGCAGTTACTGAGACACGTATACATGGCTGTACACTACTCATGTCTTCGTTCGACGACAGACTGCTGCCTAGGTAGAGACTTCGTCGCTGTTTTTATACGACTTGTTCTGACTCTTGTTCCAAGTCGCAGTCACCCTTTCGTCACTCATTGTCATCTGCTGCACGACCTGTTCAGTTTTCATGTCGCAACTTGTCATGTTCTCGCAGACCGTCCCTGGTGTTTCCTCAACGCCCTCGATCGTCCGACACTGTCAGCTTAATTGATCGAGTCGTATAGGGTCTACTGGCTTGAATATTGCTACCACCTCACAAAATACATTCGATTCTACATTTTGCCTTTGTGTGTTAACTGAGTAGTACGATACAAGTCCGGGAGCAACGATCAACATAAGACACTCTGAGCATGTCCCTTTCAACCTTGGCAGGCCACTTTCGCTGAAGACTGATCATCGTATTGTCTACTTCTTCACCCCAAATTCTCCCGCTAATCCTGGTTGGCGATTCCCAGCGCTTGGTGCGATCATGCCAGCGTCTATCGTGCCGAACAGCCCTCAACAATACGGAAATACACGTACAGCATGACCTGAACCCTCAACCTCTTCTCCTCTCTCTCTCAGCCAAACTTCGTCCACAGTCCCCATATCCTCGCCTGTCGTCCCCTCCCGTTTATTCTGTGCGCCACTTAGCCTACCACTCAGCCCATCCTCAATCCCCATCACTATCATGCCTGGTAACTCAGAAACCCGATATATCAGACTTGAAAGTGAGTCCCTCGATATGACCTTCGTATCTGTTTTTTGATCCTCACACCTTATCTACAGTTATCAACGGAAATTATCTTCGAGTCCCTTCCGAGCGGATCCCCGCCGGCATTTACGTGTCCATCAATGTCGACTCGAGAAGATGCTGGAAATCGGCCATCAAAGTTCTATCATCCGACAGATCTGTAGTGTGGGGGGATATTGTGACTCTGTAAAGTCTTGGTAACTTCCAGGCGCGATGCGAGAACTGAACATCGGTTTATAGGTCGTCACATGCATCACCTGCGTTATCAGTAGAAATCAGGGCGTCTTATGAGACCAATCGAATGCTAGGCAATGGAGAGCTCATCGGGACACTTCAAACATCTTGGGATGAGCTACTCGATCATGGAGATGAGCCATTCAGTGAGTGACTCGTTCATCGTTCATGCGCATATACCAACGTCTCATAGATCTATCCTTCCCATCCGTGCGCGGCATCCACCCTTCCCTCACGCTAAAGGCCACCATCGTACATACCTATGACAATCAAAACGGCGCACTGTCTGATGTGAGTGATGCCGGACTCTGTCCCGTTAGCTTTTGCTGATGGAACTCTGACTGCAGCCCTTTGTAGACTGTGGAATTACTCGAGACACAGATGCGGGCCACGCGCAATTTGCCAAATATGCGACGAAAAAGACAGTCTCTCACCTGAACGATGCTGTAGAGCATTTTCAGTTGGTTCTGGACCAATGCCCTGTCAGCCATCCGGACCGTGCAGCAGCTATCACCAACCTTGCGTGGGCCCACCTTCAAGAGTATATTGAAGATGATCTTCAAGACATTGATACCACTACTTCCCTGTTCCGCGACGCCCTTGCATTGCGTCCGCAGTACCATCCCGACCATCCCTTATCTCTATATAATCTCACTGAAGCCCTGACTTGGCGCCACAACAAGAAACGTACTGCTGCCGACATCCGCGAAGCTGCGCAACTGTATCACGAGCTACTACCTCTCTGTCCAGAAGGGACCTACCTTCGTAGCATCGTGGCAGGGCCAAATGATATCGATTATGTGATTGGTGGATGCAACAATCTTCCAATAGACGCATCTGATGAAGGCATCCACCTTCGAAGAGTTGTCCTCGAGTTGTGTCCTCTAGGCCATACACTCCGCCCCGAAACCCTTGACAAACTTTCACAGGCTCTCAGGTCATGCTTTGAACAGCACGGCAACATCGATGATCTTGACACGAGCATACAACTCGGTCGTGAAGCCCTGTCTCTGTGCCCCGAGGGACATTCTGACCGTGGTGACTACCTGAACAACTTGGCTCACTCACTCGATTCCCGCTTTGATCACCAAGGCAAACCTAATGACCTCGATGAGGCCATCTCTTTGTATGAAGAAGCGCTGCGCCTGAGACCTGTTGGGCACAAATTTCGTTATACCTCATTGGACAACCTAGGGGGTGCCCTCGTCACCCGTTTCTACGAACGCGGCGACATTGGTGACATCACCCGAGCTGTCAGCCTCTATCGCGAGGCACTGACGTTGTGCCCACCTGGGCATCCAACTCGTGACACTACCCTTAACAACCTTGCCCTCGCGCTCGAAACCAGATATGACAAACTGCCTGTCAGGGAGGATCTCAATGAGGCCATTGATCTGTATCGCGAATCCCTTCGGTCACAGCGGCTTGACGATCCAGAGCGCCACATGAGTCTTCTCAATTTGAGCTCGGTGCTCTGCTCTCGTTTCGCGCATACTCACAAGAATGAAGATGTCGAAGAGGCCATTACTCTTTGCCAGGAATCTGTGGCGGCCATGTCTCCACTGCACCCGGACAGGTATTTCAGCTACATCCGGCTGCAGGAGGCCTATCTGTCTCGTTACCGGATTCTACACGACCCTGCTGATTTGTCGCTCGCTATAGAGAACTCCAGACTGGCATCGGGACACCCTACTCAAGGCTTTCCGAATCGTATTCAAACCACCTTGAACTGGGTTGATGCAGCTGAGGGTCATCAACACGACTCTGCCCTCGAAGCATACCAAATGTGCTTTGAGCTTTTCAACAGCTACGTGATGACGCGATCGTCGATCATCTCGCGGCGCGAGGCTGCAACCGCTTTTCGTGGTGCACAATCACTTCCTGTAGATGCAGCGTCATGTGCCATACGTCGTGACAATCTACGACAGGCAGTCGAGCTCATGGAGCAGGGCCGTGGCCAGCAATGGTCACTGGCATCTCGATTCAAGACTCCAGTTGAAGACCTCGAGTCAGTAAATCCGACACTGGCGCACAAATATTTGGAGCTGAGCAAGCGCGTATCCAATGCCGCACAGAGTTCTGCAACCATCACCGACAGAGCTGCTGCTGATCGGGCAGCAACAAAGTATAGGGGACTCACAAAGCAATGGGAAACTGTGGTAGCTGAGATACGTGGTCTTCAGGCGTTCTTGCGGTTCCTGTTGCCACCTTCCTACGAAGACCTGCAAGCGGCAGCGCGCCAGGGCCCGGTCATCATCCTAATTGCGAGTCAATACTCGTGCAGCGCCATCATAGTCCCGACATCAGGAGACCCTCATCATGTTCCCTTGCCATCCGTCAATCTCAAGGATCGTTTCGCCAGGGCAATACGACAAGCATCTCGGATGAACCCAAGGGAGTCGAGGACGGATCTAATAGTACTTTCGCGGATAATATGGGACGTGATCATGCTACCCATCGTCAACGTGCTCGAGCACGTTCTCAAACTAAAGCGCCACTCTCGAATCTGGCTGTGTCCGACTGCAGCTTTCACGTCCATTCCTCTCCACGCAGCTAACCCCTTTCAAACAAAGGCCGACCGCTCTAAGGAGCCATGCCTTGAGGATCTTTACATCTGCTCTTACACGCCGACACTTTCGGCTCTAGTCAGATCTAGGCAGTTGATGAAGAAGCGTGTGCCTCCGTCCTTTGTGACAATCGGGCAAGGTCAGCCGGGTGCAGGGAAAGGAAAGCACTCTTGGCTGTTGACAGCGAACTCGAGCTTGTCCATAAACTCGTCCCTGCGACAGCCAGCCGCACCACTATTTCTGGTGACGCAGCCACTCGAGCAAGTGCACTCAAAGCTTTGCAGCAGAACACTTGGGTGCACCTTGCTTGTCATGGCAAGCAGGACCGTACGCAACCTTACAATTCTCATTTTGTCATGAGAGACGAACATCTGACGCTGCTCGATATCATGGAGAGAGATATTCCGCACGCCGAGTTCGCATTTTTGTCTGCGTGTCATACCGCTGTAGGGGATGAGAGACACCCGATGAAGTGATTCATCTTGCAGCTGGTCTCCAGTTTTCAGGGTTCAAGAGTGTCGTTGGCACGCTGTGGGAAGTCGACGATTTTGTCGCAAAACACGTCGTTGAAGCTTTCTACAAGTATATGTTCAGAGATTTGGAGAATGGTATCGTGGACTGTACGAAGGCGGCCTGGGCACTTAACTGTGCTACGCACGTCGTGAAGACGAAAGTGCCGCTGGAGCAGAGGATGGTTTTTGTTCATATTGGTGTGTAGTTCTTAGTTCTACGTTGTATTGCTGTCATCTGGTATTGTTGATGTGCGATCTTCTTTCAGCCTGTTGTAAAAATGGCCTTGATATATTCTTGCGCTCCAGCTTAATATCTTGTTTCTGTATACTCGTGTTTATGTCGACTAGATTGTTCACTGAAGTTCCTGTGTACTCGATTCGTCTGCAGCCTCGTCTTCTGCTTGAGTGCTTAGATACTAGCATGAGCCAGGCCAGTCGAGCGACTCGCGTGTTCCAGTCATACCATCCATCCTTCAAGATTCGAGCGTTCAGGTGCTTCTGCACCATAGAACCTCGACTAACGACCGCCAATGCAATAAGCGCCAAGTTAGAGGCATGAGGGCTCATCCAACTCAACGTGCTCACCAGTCGAAGTCGGTAGTGCGGATGGCCCCTCTGTGCACTGCTTACTACAACCACTTTGACATTAGTGCTAATCTTCCAACAAGACGTGCACTGCAGGGTTCAATATATTCAATTCCTATGGTGAGGCACTCATAATTTGATACCGATTACTCGTACTTGAAAAGGGTTCAGCAATCTCCCAGTACCTCCGCGACTCATCCTCAAGCCTGCCTCCCATTAACGTTATGACGAAGTTGTGATTTGTCTCTGCGATGGACGCATTCATTGATGAGCTGTCGCTGGCAACTGCTGTCAGGCTTTTTGTCAAGTCTTACGGTTTGTACACGTGCAGGAATGGCTGTTAATATTTCGGACGGATAAATTTGAAGTAGTGAGTATAGCTCTACATAGTGTGAGATTAGCTTGGGAGATACACCAGGCACGAGGGCACGTACGTATACCAGCGGCAGTTGCGGAAATGGGCCCAGGCTGGGAATCCTTACCAACTTGCAAGTTTTTATTCGCTGATGTGTGAGCCAAATCGTCCAAGTTCAAAACGCAGAACCAATCGAACGAGTCGTTTCAACACAAAAGGTGCCATCTGTGCTCCTGTCAAGCATTTGTCTGCCTCCAGCACCAAAATCAAGGAGTTCCAGAGTCAGCGGCCATGTCCTCCAAAGCAAAGGTAAAAAAGAATCATCGCGTTCGATGCTGCTCGCTATCCTGGTCCTGTCGTCTGCGATGAGTTATTTACGACGAGAAATTCAAACACTGAAACAACGGAGGATTGTGATAAAAATGATGCAGAACTCTGTTTGTTTGTTTTTTGAGAAATGTGAATGTTAGCGTGATATACACTAGTCAGAGTACACAAAACGCACAAAATAATCGCCAATTGCGGTCCGTCACCTTAACAACACTCTAGCTCCCAGTGAAGAGTTGTTGGTCAGTCACGAAGTTGAAGGTGCTATCTAGACTGCTGTCACCTTCAACAACGAGTATACCTTGCGTTTATCTGGCCACGTAACCACGGAAGCATTTTCTTGCTGTTCCATTATGACTTCGACATATCAACGTTCTCGAACTTACCACTGCTCTTCCCGGACCCGAATCACTACAAATCATCCCGATTCCACCAGTTATGCGTTCTAATATGTGGGCCACCTCGCTCGAGAGGAGGCACCGAAGGCGAGTACTGAGCGATATTGCTGAACAAGTGAATTATGTAACTTGTCGTCCTATCATGTTCCATACAGCATCCTTTATCGCCCGAAAGTCAGGCAACCTGAGAAGAGATAACGATTAAACGACAAGAAACACAAGAATATCTGTCCTGTGGGCCTTGGCGATGAGACCTAAATCAGCTTGGATCAGCAGGTCATGACTCGGTCGCCCGTCGGGGAGGATCTTTGATTCATTAAAACTCACGTGTCATCTTACTAGGTCCTATATCAACTTTGCAAGCTCACATACGTCCAGTCGTCCGTCCGTCCCCCCCCACAACAGGTTGGATTTCTGTACACCGTGAACCTACCCCTAGCGTTTTAGCCAATGATGTCAAAACAAATCCGTCTCGGTATTCTCACGCCTTCTTCAAATACCGCGTTGGAACCTCTCACTTTCCAGATCGTTTCCTCCATTCCAAATGTTTCCGTTCACTTCTCCCGTTTCCCAGTCACAGCGATCAGTCTCTCAGCCAAAGGTCTTGCCCAGTTCGACCACTCAGTCATCATGCGAGCCGCTGAGTTACTCGCCCATGCCGAAGTTGATATGATAGGCTGGAGCGGAACAGCAGCAGAATGGATGGGATTCGAGGGCGACGAAAAACTCTGCGAAGCTATTACCAAAGTTACGGGTATCCCCGCCACTACCTCCGTCTTGGCTTTGAACAAGGCTCTGGATATTTTCAGAGTCAAGAAGCTTGGACTGGTCACGCCTTATCTAGATGATGTCCAGGAGAGGATTGTGAAGAACTACAACACTATTGGGGTGGAAGTCACCTCGGGAACGGAACGCCATATGCGCGTTGTGAAGAACACAGATGTTGCCCTGATTGGAGAGGATGCATTGGAGACGTTAGTGGGGCAAGTGGTTGAGGGGGGTGCAGAGGCTGTTTCGACATTTTGCACGAATCTGATAGCAGCGCATAAGGTCGAGCTTTGGGAGGCGAAATATGGCGTTCCGGTGTTGGATACTGTTACTACGGTCACTTGGGATATGTTGAAGCAGTGTGGGGTAGATACGAAAGCGATCAAAGGGTGGGGGAGAATATTCCAGGAGGCATGATCAAATGAATAGACATACTATCGGTTACTATCATTCCGTTACGGTCCACTATTCCGTGAGTCACACTTAAGTCACGAATAGTAACAGATAGTCACACTGGCCAAATTTACAGTCTGCTTGACAGACATTATTTGTGATTCGTGAACTTTAACAGCAGTTAATTAGGATACTACTAGCAAGTCTGTGAGCTATAGTATGTATGGAGAATTATATAGAACTAGTAAATGCAAATAATTAATGCTGTGTAAAATATTGCTGAGGGAATGTGTGCGAATGTAGGTAGTGATACATAGGTGCATTGTGAAATTCATGACTCAGATGTGGGGGTTGAGCAAAAAAATATGGTGGATGTGGTGCAGGAATGATGAAACCAGTATGAGAAGGCAGATGTATGAAATGTGGTGGCAAGTGTCCAGGCTGGGAGGAACTGGAGGTTGCAGGAAGTTCTGGTGGTTGGCTCAAAGTTGAAGCTGCTGATGCCAATGCTTGCCAGGGATCCTTCCACTAATCTCATTGACCTGAGCACATAAATCGCGAGGGTGCACAGGACATGTGGCGCCAGATTCATGAGCCAGCCAATCCTTGACAGCTTCCTCTTCAGACGGCTGGAGGCAGCCCATGATGCTATATAGATATATCTTAAGTGGACTATAGTCCTAAAAGTCTGATACATACTCTTCTGTTGTCATCTATTGTCCAACAGGATGTATCCTACATGAGAATTGTGCTGGTGGCTTTCTGTGCTTACAAATCGCTGCTTTATGGGGGGTTGAATGCTCCATATGGATATTTGGCAGTTCACCCCCATTTACACCCTGCCGTCCCTCATTCTCCTTGATGGGATCAGCAGCTGGTGATAGGATCTGACAATGGACTCGCTCCTTGTACCTGCCAAGAAGGAACATGGCTGATGGCACTGGGACTTGCGTTTGAAAATGCATTCTTCAACCGTGAGAATGAACTGAATGGGCCCTACAGTACATTCCAAACCCACACAATCCCATGTACAAAATTTATCCTTGCTGCACTATTGGGAGACGCAAGCAACAATTCTACTACAAGTATCTTTGGTAAGCTCGTTGTTTTATAGGCATTGCTGGACATACACTGATAACGTTCAAAACAGCGAGGTGTGCCATGTCACTCCTTTGAATGATACATTCAATTTACTGTAATTCGTTTCAATGATAATCAAGTTCTGTGTGTTCCCTGTGCAGCTGAATTTCAACATCCTCATGTCTCTGGCTCAGCGGTGCGTTTCATCTAACACTTATGATCTTTCCTAAGGTGCTCACAGCCTTGCTTCCAGTGCTCCACTCATTCTCACCTTCATGGTGTCCCAGATCAACTTGTCATTATTTTGTCCTGGCAGCTCTTTTCAGTTCGAGCGTTTGAATGCATTCTGAGCTAGAACCGAACCTGTGTTCACAAGGGTCCGGTCCAATGTTTGCACTCTGGAGCATCAGACAGAAGCCTTTGTCCTAGTAATCCTTAGTACTATCACACCACACATTATCTTCACAAATATAACAATTCAATTAAAATTAGAACTAAATTTCAACTACAGTTTTGCATCAACATTAACCAGCGCAAGACATGAAAATAAGCAGTATGAAAGGGAATGCAAGAACATGGACCAAAGAAAGCAAGCACAGGAAGAACCTGAGCAGCAGATGGTATTGAGCTCACACCCTTGGTCTTCTGTGTGAGATAATGAGCATAAGAGGTTTTAAAAACAAAAAGAGACTAACTTTGCTTGCTGACCTGCATGAGTGGATGAATCAGTGGCATGGCTGCATTTTGAAGCTGGGTTCAAGGATACATTCTCCCTGCAATTGTTGCTGATTGAGTTGGCAATGATGTTGCATGTCAATGGGATGTGTGCGCGCCTTGTTCTGTGGGGTCCGCTGCTGTCATTCCCTTTGTCGTTTTGAGCTTCATCCACTCGAGGCTCATTGATGATGTTTGCTGAAGTGGAAGTGTGAGATGGGATGGGTGAGGGACGCGAGTCCTCTGTAGAATCTTCTGCCATTGAAGATGCAGGGAGTGCGTCTGGCCTGTTGCTGTTGGGCTCTTCTGCATTTCCAGGGAGGTGAGCAGTTGGGTGTGTGAATCCACTAGGGGCTGAGTCGGCTGAGGGTGTACCATCAAATGGTTTGTGTGGCAGAGGGGGATTAGGAAGTGAGTCAGCTGAGGGCATACCATCAAACAGTTTGGGTGGTGGGGGAAAATAGAATGTATCAGCTGCAGCTGGAACCGCAGGAATGGAAGGCAGCAAAGGAGGACCATGTGACATCAAGCAGTTGACAGTTGACATTGGCAGATTCTGGGCCAATGTTTCTAAGAGATCATTGAGGCCATTGGACACCAGCCAGTTTGATTCATTGTTGCCAGAGAGAATGTTGTCAGAGCTGGAGGGCTGTGATGCTGGAGAGGTCAATATGGGAGACCCAGGGCCATTTGACAAAGGCAGAAACTTGGATACATCTGGGTCATGTGACAAAGAAGGAAAGTTGGATAAATCCAGTGATCCAAACATGTTTGTCAAAGATGTATCCTGCTTGGACAACTCATCCATCATATCCGATGCACGATATGATGGCCGATTCTTGTTGTATAAGCTCTCTCCCCACAATGAACTGGAGCTGCTAGCTCCTCCCATCTTCCGATCTTTGAGTGCTGTGGCCTCTGCTGTTATCACAATGGTAAGCTTTTTTGTACAAGGTGTTATGGTTGGTCAGAGATGACACTTACAGTACACATGATACAGATAATCACGAAATGGTCCCACTACCTCACTCTCAAATTTAGGGTAAGCCTGGCTAAAATTATTGCCCAGCTTTGTCATCCCAACATGGAAGCTGCCCAGTGTAAGTTTGACCCTCGAGTTTTTGAGTTTCTAATGCAGAACATACCTCCAGACATCAATCATCCCACCTAACTCAATGGATGGACCCCCAATGAGAAGGCTGAAGGATAGGCTGGTGGCATCAGCGAGGCCTTTCAGAAATTGATTTGCAACGGTGGCTAGCTTCATGAGATTTCTTTGTGCATGTCAGCTGATAATACTATGCAGTGAACCTGAGCAGCACGCACTGCTGCTGATCTTCATCACTCCAAGGCTCAGCTTTTTCCTTACCATGCTCTTGCTTCTGCGCATGGATATACTCCTTCACTTTAGCCTTGATCTCCTCAGACTTGCCAGCATACAGGGCCATGGTTTCTTTTTTCACAAGTGCTACTCGCTGACCATTTGTGAGTGATTGTGTTGCTTGTGCAACCTTGAGCATCTCTTGGATGGATTTCTGAACACAGTCAGCATAGTACAACTTGGAATATGCTTCCTGTTCCTGAAGCATTCACATAGGTTTTTCACATTCGGTTATTTTGTGCACAACAGTGTCAAAGATGTCGTTTGCATTGGCTTTTGCTTGTTGCCCCACCTTTGACCTGCTGAAGTTATTCTTGAACCATGTATGTAATTTCTATCAAATATTCTCAGTGTCACATCTTTGACTATTTCAACAAAACTTATGGCTTTCCGTATGTTGGTTGCATTATTGTGTTCTTCCAGTGTTAATAGCCCCAATTTGGTGATATGATCTGGCCAAGGCTCTGGAAATGCTTCGAACCATTTTTCGTAAAGGTCTGCAAAGAAGTTTTTGTGGTTTCTACTCTTGTCACTCTGCTTTTTGGTGAATTTTTGGTACCATGGTTCAAGCCACACCTCCTGCTCAGATGTTGTCCATTTACAAGGGGCCATCTATTTTCATAGTTTAGACATTCAGTCATGTCAGCAGTGGATTAGATACATACATTAATGTTAATTGATCTGTTGATTTACAAAGACTGGGTGTTTAGGCTGCAGTAAGTGAAATGAATATTGAAATGTAGTGTAAAAATTGAGATCAATGTCCCATGCACGGACACTGTCATACTCATACAGCTACACTACATCGCAATTGAGAAGCACTACTAAGTAAATAGATCATGTAACAGCAGGAATTTCCTAAAGACTCTGAAACAGGAATTGTTTTTGTGCATATCACTGTCTAAGATCCATGTCCGGGACCATCACACAGGAGAATAAATCCTCGAGGGCCAATAGTATATCTGCAGCCTGTTTAGAGTCATCCTGAGCATTAGTATACCTTCTATCCATGGCTCTCCCTCCTGACATACTATCTTCGATCTCTTTGAGCTCCTGTAAAATCTCCTGAACAATGCCCATTACATCACAAATGTTGTCTGAGCAGTGTGTCTCCAGATAGCGGGTATACAGTGCATCAAGTGTTTCGTGAGGGGGACCACCTAAGTAGGTTATTAGGCGATTTTTTTTCCTGTACATCCGAGTGTTCATCAGAAAATGTCAATCAGTACAAGGAGCACATCACCAACAAGTGGCATCTGGACACCACTGGCTTGGTTTGCTTCAGTGTTGTCAATGTCTTATCAGACACAGGATTCCTAGTATTTATTATGATAATTGGATAGCGAGAATGCGAGAGATGAACTTACTGTGCATGATATCTTGCTTTCATTTTTGTACTGATTTTATTCTTGTGTCTGGTGTGAAATGAAAGTCTGTTAAAAACTCCAATACCAATAAAATGACTTCGCACCATGTATAGTACACCTGTCTGTGCACTCATTTTGCTTCCCAGAGCTCTTCAGTGGTTTTGTAAAGCTTCAGTCTACCCATATCTGATGTAGTGATTGTGGTTGGTGTTGTAAGGGAGTTTGGTATTTGGTAGAGAAAGCTTGAGAATCACTCACACTGTATTTGGTTCATGTTTCATTGGATTTTTATAGGTCTTTTACTAGTATGTACCAACCACAATGCGGTTGGTACATACTAGTAAAAGACCTTTAGCTTGAATTTACATTGGCTTCCTGCTTATCGCATGATGTAGTAGATATGGACTTTAGTTTTATTGCTTCATAATGTTGTAAAATTAGCATTACACCATATACTACACAAGTCACTGTTCTCTAAGATGAGCACAAACAAAATCTGTTAAATCTGGCACAGGGTACACACACTGTCTGTCGGCAGTTCCACAACAACCCGAACACCCATACATAGAATGAGCACATCTTGGATATAGCCACGCCCAGCTCAGCCACCGTTTTAAGATCTACAAACACAGTCAGTATAACACTGAGAGACTTTAGTATAGACACTTACTTCTTTGCGTTCCTTTTCAGCTAAGCACAGCTCTGCCTTCTCATCTTCACTCAATGCATGCTGCTCCATAGGATGATCAGGCCACAGAACATCTTCCTCAGGCCAATTCTCTAACCACTCCCTGTGCATCAGCATCAAGTACACAGCTTCTTCGCTACATGGCATCACTTGGTATTTTGTCAAGTGAGGCATCAGCCATGTGTGCTGTTCCCATGTGGGCTGCCACCTCTTGGACATCTAGGAATCACTATGAGCTCTGGCCTGAATATCAACACTCAACTCGGACCACATACCTTGATCCGTGATTATGGGAGGAATGTACAAGCAGAGTTGTATTGCTGCAATATCTTAGGTCAGTTTCAACCATCCATTGCGATATATCGTTTAACAAGCTTCTAGGATTCGCCCATAGCGCATATGGTATGTATGTTGGCATATGTGTCACTAGATGTATCACTAATCTACCTAGTAGTGAAATTTAATGTGTTGATGCTTAGAGAGCCAGCATTAGCCATGTCGCAGTCTGGATGCACTGGCTGTCCATCTAAGCATCCCAAACTCATCAGGCATACACAGCCAGACACCACCCAGCCCTTGAATCATGTCAACAGGCATCACATGTTCAGTTTGCAGCCTAGCGGTCAACTTGCACTTCGGACTTCTTACATTCCTGCCACCCTACCTGAGAAGGAGGATGAAAATGCTGGGACATTGATGCCAGCCCTACCGTTCCCACTGAAGATGATCCTTGGAACGAGATGGTGCCCTTCAACCCTTCATCCGAGGTGGACAATGTCCTTGGAGTGCCTGAGATGCCAATGGCTGAAAAGAGATGCAGGAGAACTGCAGGAGTAAGTCTTCAGTGTTAGTATGAAGATAATGCCATAGTTGATCTTACATAGGACACTCCCATCTCCTCTTGGCTGCCAGAACATCAGACATACATGAACGAGTTTCTACGACTTGAAGGAAGAGGCCAGGATTCAGACACCCCATGTGCGTGTGGTGCAGAGGATGCCATGTTTCGGTGTCAGGATTGTTTCTCTCTCGAGCTTGCATGTTGGTCATGCACCATTGGGTTGCACCATAACTCCCCACTCCATAGAATCAAGGTGCATGATCCTTTGATCCTCTAATTCTAACTTTAACAATGAGAAATAGGAATGGAGGGGCAGATTTTTCCACCCTGTTTCATTGAAATCCATGGGCCTGCGCATTCAACTTGGACACCCTCCTGGTATCACTTGTTGCAGACCGACACCAGCATTTGGTGATGACTTCATGATTATCAATGTCCACAGTGTGCATCCAACAGGACTTGATTTTTGTGGATGCGAGCAGGAAGTTTCACACTTCAAACAACTACTCCATGTGCGCTTATTCCCTTCCATGGTGACTGACCCAAGAATGGTGGCAACATTTGCTGTTTTGGAGTTCTTTCACATACTCTCCTTCGAGTCTAAAGTGTCTGCATATGAGTTTTATCATAGCTTGGCACAGTGGACTGACAATACAGGAATCACGCCAATTCATGTAGGTTCATTTTCTAACATCATGTATTCAGATATACTTACACAAAAGATCAGGATCGCTACTCAGTATTTCTAAGGATAGTCCATGAGTGGAGAAACATCAAAGCACTCAAACGTTCAGGTTGTGGCCACCATCCTGCTGGAATAGGTTCCACTCAAGATGGAGATCTGGCCATTCTCTGCCCTGCATGCCCGCATCCTGGAAAAAACCTCCCTACTAACTGGGAAACTTCACCTCCAAGTCAGCAGTGCGCAAGTTCCCTTATCAGAACACAATGAATTGACTAATGAATAGCTAGATGGAAGTACAGTGGCTCAAAAAACTGTCCGCATGTTTTGACATTTTTCACTATCTATGATATTGTGTGAGAACAAACAAATGCCTCAAGGACATGGTTAAACCACATTGTAGTATGGCTTCAGGGCTTTCATTTGAGCCCTACACCGTGGGAATCAGTGGAGATATGGTGGAGATACAAGGCTCACAAAATGGTGACTCATGCGGACAGTTTTTTGAGCACATATTAAAACTATATAAATCATCATTCATGACACCATAACAATCATGCCACCATTAAATAAATTATGAAGTGGTGTCATTATGTTATTTTATGACTATATCTAACTATATAAACCAGAATATCTCATGTATCATAGTCATAATCACCATGAAAGCCATCTCCTCTGCTCAAAGAGATAATATCCTCTCTCTGTCTTATGCTGGCCTCTCTGCTCACCAAATTTCCTCTAGAACTGGAGTATGCAAGTCCACTGTGGCCAAGTTCATCACAGAAAGTCACACAGACAAGGAAAACTTCTGTGAAGGGCATCCATCCAAGCTCACCTCTACTGATAGGAGGGCTATTATTCAACATATCACTACAGGAAAGGCTGATAATGCTGTCCAGGTCACCTATTACATCAATTCCACCATCACATTCCCTGTCTCTTCACACACTGAGAAACATTCTCAAGACAGCTCATCTCAGGTCAGTAACAAGGAAGAACAGGCTTTCCTCTCTATCACACATAAACAGAGATGACTAACCTTTGCCTTAGCCCATCAGAATTGGATTACATGGACTGGAAGCATGTTATATGATCATATAAGACCACAATAAATAGGATTGGGTCAGATGGCAAGGTATATATGTGAAAAAAGAAGGGTGCTAGTCCTCTCTGCATATGTGTGATAGAGAGGAAAGCCTGTTCTTCCTTGTTACTGACCTGAGATGAGCTGTCTTGAGAATGTTTCTCAGTGTGTGAAGAGACAGGGAATGTGATGGTGGAATTGATGTAATAGGTGACCTGGACAGCATTATCAGCCTTTCCTGTAGTGATATGTTGAATAATAGCCCTCCTATCAGTAGAGGTGAGCTTGGATGGATGCCCTTCACAGAAGTTTTCCTTGTCTGTGTGACTTTCTGTGATGAACTTGGCCACAGTGGACTTGCATACTCCAGTTCTAGAGGAAATTTGGTGAGCAGAGAGGCCAGCATAAGACAGAGAGAGGATATTATCTCTTTGAGCAGAGGAGATGGCTTTCATGGTGATTATGACTATGATACATGAGATATTCTGGTTTATATAGTTAGATATAGTCATAAAATAACATAATGACACCACTTCATAATTTATTTAATGGTGGCATGATTGTTATGGTGTCATGAATGATGATTTATATAGTTTTAATATGTGCTCAAAAAACTGTCCGCATGAGTCACCATTTTGTGAGCCTTGTATCTCCACCATATCTCCACTGATTCCCACGGTGTAGGGCTCAAATGAAAGCCCTGAAGCCATACTACAATGTGGTTTAACCATGTCCTTGAGGCATTTGTTTGTTCTCACACAATATCATAGATAGTGAAAAATGTCAAAACATGCGGACAGTTTTTTGAGCCACTGTATGCACTCTTTCTTGCTATAGATGCCAACTTTTGACTCAAGTGCCGGATGGTATTGACTGATCGAAAAGATCCTGGCCTTAGCCGAGGATGAGGTTATTTTGTCGAAGAGAATGAATATAAGTGGTACCTGAGCAACAATGGTGAAACCCTTCAAGAGGTGCACTCTTAGATTTCCCAAGATTCTTCTTCAAGTCTGACAACTATTCTATGTCTGACAGAAAAGCAACTGTGTCAGCCATAATGCGGTTAACATGGCTGATACAAAGTCATCAAGGGGACTTGCTGCGACTGGAGTGGGCACCATGGATTGCGCACACCATGATATGAAGTTAGCTAATGACGTTGGTGACTTACAGAAGGGTGAAAAGTAAGTTGAATCATTGGGCACATGCTGTCCATCTGACTCACATCATTGTAGATATCTCAATATGGACTATCTCATTTTCTCTGCTCTTGCCAGATTCTCTACCCTGTCGACAATCAACTTTTCATATGATATTGTGTGCCAGTGGCACAAAAACTTGTGGGATCGCTTGCCCACGCTACCACCTCATCTTCAGTTCAATCGAGAGGGCAAGACCATTAATTTTTTGTGCTGAAGTTTCATATCGCTGCACATATTGAATCATGCCAAACTCAATTCTCATTCAATTGGACTCTGGGAGTAGGACAGACTGATGGAGAAGCACCTGAGCATGGATGGGCAAACATCAATCGCATGGCCAGCAGTATGAAGGAAATGGGTCCTGGAGCCCGATGCGACACACTTAACGACCATTTCAGCGATTGGAACTGGAAGAAGATTACAGCTCTCAGTGAGTGTGGGTGTAGTATGTTGATGTTATTGTACTAACTAGTCTCATCTTTCTTTCTTAGGTAAAACTATGCTACAAAAAATGATGGAAGCTGTCATCGCTGAGAAGGAACACCATCTTGCTCTCTCTGAACTCAAGAGCTCTATCAACGACTCAGGAGTAGGAGCTGCTTCCCTCACTGCATGGAGGACGGAGATTGAAGCTTGGGAGATGGATCACTCACAATGTAATCCATTCCAGAGACAAGTTGGCAGTGAGTTGTTCTGCATAATGCTGACCTATTGCTCACAAATATACAGCAATGACCCAGGCGGCTGTGCAGTTAGAGTTAACACAGCAGGACACAAAGGAGTTGGAAGACGGGTCAGCAATATCACTCCACACCGAAGTCACCTGCAGTGTTCTCATTAGCACTGGCATTGATGTTGAAGATGCCCAGTAAGACATTTTTCAAATCCCTTGTAGAGCGCTGCTAAATTATCTTAGACACTGTTTGTGTGTCGATTCCTCTGTACTTGGTCAGCATGCAACTGATATCCAGAGGACCAAGGTCTTAACTCGAAGGAATGCACTGCAACACTGCCTAGATGTGTGGACCGACATTCAAAAACTTTACATGCCAGTGGTACCAAACCTCTGAATATCTGCAAACCTCCCAACCGGTTGCAACAGTGATGACAGTGGCTGTCCAGTCCCAGACCCCACCTCTGGAAAGGCAGAAGACTTTCAATTGCTTCTGCCTTCTGAGATCTGTGATGTCGTGCCATGCAACAAGACACTCCTGGAAACAGAATGGTCTCTGTGTTTTTCCCAAGCTACTGATGCTCTGAATGAGTGTCGTTCGCATATTCGACTGCGCCATCAGCTGTATCAATTCAAGGTTCAGCATCTATGCAGACAAGGGCCCAACACCCGCGCACGCAAAACCATGGATGCAGTTGAGGAATGTCTTATGTTGAGCCATGCTAAGTATGCAAGGGCTCACAAGGCACTTCTCTCCTTAGCTCGCCACCTTGATCGGATAGGATGGGAGCACAAATTGCAGCCTTTAAAAAAGATGCACCTCAGACCAATTGGGGACTTCAGACAACAGACTCAAGGCACAGCAATTATGTCATGGATTTGGCTAACTCACAGAATTTCTTCTGATGACAGCGAGGGACTCCAAGACTGTAAGCTGTTCAATCTCACTCTTTTGTTGTTGTATGCTGAATTACATTAGCACTTCGTGTTGAATGGTGTAAAGCCCAAGCATGTCATAATAGGTGGTTGGAGGAAGTCCAGCTCTTATTAGAAGAAATGCGACATACTCTAGCCTTTCTCAAATGGCAGGAAGACTCCTGGGAATCGTGCGCAACCCTACCAACTATCGAGCAGCCCGAGGAGAAGGAGGGTATGATTGCATATGCTTGCCATCAGGCTCACATTCAATGAGGTTTAGTGGCAGCTTTTTCAGAACATTGGAAGAGAGTCCTGCAGCTTGTGGCCTTGAACTTTGATTTTGATCCAAGTACTGACAATGTTGACGGGGTGTCTTTGGATGCACCTCCTTGTGAGTATATTGAGGGTCCTGATGAATAATAGTGTTTTTGTACCATGATCATGAAAGGTTAATTGATGTGATTCGTGATCGAACAACTACATAGTGATGCGGTACCTTTGTGAGATCGCTGATCACAAAACAAGATCGCAAGATTGCAAATATTAAAATAATATGTTCACTGGGGAATGGCCACCCTTCCGAGAGCCGTATATGCCGTTTCAAAGGTAGGCTGGCTGATTGATAACTATACAGAACAGATATATTCCAGAGTGGATAACTAGACCTAATGATGTATTGGACTTTTAGGATTATAAGCCATGTGGATATATCTTTCTGCCTGCATCCTGTGCTGGAGGAGCTGCCATGACCGGGAAAAATCCTTGCAAGACATATGACCCTTGCTCCAGTCTTTAAGAGTCTGCTGCGCGACCTGTACAATGAAATTAGCACCACAGGAACTCGAAAGAGAAATAATCATACTTGGTTTACCTGTTACGGCGAACTAGGATAGGCGCAATGACAGATACTTGATAAGAGTAATGTCTGCAGTTGAGTCAAGACCTCACAAATGTAAGGCTTCTTAAGACAAGTCGGAGAGAGTGTCTCTGGCTTGAATATCAGTATCAGATGACTTAGGATTGGGGGTCCTAAGCAAAGGATGTTTCAGGTGAGAACCTAGTAGATTAAAGTGAAGATCTGCTAAGTACATGACTGAGCTTATATAGATGTAGCTATCTTTAGGGCAGGTACATATGAGTCAGAGATAAGGGTGAGTCATCTAGCAACAGCAGTGGCAATCGTGATGTAATACAGATATAGCAAGAGGCTGGTCTACTGATGGTGCAATGAGGCGCAGTCATGACATAATACACAAGAGAAGAAAGAAAATGAGACAGGGGTAGACATGATTGTAACATTACCCCTCATTTAGGAATGAAGTCACCGACTTCAGTTATTCTGGTTAGCCCAGTAAATAGGGTCGGCGTCATAGTTCGAGTCGAGCAAGTCGTTCTGTTCTTCAGTGATAGGGAGCGACCTATCAGCTAACTCAGCAGCATGGTAGATAGCGTCTTGCTCAATCTCCCAGCGAGTGAGAGCATCATAGAAACCGACGTCAGTCCACACCAGGGGAATGACTGCTTCTCCTTTCAACTCTTTGCAAAAGACTGATAGATGGCCGGGTGCATACTCCTTGCAGACCCGGCAATAGTATGCAGGGCAGTTCTTATGACAATGCCCGGCGATGCGACAATTACGACATATGACGTTGTCAACTGGCGACATTTTTATGACTGTGACAGAGGAGGACTGGTTTGGGGGGGAGGGCAATCTGGATCATTTAAGTGTTGTTTTAGATGGGGAAACAGACACAGCTCGTTTGGCAGCGATGCGGGAGGATCTTCGTTTAAGTGGGAGTCTGCATGTGGTGCGCGCAATGGGGGTAGGAGACAGAGAAGCTGGTATGTCGAGTACAGCAATAGGAGGGATATTATCATCCTGATGCTCAATGGTAGTTGTCGTAAGAGTTGGCGGTGGGACAGGAATGGCGATGTGGGGGGATGGTGGACGTGCGACTGGGTTGAGGGCAATGCGCTCTGTGACGATGTGGATGGCTTCTCGGATAGCTTCTCTAGTATCATCAGGCAGGAGGCGGATCACAGTGTTGCGAATATGTATATGAAGATGGCGGAAAATGGTTTTGTGACATTCATCATCCAAGAGATTGGTGGTACGGTCAATGAGACTGGTGTCCCTAATGATTCTGATGATGAGGCCACTGGATATCGCCCCTTGTTCTCCAAGGAGGCGATCTATTTCTATAGCGTATTGTTGGGAGGTGATCATGGACTCAAATAGGGCGCTCATTTCCACCTGATCAATGACCGAAAAATAATCAGTGAGGGTAGAGTCATCAGTGAGGGTGAGGGTGGAATCAGAAGTTGGTGGTGATTCTAGTGGAGATGATGCATGGCAGGCAAAATCAGCGGCAGTGGCGTTCTGGTAGTCAAGGAGGGTCAATGGGTGGGTGTTTCCTTCAGCAACAGTGTTCATAGCAGCGGTAAGTTCTTCGATGCATAATATACAGAGGCATAGTCGTTTGAGATGGGACATTGTTTGGGAGTCTATAACCTATGGGCCTTTTTATAGGCAGCAAGGATGTTGGAAGCATTGCTAAGATTTTCTTCAGGAACCCATTCATTGCTGGTGGAAGAGTATCCTTTCCAGGATAAGAGATAGCATCTTCATTTACCCGCTCCTTTGTGTGATAAGATCGCATCAATTTCATATTCCTCCTCGTTATTGATGATGTCAGGAGGTGGGTCATGGAAATTCGGACCGTGAACTTCTGTTTTGTGATAGGACAATAGTTCAGAAGCGTGGAACAAGGGGTGAACTTTCCATTGGGGAGGTAATCAGAGTGTGAATGTGATAGGGGAGAGAACAGCAATGATCGGGAAGGGGCCGTATCATTTGGGTGCGAGTTTTCGTGATGGCAACTGTGTGATTAGGTTCTTTCCAGATAACCAAACCTTATCTCCTATCTTCCATGGGTGATACTTCTGTCCATGAGTTCGTTCTGCCATTCGTTGCATAGCAAGGTTGTGGCAAGAGAGTGCTTCCTCTCTTGACTTCTGGAGAGAGTGGAGTCTGTCTTCTGCTGCGGGAATTGTAGAATCGGGAAGTGTATGAGGAAGGGCTCGTGGTTCGTATCCCATCATTAGAAAGAATGGTGACGTGTTGCGAGAGTCATGTCTTCAATGGTTATGCACAAATTCTGCCATAGGGAGGTGTTCCACCCAATCTTCAGGGTGATTCCAACAATAGATCCGGAGATACGTTTCAAGCTCCTGGTTGAGTCATTCGGTCTGGCCATCAGTCTGGGGGTGATAAGCGGTGGATGCGGCTATATCGTATTTCAAAAGCTTGGCAAGGGCTCGTGAGAACTTAGATACGAATTGTGGTCTGCGATCAGAAATGACTTTCTCGTGCAAGCCAAATCGGTGGTAGACATATTTGAAGAATTTCTTGGCAACCCCTTTGGAAGTGATGGTTTTAGTGCATGGGATAAGAATTACCCCCTTCATAAGCCCATGGTCTACCATGACCATGACAGAATCAAAACCGGTGCAAGGGGGGAGATTGGTGATGAGATCAACGGAGACCTGGGTGAAGGGAGCTGCAGCAACGGATGGGATCGGGACAAGGGGGGGGGTTGTTGGGTGAGTATCGGACTTCATCTGCTGGCAAAGGGTGCAGCCTTCCACATATTTACGGATATAGGTGCCCATAGAGGGCCACCAGAAGTCCCATTTGACTAGTTCTTCGGTTTTAAAATGTCCAGGGTGACCGGCAGTGGGATGATTGTGACATCGTTCTAAAATAAGGCGCTGTCCGGCGGGGCGGACGTAAGTGCAGTCTTTATAGTAGAGAATATCGTCCTTAATTGCCCAATCTGCTAGGGCGGATTTCATTGGAGGAAGGGAAAGGCCATCCAACACATCGGAAGCGGCAGTGAAGATGGGGTCGGGGTCGGAGGGATCAGGGTTTGCGAGAGTGGTCATGAGTTCAACATCAAGAAGTTGGATGAACATGGAATCGGGGAGAAGCGTTTCATTGATATTATCCTCTGAGGAATCCGATCCATGGTCGGGGCGGCGAGAGAGTGCGTCAGGGGCGACAAGTTTAGTTCCAGTGATGTGGTGGAGTTCAATATCATAACATGACAAGATTAATTGCCATCGGGCTTGTTGGCGGGTTAACTTCTGAGCTGTCCTGAAATACAATAGATTTTTATGGTCTGTGAAGACAATGACAGGATGAGGATTGCCTTCCAAGTAATGACGCCATTCGGTCAGGGCGCGAATAACTGCAAGGAGTTCATGATCGAAAATATGGTAGTTTCGTTCTGCAGGATTCAGAGTCTGCAATAAATATCCACATGGGTGATAAACACCATTGTCATCGGTCTGGAGCAGCACCACGCCCGTAGCGATGAGGGATGCATTGGTGGCGACCACGAACTGTCTACTGGGATCAGGGTTTCGAAGGACCGGTTGCTTCAGGAAGCATTCTTTCAGAGTGGAGAAGGCAGACATGCATCGTTCTGACCAAAGGAATTTGATGTCTTTCTTGGTAAGATCAATCAAGGGTCTTGCGATGTCGGAATAATGGGAAATGAAATTGCGATAGAAATTGCAGAATCCCAAAAATGACCGAACTTCTTTCACGGTTGTAGGAGTAGGCCAATCCTGAATACCATTGGTTTTGGCATCATCCATTGCCATGCACCCAGGGCGGATGATCATTCCGAGATATTCCACTTCTTGAGCGTCAAATGTGCATTTCTCAGGTTTGAGGAAGAGTTTCTCCTGTCAAATTCTTTCAAGGACATGCCGAGTTCATTTGTGGTGGGAAGTGAGTTCTTTTGAGAAGATTAGAATATCATCCATGTATATGATGAGCCATCCTTTGTTAATCTCCTGTTGAAACGTTCTATTCATATACACCTGGAAGGTAGTGGGGGAATTGCAAAGGCCAAAAAACATGACATTTGGTTCAAAAAGACCATATTCCGTGGTAAAGGCGGCTTTCCATCAATCATCTGGGTGAATGTGGATATTGTTATACCCTGAATGGACATCCATCTTCGTGAAGTACTTAGCACCATGTAACCGAGTGACCAGAGAGAGTGGTAATGGAAGTGGGTAAGCATTCTTAACCGTCCATTCATTGATGTACCAGTAATCTTGACAGGGATGAAGATCTCTGCTTTTCTTTCCTACAAAGAAGAAACCGCTTGCCTGTGGCGACTTTGACTCAGAAATGAATCCTTTTTTTACGTTTTCATCAATGAAGGTTTTGACTGCTGTGTGTTCTACTTCTGATAACA